TGGCGTGGTTTCAAATCCCCTGTTGTACGTGACAAGGAGTAGGGTCGTCTGTCCAACCTCGTGGGTTTTCTCCGGGTCCTCCGGTGTCCTCCCACTGCTAAAGACACCTACGCGCAAGCAAATTATTGAAATAAAATTAAAACCATAGTTTGTGTCGAGTGGACGTTCAACCCCATTTCTCTTATTATCAGATTGTCAGTCATATTCATTAAGTCATAGACTCTCCCTACACGAAAAGACGAGTCATCCCATTATAAACAGAGAAATCTATACCCAACATATAAATGGATCGAGACTTACCCCCCCCCCCCCCCACACACACACGACAATTAATATCCGGTTACAATCACCTGCATTGGAAGTTAAAATTCGCATCCATTCAACAATCGTGTGCATCTTAGCTAAATATAAAACACCAACGCTAATGGGTCGTTTTGAGGAAATAGTGGTGTATAAATTTATGTATTAAAATATATTCGTGATATACGCTTGACTTATTTTATTTTATTTTCAAGATATAAAAGATTTTATACTGATATCTGCATCCGGATTTGTACTCAGTATAATAAGGTCTGTTATTGAGTCAACTGGCGTGGTTTCGATTCCCTGGTTCTACGTGACAAAGATTTAATATATAAAAGATTTTATACTGATATCTGCATCCGGATTTGTACTCCTAGTAAATGAAATGAAATGAAATGAAATGGGCTTAACGTCCTACTCTTCTGCTCCTATGCTATGCTATGAGGAAAATTTTACCCGGGCAGCGGCACTATCGCCTACTCTTATATCGAATTCCAACTGCCAAGGGATCTTTTATGTTCATTCCAATGTATACACGGGACCTCGGTTTTTCGTCTCATCCGAAGGACTAGACAGCTGTCCTTGTCAGGCCCTCCGTCCTGCATTACTGACAGGGGGAACCACGCCGGAAAATCTGGATGAACTTTCTGGGCCAATGCAGGGATCGAACACCCGACCTCCAGACTAGCGATCCAGCGTGACCCCCCCCCCCCCTCCTAGTAAGGGCGGTGGGGGTATATTTGTAACTCCTAGTAAAGGGAGGTTTATATGGAACAACATGTCAGACTGAAATTTATATCTATACTTTGTGGATTATTAATATCTAATGGGGCAGTATGTAAATAAAGAGCTGGCAGTTCTCGCTATAATAGTTCAAAAATAGATAATGCAAAATGAAATTTCATTCAAATTACTTTATTTTGAGCGAAGTTATCTATGGTTGTAGTTTTGACAAGATGTGTTCATTGGTCGTAACCACCGTACGGGTCATTCGAGTCTTAGCTTCGCTTCTCCATTTTTAAATTAAATCATTAAATGGCAGAACCCTTCTAATCTACTTAATTTCGTAGCCATCCGATGTCATCTAGAGTTGATTATGGTCTGGATAAGGCAATTAATGTCTAATTAATAATTTAGATAACATTTCAGGCCTAAAGAAAGACCTGCAATAGGCAGATTTACCTCTTGCATAATGTATGTTTAAAAAAGAGCGTTATTTATTTAAAAAACAATAAAAAAAAAACAATAAAAAAAACCCTGAATAATTCTTGCAGTAAATGAAATGAAATGGGGTTTAACGTATCATTGTTCTGCTCCGAATTCTTGCAGTCCTGTCAACAAAAACAAGATCGCCATTTTTCAAACTTAAAAAATAAATGCAACAGTTTAGAAATATGTCCAACCTGACTAATGTCGACGGGTATACACCATGCAGTGTGTTATTGAAGTAAACTTTGGCCAGGCAGCGGCGCTATGGCCTAATCTTGTTTCCATTTCTAACTGCCAGTGGATTTTTAAATCTCTGCCAATGGTTTACACTGATTGTTCGTACCATCCTGACAACAAGACGCCTTTTCTTGCTAGCCCCCCGCCCCCCACCCCACAAAGAATGGGCTAACTTGGAAAATGCCGATGAGAACGAACACAAAGACCGTGATTTAACGTCCACTCAACATTAACTAGATCAATTCGGATGTAACATGTTAAAGGCTCAATACCAATCTTGTTGTAACTGAATAATATGTCCCAGTCTTTATTCTGGTCAACAAATTGTACTATTTTACAATATTCCAATTAATTGATGATACAAATTGATAACACACCTAATTTAAAATTTTTTAAAAATTTAACTAAATGATTTGAAAAGCCTAACGTAAACCTTTTCAAATGTGACTTGGATTTAAAAATATTTTCGAACCCTCTGGACAAGTAAAATAGGATGTAATGGATAATTTATACAACAGGTAGGACAGTTAAACATCTAGTACTTAGAATAAGGCTATTATTTATTTTCTGGAGCTGTTAAGCCAGCAAGAGAATTATTGTCCCTTTAAGTATATGTCAATAATTATAGAATTGTGTGGGTGGAGAGGGGGGGGGGATTTGGTCTGGAGAACTTACTGAAAACGAATGTGGTTGGCCAGGTGACCCTAATCCGTGTTCTCAAAATCGTTGCATCGACTATCTATCTCGAGAAGTTCTCTCCCACCCACCCATCTCCCAAGTCCCAATATTATTGATACGTTTTGGTCTAGTCATGGTAGTCTGGAGTTTTACGTCCACTTCTACCAAGGGTGAAATCGTAGACTAGGGTCTAGTCAGTTTTACAGATCAATGACTAACCTCAATGAATTATAACCTGGCAAAGAGTATAATTGTTCTGGTTGAACGTGCAAAAGGCTCGTCTAGTGAATCGCGCGACCCTGATCTGAACCCTCCCTAATGTCCTGTAACAAATGTCACCTGTAAACATCATTACATTTAATCAAGCTATCAATGTTCTAAAAAAATTCATAAATCCTTCTTCAAAGATATTATCATGGATTATCCCAAGCAAATCTTAAAGTTAACGAAACTTGGCTATTAACACAATTTATTAAAGTACAGCTGTGACGTCATCCTTTGATGTTGGCGTAATTTGGAGTTTCTTTATTTACATTGATAAAAGAACTGATAAAAATAATTTGGTATTAAGAAATAATAAGCGTTTAAAGGAGACAAGTCCTTAACTCAATATCATCCAAAGTCTTTGACATAGAAAACACGACTTTGCAGGGATCGAACGCCCGATCTCAAGGCTAGCTAGCCAACGTCTTACCCGCTTAGCCACCGTGACTCCAACATGGCGACAATGCACGTATTGCAGACGGGTGTCGATGCTATGATGTAATTTTAAAATACCGTTTTATAAGGAAGACAAACAATGTTTCGACATTACGAACTTTTTTTATCACAGATATTTTGCTTTCATTTCCTGCCGTGTAAATGAAGACACATAATTTTGAAGGAATATTTTACTAACATGAATTTGAAGCAGGTACGCTTTCATTCTATCTAATTTTGTGGGCATATTACGGACTTAAATTTGAATACTGTACGGTAATTGAATAATAAAAAATTGCGAGGTGCAACTATTTTTTTTTTTTGTATTCAGAACACGATATGCTACATAACATAACACTATTCGCGGTTAAAGTCTGTTAAAGGGAATGAAATCCCCCCATATACACACATTTATTAGTCGTATACCGGTAGAAATTATGGCCTTGAGTAGAGATCGTTGAATACAATACAGTGAAAATTTACTGCTAATTTTTAAAATCATTTTTCAGACTGATTGATTTTTCTTTGTTTTTTTTTAAACATCCAATAATTCTTATAATTTTTTTTCTTATCATCTACCCTGACAGGTGGCCTTGGTAAATAGATTTAACCTTGACACAGCCCTCACCTTCAACACAAATGAATACAAATACTAGGAATGACGACGACGAGGAGGAGACTGTGATTTTGTTTTATTTTATTTACATGTTGTTAAGTCTCGACACTGTATCAAACTGATTTATATACGATTACAACGAGTGCCGGACTGGTGGGTGGAAGGCCCACCTGTCAGGTCACTGACCAAGGCCCACATAAGTACGCGCCGAAGGCCCGCGAGCGTTGTGGGGGGGGGGGGTCTCCCAACAGGAAAATTTTGAAAATTGACAACCGCAAACCCATTTCGCAAGCATTTCAGACCAAAGCAGAAGAAGGCAAATTTTTGATTTCCTAACACAATTAGATAACAGAATGACCTAAGAGCACTATCATTAGGAAAGAAGGAAGGAGAGGACAGGACACAGACTGTGTCCTGCCCTCTTCTTCCTTCCTTCTTTCTTTTCTTTCCTCTCCCTCTCCTTTCTTTCTTTTCTTTTTTCCTTTTTTTTCTTTCTCTTTTTTCTTTTTTCTTTATAGGCTTAGGCCCACTTTTTTTAATGAGTTCCCTATGTTAGTGGCTTAAGACGGAGGGTCTGACAAAGGACAACGTACAGTCGTTCGGATAGGACCAAAAATCGAGGTCCCGTAGTCACATTGGCGTGCACGTAAAAGAGTCATTGGCAGTTGAAATTGGATATAAGTGTAGGCCATAGCGCTGCTATCCGAGCAAAGTTTCCTTAATAGCACACTGTATGACGTATGCCCGTCTTCATTATGCCAGTCGATGCAGAACAGTATAAGGACGTTAAACACAATTTCTTTTTATTTCATTTCGGGGAATATGAAATGAGTCCTGAAAAGTTACTTAGTGCACTGTTGTGGACATAATTATACAAAATAAATAGGTTATATACTGCATAGATGAACATATATTGTTCGTTGATATTAATATATACTGTACAAATATATAAGTATATATATTATTAATTATATATAACACAAAATTTATGACCAGATCAGATTAGAATTTTTTAAACTTAGGAAATGATAATTTTCCTATTTTTTTAAAAAAAAAATTATGTTTTTTTTATTGGGGGGGGGGGGGGTATTATTATTATTATTGGACTAGAGTGTCACAGATAATATCAAATACTAATTACCCCCCCCCCCCCCCCGAGCGACAACAACATTGGGGACACAACTATATATATTTAAATATACATATCACTATTAAACGTTTTGTATTTTCTTGTATTGTTATTTTTATTTGTATACAGTAGTAACACGTATACAAGCAGAATGTCCTGAAAATTATCACGATGACGTAGAGAATTGTATGATGGACGTCACAATAACTCCACAGATGGGCGGGGCTGTTACGTCATTTACTGATGTTGATGAATTAAAAAGATTGTGTGTGTAAGTTTATGTATTTTTGTAAGGTACATGAATTTTATACTCTCGTTTCTAAAAGGAGATATTTAGTAAAATATATCAGATTATCTCATTTTATATCTGAGCGATCCAAATACTTGAAACATGAGTTGCTGAGGAATAAAATCTTCCAAAAATATTTGATAATTTGTACAAGGTTATCTGATGAATTGTATTTAAATGAAGGAGATGCGACGAAGGTGATGTCAGCAGGGCCATCCGGACCCTGGGATAAGCGACTTGGCAAGGTGTGTGTGTGTGTGGGGGGGGTGCACTCCCTTGGTCTCTAGCGTCATTTTGGCGTGTATCAGGGGTAACTGGAGGACACTCCCACTAACCCACAGAATCTGGGGTTGGCAAATATTTCGCTTTCAGGTAGGCTGACAGAATTCGATTCATTCGATTCTAATCCCACTCGCGCCACGTAGGTACCCACATTCAGAAAAGTCTCCGGTTTTCTTCTACTTTACGATCAAGTAACAGCGTTTATGCGAACAATTATTTTAATACATTACACGGCATACCTCCAGGCCCCTTTAGGCTCCGGACCCCTAGACAAGTGACCGAGCTGCCTACCCCCCCCCCTCTCACGGGCCCTGGGTGTCAGTCGTACACCAGTTCTCATTACAACTTTGTTTAACAGAACCCAGCTCTTAGCTGTTATCTTGCCAAGTTATCGACAAGCATAACATGCATACTACACGACACCCGTAAAAACTATTGTTTAGAAGTATTGTTCTTTATGTTTTCAGACAGGGAATTTGGCAGAAGACAATCGAGTGTTTGAGAAATATTTATGATCAATGTAAAGATAACCCAACAACCTTAAATAATATGGATAAATTATTTAGCATTACCAGATGGCAAGAAGGAGCCGAATTACTGTGTAAAAATGTCAACAGTAAGATTGGGTTATATAACGCCATATTTGACACAAAAAAGCCCCCCCCCCCCCCAAAAAAAAAAAAAAAAATAAATAAATAAATAAAATAAAACCATCTCTGGAGATCTATCGTCACGTTATATCATGACGTCATGTTTTAAAATAACGTCACCAGGGCCCTTATTCACGAAAACTTAAACTAAGATACAATCGAAATTTTAAGAAATACCGCAATTCGATTGGCTGGCCAATATGCAAATTGGATATATGCAAATTGAATTTTACTGGTCAGCCAATAGAATTGCAGTATTTCTTAAAATTTCGATTGTATCTTAGTTTAAGTTTTCGTGAATAAGGGCCCTGAGATTTATTATAACGCCATGTTTTAAAATAACTTCATCAGAGATCTATCGTAAAGTCATATTTTAAAATAGCTTAACAAGTGGTCGATCATAAGACCATATTGTCACAGTTTGAAATTTTAAATAGCCTCATCGGTGGTCGACCATATTGCTACGATTACATCTTGTACAATATAAACATATTATCATTATTTTCAGAAATTGTGTACCAAAAGAAATGTTTGTCGGTAGCACGTGATGATGTAATGGAATGTACTTTACGATACGCCAACACCTTTTCGTCTGGTATACTATCTCTGACACCAAACAGTCCAGTAATATATAAACTATTAGAGGCATGTAGGTACGTATCATCTTGATATACACACTATTAGGTACGTATCATCTCAATATATATGCTATTAAGGGCATGTAGGCACGTATCATCTTAATATATACACTATTAGGTATGTATCATCTTAATATATACACTATTAGGTACATATCATCTCAATATATAAACATTTAGGTACGTATCATCTTCATATATAAGAGACTTTTGGCTAGCGTAATTTCCTGGTCCGTATAGCATATAGTGATGGATTTCGCGTGTGACGTCAACAATACATGTGTATTTCTCATAATATCATATGTGATACGGCACACGGATACGGCAGCACATGTCGAACGGCTTTCATACGGAAATAGCCCGTACAACATTTTACCGTCTTTACTGCTATTTTAGACACTGAAATGTTGTATCATAACGTTCTATGAATCTGTGTGTATCCTAGAACACAAAGGTGTATATTTGATGTGATTTTAACCCTGATAACGACTGGAATTTAATCATTATTTTTCATGGGTTCTCGGAATTTTCATATTTTCCCCGTGGTTGATCTACGGGCTAAATTAAGGGATGCGGGAACTTGCAAATCAGTAAATGATTTTATTCTATGGTAAAGGGGTATGAACTTTCTGAAATGATACATTAGTGAAACCAAAAATTGCTGTCGAGTCTAAGTCGAAGATTTTTAATAAGATTCGACATTAAAAATGTTTTTAATAGCCCAGCGGCTGTCGAGCGACTTCACTCCCTCCGGGAAATTGTAGGTTAGGTACTTGACTAGTACTGGTGGTGATGCTGTAATAGAACTAACCTCAGATTAGCGAGGCGAAAATCTGCCAAAACTCTAAAACTACACTGACGCAACGTATCACGTATACGATACGGATACGTGATACGGATGGGAAAATTCCATTTGCCAAAAGTCTCTGTTAACAAATAGTATGCCCCCTGGATAATCATGATGATACTCACGATTCGTGTCGCTTGGGGCTAATATAGTCCAAGACTCCCAGACTTGCCAGGATGTTATCGCCCAAGAATCTTAGACTTGCAATGATGATATCGCCCAAGAATCTTAGACTTGCAATGATGTTATAGACTTCTGAGGATGATATTGCCAAAGAATCCCAAACTTTCGAGGACGATAAAGCTAAAGAACCCCAAACTTGCGAGGCGGTTATAGCCCAAGAATCACATAATCCCTCCCAGACTTGCTAGGAAGACCCAGACTTGCTAGGAGGATATAGCCCAAGTATCCCAAACTCCCAGACTTGCGAGGATGATATAGCCCAAATTCCAGACTTTCGAGGATGATACGGTTCTAAAAGCTACCGTCCTGGGCCCTGTTTCTCGAAATCTTAACTAAAGTTAAAATCCAAATTTTAGTAGATACTTCAATTTTGATTGGCTAAGCACTAAAATCAATCTAATATTATCCAATCAAATAACTAAAATTTGGATTTTATCTTAGTTAAAATTTTGTGAAACAGGCCCCAGGGGCGGATCCAGAGGGGGGGGGGTCCAAACCCCACCCTGCTCAGCTACATAAAATAAAATGGATGCCTTGCATCAATGAAACTAAATCACAATGTGATCCTACATCATTATAAAAATGATTTCTCTCTTTAAAAAGCTCAATTTGTATGTATGCCTATGTAATTTGTATGTATGCCTATGTAATTTGTATGTATGCCTATGTAATTTGTATGTATGCCTATGTAATTTGTATGTATGTCTATGTAATTTGTATGTATGCCTATGTAATTTGTATGTATGCCTATGTAATTTGTATGTATGCCTATGTAATTTGTATGTATGCCTATGTAATTTGTATGTATGCCTATGCCTATGTAATTTAGAGACGATGATGACAGATTTCCTTAACAGGAACCTGGCAAACCCCCTTCTGAAAAAATTCCTGGATCCGCCTCTGCGGCCCCTGTTTACCAGTGGTTTTAATGATCGATCAAGTTTCACTGGTGGCCAGGCGGGAAACTTATTGCTTTCCATCTTCTTTTTGTACCCTACGCCCTTAGAACACTAGCACCATTAAATAATTTAACGATAAAATTGGAATAATATATTCTCTTCTTTTGTAAGTAATATTTAATATTCAAAGAGGAGATTTCAAAATGAAATAATGTTATTAAGACATGTGATATTTTTATTTTGGACGGCAAATTCCGTTGTCATTCTGAGTTTTGATTATTTAAAAACAAACTCAACACTTACGGAGAACCCGGAGAAAACCCACGAGATTATGCAGGCTTGACTCAAAGAACACACCATCACGCCAATTTGTTCACGGGACCTCGGTTTTTGTACCATACCAATGCCAGATCCTTCGTTTTGCGCCACCGGCAAGGGGGAACCAGGCCGAAAAATCCCAATAAACTTTGGTTGTACGTGACAAGAAGTAGGGTCGCCTGTCCAACCTCGTGGGTTGTCTCCGGGTCCTCCGGTCCTCCCACTGCTAAAGACCTCTACGCGTAAGCGAATTATTGAAACAAAATTAAACCATATGTTAGTCCCGAAATGACCTAGTTTGTTATCACTTCCCGTTTATTTGATATAGCTAACAATTTTGTTCTAGTTACTGCTAACCAGTTCGTACCATCCCCAATTAACAATACTGAATAATTTATCCCATATTAATTAAAGATACATTATGGGAGATTAGATAAAGAGCTGGCAGTTCTCACTATAATAGTTAAAAACTAGATAATGTAAAGGGAGTATGTTGAAAATTTCAGTCAAATTGATCCACTCTGAACCGAGATATTAGAGATTGGATTTTAGGCCTAGCCTCGATCATCATTACTAGAGTCGGTACGATAAAAACATAGTCTCGGTTATCCATTTTTTGATTTAATCATTAATGAGCATTGAGCAGCAGATCGGATTCAAATCCAGTAAAAATCTAATGCATAAAATGGCATCGAGAGTTGATTATGGTCTGGATGGGTGAATTAATGTCTAATAATTAATAATTTAGATAACATTTCAGGCCTAAAGAAAGACCTGTAATAGGCAGATTTAGTTCTTGAATAATGCATGTTTAAGGTTCTGAGGTTAACTAGGGGCAAGAGGTATAAACGTCCATTCGACACAAACTAGGTCAATTCAGAACTAACATATGGTTCATTTAGGGGTCTTTAGCTTTGGGAGTAAACCAAAAGGACCCAGAGGTTGCGCAGGCGTACACGGTACTTCGGTTTTTTGTACCGTCCTAACGACTATACGCTATAGACCTAACAATAATTAGCAGACTAGAAAGATGTGTGAATAAATAATAAATACAGATATAATCCTGAGTAAGCAAAATAAAAACAAAATGGCCATTTATATAGACTAGAAAGATGTGTGAATAAATAATAAATACAGATATAATCCTGAGTAAGCAAAATAAAAACAAAATGGCCATTTATATGAACCACAAACACTAGTTTATTATACATAGTACTCGACATTTCGACAAGTCTTCTCTAAGTGATTTCAAGAACAGGAAGACACTTGTTGAAACATCGCAATATCTACTGTTTAATGGTCGAGAGCGAGACATTAAATAATATATTGATACTGTGTGTGTTGTTTCAATATATTACACAATGTCTTTAGCTCTCGAGGCCATTAAACAACTTAAAATACAGACACTACCCCGCAAGTGCTCTTCAATGAAATACGTCACGCGAGTCAAATATTTCATCTAGTGTAGATAATGTACGATTAGCAAGTTGTCCGTACATTATTTGACATAATGGTACGCCAACATCAAAAGATGACGTCACATCTGTATTTAAGTGTCTTTAATAAACCAGTGATTGTATTCTATATAAACGATCGTTTTGTTTTTAATAAATACAAAATCAGAGATTTAAACTAATAATAAACGCTGGGGTTGTTCAAAAGCTCAAATGTTTTATGGAGACTCTCTAGCAGGTTTTGGGGGTTGGGTGGCCGAATGGCTTAAAGCGTGTGCGTTATATCATTGGGTCAAGTGGCGTGGTTTCGACTCCCCGCTTGTACATGACAAGGTTTAGGGTCGCATGTCCATTCTTGTGGGTTTTCTCCGTTACATTTAGTTCCCTCCCACTGCTTAAGACCCCTAAGCGAATTATTGAAATAAAATTGAACCAAATGTTAGTCACGAAATGACCTAGTTTGGGTCGAGTGGTCGTTACCCCCCCCCCTCTCTCTCTCTCTCTCTGATAGTACACTGCATGGTGCGCGCCCGTCTTCAATAGTCCGATTCGTGCAAATAGCAGGACGTTAGACCCAATTTTCTTTTATTTCTTTAAGCGTATTCATGAATCGTACGTAATTGTCTTATAGTTGGCCGTAACAAAGAATAATAGTTTTATGAATGGCACATTATTTAATTTGGTGACCATGTGGCAACTTAGTACTTATTGCAACTAATATAGCGCAAAAATATCAACTATACCGTTAATAAATATATAGAGACGGGGTGTCCCGGAAACGGAGCCCTGGGGTACGCCACCTATCTTTTTTTAAAAATTAATACTGAATCCAAGTGACCTATGTGATTTATTAAACGAAATGAAATGAAATAAAATGGGGTTAGACATCCCACTGTTCTGTGCCGGGCGGGGTAATGAAGACGGACATACGACATACAGTGTTCTATGACATGTTGAGACGAAAAACCGAGGTCCCGTGTACACAATGGCGTGCACGTAAAAGATCCCTTGACAGTTGGAATTCGATATAAGAGTAGGCCGTAGTGCCGCTGTCCGGGCAAAATTTCCCTCATAGTACACTGTATGGCGTATGCCCGTCTTCATTAGCCCAGTTCGGAGCAAAACAGTAGGACGTTAAACCCCTTTTCATTTCATTTCATTTTGTCCAATTTCTATCATTTTAATTTTATTTAATTTTATTGAATAACTTTTCATTCATATTACAACTAAACTAGCGAAACCCTGTATATATATGATATGTCAACAACATATAGAAACTTTTCTTGTAAGATTTTGAGATTTAATTTTTTTGAATTTTTCATTAACATCACAATTACATTGGACGGTGTCTCTGGTTTCACTGCATTAATATAACTTATTTTGGACACGTTTGACAACTTTCTTTGTAACAACTGTGGAGTTTCACAAAGGCAGGATATTTTTTGAGATACTCGGATGTTTGTTAAGATCCTCGGGAAGACACCCAACCGATAACAGACTATAATTTGTATGATATTTATATATATAGACAGATCCGTGTGTATAAAGGACAACAATGTAAAATATAGAATATACACTGTACATATATAACAAACTATTTTTGTATATGTATAGTCGTGGGTTTTGGCGTGTGACGTATTACATCCGGTTGGTTATTATGAGCAACAGAATATTACAATACCGCGGATTTGTCATTAATACTGGGAAATTATAAGAATCCGTTCAGTCATTTCCGATATTACGCCTGAGGTTAAACGCCGTGAACTCATCGTCCAGGATTAAAGTGAACAATTTAACTGTTGTTTATAAACATCTTGTAAGAATCTTCCAATCTATCAGAGTGATTTGAGATTTAAGGATGAGCGGTCGACTTACAGATCCCTAAAATAGTTTTCCATTATTAAGGTAAGTGTAGACGAGGGCTTTAAACGAATTTAACAAAAATATTCATTCGTAATATTTGCTTAATTTGTTGTCATTTTCCATGTAGAAAGTTTGGGACTAACAAGGGTATGAATGTGGTTTAGCCTCGAACCCTTCTACATAAATTGTTATTAAGGACCGAGATACTACAATAAACAATTGATGTAATTTTAAACAAAGATTTCTCGGGAATAGAGGGGTTGAGAGGTCGGGGGGTAAATTGAATTATACAAGAAAGGTTCGTAAATTGAACTATATAACAAAAATAAGGCAGACATGAATGGGGTTTAGCCCGGTCCCTTTCTACATAAATTAAGGACCGAGATACTACAATTAACATTTGATGTAATTTAGAATAAAGATTTCTCGGGGGGAGAGGGGTTGAGATGTGGAGTGGGGGGAGGACTCGTAAATTAAATTATACAAGAAAGGCTCTTAAATTGATATAGATTATCTTTACGTTTCATAATACTGCTTTACAAATCCCGGGCATACAAGCTTTCTTCTTTAGTAAACGTATGATTATGCATATTTCTAACCCATTCTACACCTTAAATATGATATTGTCAACAATACGTAGTGGATACTAAAGGCGAGATCGGGTTTATTAATAGCGAAATAATATCAGATGTTTACATCATTTATATTTCTTGAGGGCCTTTTCTAACTTTTTGTATTTATCTAATTTAAAAAAAAAAACGATACGTGATGTTTAATTCATCGTAAAGTCTTTTATGGATCGATAACCTATCAATCTCTTGTGGATCGATAACCTATCAATCCTTTGTGGATCAATAATCTATCAGTCCTTTGTGGATATAATTAAATTTCAGTCAGGTGTCAATACGTTAAAACTGGACAATGCATAGTGATAAATACCCCAACAGACTTAAGATAATGACGAAGGAAGATAATCCACCATTCCTTCACCGGACAGCCAATATTAACGGTGTTATAAAGGGACATTTTGTTATACAACAACTTTGCTTTTTATGTATTAACCAATTTTAATTACTCCTTTATATAAAAATAATATAATTAAATCAACCTGTCCAACGTGTATAATATATTGGATGTTAGATTTTTAATAACCAAGAAGAAGAATCCACTAGACAATAAAAACATATTATATAACAAGATGTTTTTAAATTTCTATAAAGTTCTACTATGTAAATCTGTTGTGTAAATATTAGTATAGATTATAATCCTATTTACCTGTCAGGTATAAGATCGTAAGGGCTGTTAGAAGTGGATTTATTATTTTTAATAAAATAAAAGGAACATAGATTTATTAACTATGGATACATTGTATATCCAAGCTCGATTCCCATTTTGTGTTAGGCTGACAAGGACAATATTGCTGTGTCGTCGTTCGGATGGGACGAAAACCGTTACTCACCCGTGTACACACAGGAACCCCCCCCCCCTCCAGACAATCATTACATTGCTGGAATTCGATGACGACTACGAGGAATTGCCGCTGTCTTGACAAAATCCTACCCTCTAATTATTACCCACGTGACCATAGAAATCAATAACCATATGTTAGTTTCAAAATGATCGAAGTACCATGTTACCTGGACGTTAAACCCAGTTCCTACCCGTCTAGTTTATCCACAGGATTAAACCCAGATCATACCCGTCTTGTTTATCCACAAGAAAAGATTATACCCAGATCCTACCCGTGGGTTTGTCATAACTTTTTTTTGGGGGGGGGGTTGGACGAATCCTGGAATTTGGAACATTTCATTACCAAACGAAATAAATAATTACGAACAAGCTCACCACCATGTGGATATAAAACTGAAAATCTGTCCTGGCGATCAAAATCATGGGGGGGGGGGGGCAGAGACCTATTCGTCCCCCCCCCCCTTCCGATTCTAATAAATGAATAAATATGAATAAAGACTGCCCGCCGACTCGCTTTCTCTTTCAATAAATAAGGGCTGGTTTAAACGTAGATTTAGGAAATGAAATGAAATGAAATGGGGTTTAACGTCCTACTGTTTTGCTCCGAACTGGGCTAATGAAGACGGGCATACGCCATACAGTGTGCTATGGGGGAAATGTTGCCCGGACAGCGGCACTACGGCCTACTCTTATATCGAATTCCAACTGTCAAGGGATCTTTTAAGTGCACGCCAATGTATACACGGGACCTCGGTTTTTCGTCTCATTCGAATGACGACGTAGATTTAAGATAGCAGATATTTGCTATAGTAATATACCACATGCAATACCTATATTTTATTTTAGTGTAAGGGTCGCTTAAAATGTCATCTAATGTCAATTATTTTAACATTGTCTTTCTCTTGTAGAAAATATTCAAGCACTGATGACGTCAACAACATTAACGATGACGTCCACCACACCAACAACCAATTTAACCAACGAAGAGAAATGGAGTTATTTAGTAGACCTAGACCAAGAGGAGACAACTGTGAGAATGTTCGCCGCCATGATATTTATTGGTATTCTCGGTGTTGTTGGACTGTTTGGAAACATCCTAGTTATAATCGTCTACGCCAAATATTTCAAACACAACCCCTCCAGGATTTTCATCATCTCCGTGGCTGTGTTCGACTTAATCAGCAATATCTTATGCATTCCGGGTGAAATCTTTGATTTAAAACATTCATTTCGCTTCCAGAACGCTGCCTTGTGTAAATACTTCCGTTTTAATAACGTGTTTGCCGCGGCGTCTTCAATATCTATGCTTGTCATCATTTGTATTGAGCGGTACCTAAAAATATGTCGCCCGTTTAAACCACAAATTGAGTTGCGCGTGGCCTATAAACTGGTTGGGATTGTCGCGTCAGTGTCGTTCATATCGTCACTTCCGGCAATTGTGGTTTACGGGGTGAAAACCAAAAAAATAAACAAATATGGCGTTGAGATTGATGCCTATGAATGTAACATTAGTGATGATTACCAAGGCAGTGTTTGGCCATCAATTTACAAAGCTGGACAGTTTTTGACGTTCCTTGTTTTTGCCGTGATACTAATCGTTCTCTACAGTTTGATTGGCTTGACTATATATCGACACAATAAACGGCGATATAGTCTCGGTGGTAGTATCCCCAGACCAACTGTCAAAAAACAACAAGAACTAACCCCAAGCTCTAGCAATGACGTCATGGATAAACCCGACTCTAGTCCTGACACTGAAAGCATCTCAACCGTTTCCACGATAGTGTCTAGCCCTTCGGAGAAGAACTCCCCCAAAGTTAATTTCAATTTTGACACATCCATTGAAAGTGTGTCAGATGAAAGTCTTTCAAGCAAAAAAGACAGAAAAAACAGCACAATTTCAAACAAAGCCGTTTCGTTGATGACCAAATTAACGTCGAAAATTTTAAGATCCTCGTCGCAGTCTGGTAGTAGGAAGGGATCGGAAACCCTGAAACCTACACAACCTTTTACAGTGAAGTACAAAACAACTTTGATGTTGCTGTCGATCACGGCTGCGTTTATCATTAGTTATTTGCCCCATTTAGTCATTTCATGTATTAAAATTTTTGTCAAAGATTTCGTCAGTGGTTTAACGGATGCCGAGTTTATGGTTTACACGATTTTTCTTCGATCTTATTTCCTCAATTCGGCTATTAATCCCATTATATACTGTTTCTGGAACAAAATATTTCGCGATAATGTGGTTCAATTATTTTGTAAGAACCGGTCAAAGTCGGTTCAAAAAGGAAGACAAGAAGCAAAGGTCAATAACAGTCTTTAGAACCACAGCATCGTTGCAAGCTGGAATTTGATGGGTGGCTAGTTTTATCATCATCGAAATACTAATTTTTGGGGATTTTCGAAATATACTGTTAGAATTACCTTCAATAGAACAGCAACATCCTGGCAATTCTTCCAATGGATAATGAACAGAGACCAAGGGGTATTGGTTCATTGCGAAAAGATACCGAAGTTGCCAGCATAGAAGAACAATCAGTCGGCCAACAGTAAATTATACTCGGTTGTTCCGATCAATGGAGAGCAGTAACGCCTCTTTAACACTCGGCAAACCTCAACAGATTCCAGTAACCTACATCTAATCTCGGCTGTATGACAAAGTCCGCCATTAGAACTACTTTCAAGTTCCCGGATTACAATGGCGTTGTCCATGACGACCAATGACGTCATTGATGACAACGTATTTGAAGAATGTTTTATCTTACAAAATTTTCAAAGTTTGATGCTGTTTTTCTTTCAAGTTTATCCGATTTTCTTTAGACAAGGACAAATTTGCACTGAAAATTCTACACACTCTTCGAACGACGCAATTTTGAGAACTTCTTTCTAAACGCGGGCAAGTTTCCCTTATAAGTAAACCGGTGCCGCATCGCAAATGTATAGGCGTAGGTACATATCACTTACTGTCATACAGCCGAGGCTAGATGTACGGTACCGGAATCTGCCGAGGTTTGCAAAGTGGCCTCTTTAATAATCAATTGTTGTGGATATTTGTTGTTGAATCAGTTTTAATGATGTTATATCTTTATGATTAGCTTTTAAACAATATATCATTCATTTGGAAAATATTGAACAACAGCTCTCTATGGTAACAACCAAACAGATCACTCTGCAAACCTCGGCAGATTCCGTTACTTTACATCTAGCAGTAGATGTAGCACTGGAATCTGCTGAGGTTTGCCGAGTGCCAAACAGATATCCTCGCCAGGCTTGAACACGAAGCCTATATAAGCTGGACATATTGGTTGTTGAGTCAGATTTGATGATGGAGATTTACTCTATGATTGACTTTAAAATAAAAGTATTCATTTAATAAGAACAATCTCCTTACCAAGGCTGAAAACGAGTTCAGCACATATAATACTCTACAATCTCGTAACGAACTGTACAAGAACGGGTCAAATATACATGATACGGCAATGCATGAGACGTTTACTGTTACCTGCCTCATCTTTCTTGACTCGTTAGTCTGAAAATAACGTATTGAAATATGGACTTGACATTAAATATTATTCAATCACTGTGATGATCGTCACAACAATGATCGGGCGGTCACAAACATGATTATCGTCATTTCAACCATTACAGTCGACATCGTGATCAATAATCGTTATCGTCGACATCATTACTACCATCAAATCATCATCGTCAACAACCACCATCTTCATCGTCATTGCTACCACCAAATCATCACTGTCAACCGTAAAGTCACAAACATCATTGTCATCATCATCATCATCATTGCTACCACTAAATGTTCATCATCATCATCCATACTACCATCAAATCATCATCATCATCCATACTACCATCAAATCATCATCGTCATCATCATTTGCCACCAAATCATCATCGTCAACAACATGAAATCCATAATCAATAACCATCATCATTATTATCATCATGAAAATCATCACCGTCAACTTCATTACCTTTTTTTTGTTACAAGGATAAATATTTAATTTCTTCAGTCTTAGAACGACTGATGGCGCTTCTCATGTTTGTTATGTTATGTTATGTTATGTTAATGTTATGTTATCCTATGTTATGTTATCCTATGTTATGTTATTGTATTATATAAATATTGTATATGTGAATATAATGTTATGTTATGTTATGTTAATGTTATGTTATCCTATGTTATGTTATCCTATGTTATGTTATTGTATTATATAAATATAAATATTGTATATGTGAATATAATGTTATGTTATGTTATGTTAATGTTATGTTATCCTATGTTATGTTATCCTATGTTATGTTATTGTATTATATAAATATAAATATTGTATATGTGAATATAATGTTATGTTATGTTATGTTAATGTTATGTTATCCTATGTTATGTTATCCTATGTTATGTTATTGTATTATATAAATATTGTATATGTGAATATAATGTTATGTTATGTTATGTTAATGTTATGTTATCCTATGTTATGTTATCCTATGTTATGTTATTGTATTATATAAATATAAATATTGTGTATGTGAATATTAATTAAAAGTTATCTTATTTTGTTTATTGTTTTTGCATTTTTTAATTTTGAGATTCCAGAAAGTGACAGGTCCAATAAAAAATAATTCCCCAGAGAGTTAAATCTGCAGACTGAATTACTATTACTCTCTAGACCATCGGATGGCTGAGATATTAAGTGGATTAGACAATGCCTTTTTCTTGTCAAAACTTGAAATATTCATAACTTCGCTTACAATAAAGTAATTTGAGTGTTTAATATATTTATTTTTCAATCTTACATAATGTATCTTTAATGTAACTATTATAGCAAGCATGGCCAGCTCTTTATCTAAATCTTACACAATGTATCTTATACTCAGGGATTTATTTCTGTATTTAAAATCTCAAAATAAATATCCGGATATACATCTCAATATAGAAATATGTCCTGTTCAACCTTCCCAGCTTATTGAGAAATCCGTGTGACACATCACAGTTTGTGATCCTGGATAATATTCACACGGATTAACAAGGTCACATGACGTATCAAATATAAAATTACTAGAAGAATGCCCGGCTTCGCTCGGGGGTCATAACCCCGAAACCGGAAGTGGTAGACTAACGCCACCTGGCCTATGTTACTTCCCGGTCCGAGCTACCCCTATACCCCAAATTTCAGACTCGGGGCAGAGCTAGTGTAGCCGCTAACCCCGAACAGACAGACAAACGACAGTCACAAATATTAGTATAGATTATAAACAAACCCGAAAAAAGTAGGCAGGTATAATGTTAGTTTTATAAATGCACCCCCCCCCCCCTCTATATATTTCAAATATATATTTATTATAAACAAACCCGAAAAGTAAGTTTTATAAATGCTCCCCCGCCCTCCCTGTCCCCCTCTATATATGTCAAATACATATTTATTATAAACAAACCAAAAAACAAAGGTAGGTATAATGTTAGTTTTATAAATGCTCCCCGAACCTCCACTCCCCCCCCCCTATATATGTCAAATACATATTTATTATAAACAAAAAACAAAGGCAGGTATAATGTTAGTTTTATAAATGCACCACCGTCCTCCCTGTCCCCCTCTATATATGTAAAATACATATTTATTATAAACAAACCAAAAACAAAGGCAGAAAAAAATAATAGTTTTATAAATGCACACCACTAACCCCCGCCCTCGTCACCCTGTCTGCCCCACTCCCTTTACATGTGTCAGACACATATTTATTATAAACGAACAAGAAGCCAAGGCAGGTATGATGTTAACTTAGCTGTTTTAAATCTATAATGTCGGAGCAGGGCATGGGGGATCGGATCGGGAGATCTGTGACACGAATACTGGTGATGCTGACCTAAAATGAAATAGAGATTAAAGGGTCCACCTTCATGGGCCCCTGGAGTGATGTACCTTCATTAGCCCTGTTGGATTAGAACATTAGGAAGGGGGATTAGGTGGCCGAATGGTTAGCGCGTGCGCGCTGTATCATTGAGTGAATTGCCTGTAACCTCGTGTTTTTTTTTTCGGGTCCTCGGGTTCCCTCCGACTGCTAAGGAGCCCTACGCGCAAGCGAATTATTGAAAAAAAATCATATATTAGTCCTGAAATGACCTAGTATGTGGTCGAGTGGACGTTACCCCCCCCCCCCCTCTCTCACACACACACACCTCTATCTTTCAGGGTTCGACTCTGATGGTGGTCGTGAAAGTGATGCAGAGCGGAGGGCCTGGAGGAGGACAGTGACTATAGTCGCGTGGTGTCGTGCACATATTACGCGTGCACTTAAAAGAACCCCTGCCAGCTGGAATTCTCAATTGTTATCCTGGCTAAATTTTCCCCCACAGCCTAGTGTACGACACCTGTCTTCATTTGTCCCATAGGACGTATTTAAACATTATTTCATTCATTGTGTAAGTGGAAAAATAAAATTGTGTCGGTTGTCTTTCTGCTCTTTCCGACAAATAGTCCCGACTTATTTTAAAGGCAGTATAGACCAACACACAAAATGGCCCTCGAGGCAAAAGGAGTCAAATCGCGATATAAGTTTGAAGACAGGCCCCGCTTTCACAAAACATCCCCAGATTCACGTTAAGAATTTACTCAAAATTGTTCGCCTTATTTTAATTAAAGTATAGCCCTTTATAAAACTTTTGTTGTTTTACTGTATCAAATACACCAATAAGAAACTACATGTATGTGCAAATGTCTGTGTTTTTGGATCAAACATATTTCTCATAAACAGTGATTGAAAGTTGAGTAAATCCTTTCTGAGAATGTGGACATCACTTTGTGTGTCTACTGCATTTAAAATAAGCGGGATTATTTGTCGGAAAAAGAAAAGGAACCAAACACTTTAGAAATGAATATTTTTTAAGTGGCATTTAGTAACTGGGCAGATAAATAAACATACTTATATGGAAGAACAATTACCATAGGCGTAGGAGCTCAAAGTAATTCAGGGGGGCATAAGAGAAAATTGCCCGAAATCAATACCGTTTTTTCGGGCATACCTATCATAAGAGAGCTTCGGGCATATTTTCGGGCATGCAGTGGACAAGAAAAAGACGAGAAAATACTTTTCGGGCAGTGTGGATCTCAGAGAAATAAGTTAGTTATATTTTTTCTCGAAACGTTAATAGAAAAAAAAGGTCGTCGAATTTTTCATTGCCCGAAAATAAATTTTGCCCCCCCCCCCCCGCCTATGACAATTACTGATTTATTTAGGCGACGTTTCGAAGAGTTTTCTCTCAACGTTTTAGCTTGAAAACGTTAAGAGAATACTCTTCGAAACATCGCCTAAATAAATCAGCTGTTTTTCCAAAAGTATGTTTATAGTTTATTTAAACATGATGATGAGTTAGTTGTACTTTACGTCCGCTTCCACCGAGGTGATATCGCAGATATTTAAACATGAAGTGGGGAGAATTTATAGTCTATTCTCCCTTCCTTCCTTCCAGCTGAACAGTAGGATGTTGAACCTCATTTCATTTCATTTCCCTTCTATGACTAAAAATGTTTGAGTGAAAACCCTCAAAACTCAGACAATTCGGGACTAACATATGGTGCAGTTTTATTCAATAATTCGCTGCATAGAGTGAAAGACACCGTGAAACGTGGTTAGAAAGATGGTTTAACATCCACTGACCACAAAATGGGATTAACATAATATCGTAAAACTACCAGACGTGGAACGAGAAGGTTCAACATCAACTAATATATGGTTCAATTTTATTTAATAATACGCTTGCGTTCAGGGGTCTTTAGCAGCGGGGGGGGGGGGGGGATGGGGTGCGGAGACGTGGTTGGGCAGGCTGTCCTATCTTACTTTCCTACCCCTAAACCACTACAATACTTTCCAATTTTCAGTCTTTGGATGTCTCTTTTCCCGGTTTGCTATCACCACGTGAGCAATGGGGATTATCAGGCATGGGGAGGGGGCAAACGAGGTTGGGTTTCTTTTCTAGATTATATTATTTTACCGCCAAAGAATGTTTCATTGGTTATCGATGTAGACAATATAATTCGAACGTAAAGAATAAACCCCTTTACTGGCAGGGGGAGGGAGAGGGGGGTTGAGGGGGTCGATGACCTTGCATCCAATCGATTTTATAAATTTGCATCCAATCGATTTTATAAATTTAAATTATCTTCCGTTCTGATGTTTCTGTGTATTAGACCCTATAATCAAGGGGTTGATCTCGGTGATCGCCAAACCCCTGTACGCCATGTTTCTGAATATTAGGCCCTATATTCAAATATTAGGGTTTGAAATCAAGGGATGATCACCAAAAGTTATTGACACACTGTTGAAGGTTTAATGATTTATTTGTTATGACAAATAAAACGTTTTATTCTTATATATTTTCAGGTTCGCTGAAGGGTCACTAGGATGTATGTCTGAACCTCTATCACGATTCTGTCCACCTCACATTAAACATATCTTATTGTCCGCCATGTCCCGATTTTTACCGCCAATTTGTGACCACGTGGATAAGTATGGACGCTTCATTCAAGGTGAATCACGAACGGAAGACGTTGACGTCACTGGCTGAGTCATATATTGATTGTCATCAGAACATTTGAATGTTAAAATCTGATTACAGATGCTTTGTGTAAGATTTAGATAAAGAGCTAAGAGTTCTGCCATAATAGTTTTTAAAAAAAAGATAAAAAATGTGAAATATGTCCAAGTTTGTGCATCCTTCAGACTTTCAGAGGCCACAATTTTTGTCCACCAGAATGGGCGATGTTTTCTTAAACTTATTAGTAAAATAGTGGCCGCTGGCCGTGTTAGAGGAGTGACCATTGATTGAAGAGATGAAACAATAGAATTTTTACGGGTGGAATTTATCGTGACCGCTTACAAGGAGATGTCGCTGAATAGGAATGGCTGCTCATACAAATTCTAATAACAGGGTCAGGTGGAATCCTAGGTTATTCATCCTCCTTGATTTTGCTCAACCGAGTATAAAACACAAATTCATGTTCTGCTAGATTTGATGCAGACCTGCCCGGGTAGGGGAGGTGAGGGGGGGGGGGCAAAGACCTCATGAGGAGAAGAACCTAGGGCGGGCCTCTCTTCATCTAAATCGGGCATTTGACAGGTAACAGAGCATTTTTTTACACTTATATTTTCCAACAGTTAGAGCATTATCGTTTTTGACTTGGTTGACATCTTTTGAGTCATAAGTGTGAAGGGAGCCACGGTGGCTAGGTGGTTAAGACGCTGGCTCGCTAGCCTGGAGGTCGGGTGTTCGATCCCTGCATTGGCTGAGAAAGTTCATCTGATTTTCCAACGTGGTTTCCCCTTGTCAGTGGTGCAGAACGGAGAGCTGTCTAGTCCTTCGGATGAGACGAAAAACCGAGGTCCCGTGTACACATTGGTGTGCACGTAAAAGATCCCCTGGCAGTTGGAATTCGATATAAGAATAGGCCGTAGCGCCGCTGCCCGGGCTAAATTTCCCTCATAGCACACTGTATGGCGTATACCTGTCTTCATTAGCCTAGGATAGGAGCAGAACAGTAGGACCTTAAAACCCCATTTCATTTCATAAGTGTGAAATCGTTGGACATGAAATAATGTGTAAGATTCCTCTCCGGGTATCAAATAGTCAAGGTGTGTGCTGCTCACCGGGTATCAAATAGTCAAGGTGGGCTCTGCTCCCCGGGTATCAAATAATCGGGTTGTGCGTTGCCCCCCCTCGCGTCCTTTTCCTTCGGATTTGCCACTAGGGCTATGTAATGAATACAGGTACAGTAGAATACTTTATATACTATGCATTAAGGACCCCACTCTTTGTCACGTACAAGCCGTGAGTTGAAACCACACCATTTGACTCAATAACAGACATTCTGATCCAACACGCACGTGTTAACCATTCACCCCCACCCTTCCCATATTTAACGGGTTAATATTTACCTGATATAGTAATGAATATTTTATTAATTTGCTGTAGTAAATATTAACAATCTAAGAATATACCACGTATTTATCTAGATATACAACATGTATACCTAGTGTAGGGACAATATCAGACATATAACCAGTCATTGTTTTTCAAGGCGAGCGATCGTTCTCATGCGACTGCCACTCACCTGAATGGCGGCAGAGGGGAGCTTTTTCTCCCTATCACTCTCCTTTACAAAATCATGGGGAGTTTATTACCATTTATGAATGCAGGAATGACCCCTTAACATGCAGTTATTGATCTTCAGAACCATTTCCCATACACACAACTAATCACTCTCCTTAATATCAGATCATTCTCCTTAATTTCTAAATCACTCTTATCAAAACTGGGAGAGCTTTTTTAGGGGAGGGATTTTTTCAATTTGTTGATTAAGGGGAGTTTTTTCAGCTCTCGTCAACAACGACTGTATAATTTATTGCCTCAAAACATCATTTACAAATTGACCTACAAATCAGATGACCTATATTTATTTTAATTTTGTTTATAAACAGTATTTAATTTTATTGAAATTGGAATTAATTTTAATGTTCTACTTTTTTGCATCCATTTTGGTTAAAGAAAAAGACAGCAATCGAATTCCAAATGTTGAGGATTGTTTTACGTACTTGCCAATGTGTACAGGGGACGTCTCTGTATTTTGTAACATCTCAACGACTTGATACTATTCAGGGCTTACATCCGACTTGACACAGAGAAACCACGCCAAAAAATCATAAGTGAACCCAAGACATCTTGGGCAACCTTCGGCAGTAGACTATGGTCGCAACTAGTCTGGTCAGCCCAGTCATCTTTAAACTATCCCAACCATGCTCTATAGCATGAAACGGCTGGTCACGACCACAGGTTGAACTAAATGTCGTTTGACTATACTACAAAAATCTGTGCAAACCGAAGGCCGCCCTTGCTGGCATGACAGTGTCTTACTTACTGAGCCACAGTGGCTCCAAAATAAATATCTGATTTATAATTTAGAGAACAGAGAGAGAGAGAGAAATGGGTTTAACGTTCACTCGACGCAAACTAGGTCATTTCGGGACTAACACATGGTTCAATTTTAATTCAATAATTCGCTTGCGCGTAGGGGTCTTTTGCAGTGGGAGGAAACTGGAGGACCCGGAGAAAACCCACGAGTTTGGACAGCCGACCCTACTCCTTATCACATACAACCAGGGAATCAAAACCATACCACTTGACTCAATGACAGACCGTATGATACAACGCACACAAATGTGCTAACCATTCAGCCATCAAACCCCCCCAGAGAATGGGGAAACAAAAAGCAATCTGTATTATTTTATTTACGTGACGTGATGAAGATGTGACTAACACATCATACAATATAATGACTATAACAAGATGTTTGACTGCTAAATAATAAACAATAAATATAAGATTCTCGTTTTTATTTCTTTTTCTTGTTTTTTTGACTAGATGCTCCGTCACCTTCACCTGATGCATGTTGTACTTTCTGCCATTTTAACGGTTTTCGTCTGTACATTGGCCATGGTGGTAGAGTTAACTGAAATAAAATTATAATAATATTAATTATGAATAGTTGTAGGTGTCAAAATAAGGATTGTAGTGGGGTAATATGCTAAACAAATTCTGCTGGTTTGCTACATGTAGAGCTAAAATCAAGAAAAACTTTAAAATTGTAGTAAAAAATCATTTGAAATATATATAGAGAGAAATGGGGTTTAACTAGGTCATTTTGGGACTAACATATGGTTCAATTTTTTGCTTGCCGTGTAAGGATCTTTAGAAGAGGGGTGAAACCAGAGAAAACCTATGAGGTTGGACAGGCAACCAACGCTTTATCGCATACAAACAAGAAATCAAAACCATGCCACTTGACCTATCCAACGCGCATACATTAAACTTTCGGCCACCCAACCTCCCCATTTGAAGTACTGTATACAGGTAAGCTAACAGGTAAGCTAACAGGGTTGGGTCTAGCATCTAGGGTCACGTGTGCAATGAGTAGCATCGTGATATCATTAACACAACGAATATGTTTCAGCTTCCATGGTTGGTTGAGATATTCTCTTATGCAGCTATTCAGTTAACTTAGCCTGAAATCCCCCTGTTCAATTGAATATCCCCATAGGCTGATGTGAACGTGTACTAAGAGAGATAACTCTGTTTAGTAATACCCGGGCAGCGACACTATGACCTACTCTTGAATTTCAACTGCTTCGGGATCTGAATGACTAGACAGCCGTACTTGTCAGGCCCTCCGCCCTACCCCACTGACAATGGGAAACCACATTGGATAATCTCAGTGAACGTTCTCGGCCAATGCATGGATCAAACCTGTGACCTCCAGACTAGCGAGCCAGCATCTTACCCACTTAGCCACTGTAGATCCGTTTAGCAAATGAATATATTAAGTGTACATACCAAACAAGACAAAGCAAATCCAGCTATTAATATATACATGGTCTGTGAAAACTGTTGACAGATATATCCCCACACAAATCCTACAATCTATAATAGATAAAAACACACAGAAACATCAAATATAACACACATTTAAAATAAATCTAAATTGCAAACTTTTTCTTAAAATTTTCATGATAAACACAAAACAAATACACAACATGCCACATACTGAAAAAAAAAATTTAAATTTAAAACTTCCTCTCAAAAGTTGAAACATATAGAAAATAATTCACAAAAATTATAAAAGTTAGCTAAAAATAATTATATTTTCAATTTTAGACAGATAGATACAAATTAAAACACAGATCCTATTTCATTTCGTTTTTATAGCTAAAAATTTCGTTTTACTTGTCTTTACTACACTAGGATCTGAAAGAGCTGTTATCATTGACGGGTTCTGAATGATGTGAGGGATTAGCCAATGAAACGGTCTGTTACAGCGAGCTTTAGGCGTGTTTTGCGAGGAACTGTGGGTAATCCACTAGTACTATCAATCCTGATTGGTTAATCAAATGTCTGTCGTGATAGAGTCATAAGCCGCTCATATGACTTCTGACGCGACCTATCGCCACAACCGGTCAGATCTTCATGTAGTGTAGGCCATCGAAAGTATAAAAAAACGAAACGAAATATAGATCTGTATTCTAATCAGATTGACTTGCAACCAGATTTCCACATTTATTACAGTATCTCCCGTCAAAAGGCAAAACCTAGTAACTCACTTTTTTCTTATTTTGAGAAAACAAAGGAAAACGTAATGAATGAATATTAAACGCCAGCTCATCCATTGATTTGACTATTGAGTTACTAGGTTTTGCTGTGATATACTAGGCAAATGAAGGAAGTTGCTAGGTTGTGTCATGGGTGTAACTGCTTACAAAATCAAAAGATTGGAATATCTAGTACAACAACTGGAGACACATACCCTAGTAACTACAAATATGGTCCTAACTCAATTTTGATAAAAAAAAGTGAGTTACTAGGTTTTGCCTTTTGACGGGAGGTATGTTAAAGGTGCATTATGGGAGATTAGATAAAGAGCTGGCAGTTCTCATTATAATAGTTCAAAAATAGATAATGTAAAGGCAATATGCTGAAACTTCAGTCAAATTGCTTCACTCTGAACCGAGAAATTGGAGATTAGATCATCATTGTCCATATTTGGATTTAATCAACAATGTATGTTGAGCGGCAAATCTGATTCAAATCCAGTAAATATCGCAGGTTAGCGATGACATCGGGAGTTGATTATGGCCTGGATAAGTTAATTAATGTCTAATTAATAATTTATATAACATTTAAGGCCTATAGAAAGACTTGTAATAGGCAAATTGAGCTCTTACATAATGTATGTTTAAGATTTCTTACTTTTTTTAAAGATGCATTGTGTAAGAGCTACATGTAAATCTGCATAAAGCAGGTCTTTTTTCTAGCTTCAAATGTTCTATAAATTATTATTTCGATATTTATTCACAAAAAAAAACGCCCATTATCAACTCTCTAGACTATGAGAAGGGTGAGAAATTAAGTGGATTAAAAAAGGTCTGGCATATCTTTGTGAACATTTTCGTAGCAACATTACTTGATAATGTACACTTTTTCTTGTCAAAACTTCAAACATTCATTACTTCGCTCAGAATAAAAAATTTAACTAAAATTTTCAATATATTCATCATCTATTACATAACAATTATGGCAAGAAGGGACAGCTCTTTCTCTAAATCTTACATAATGCATCTTTAAGCTATACATACATGTATGCCATATTATTCTAGATCCGACCTATATTACAAAGTAAAACAATACTTACACCAAAAAGACAAATAATTATCTGGAATGTTTTCTCTGCTCGTCTTTGTCCATCAAAATCCTAATAAAGAAAATTTAAAATGTTTTAAATCTATACTAATATTTGTGACTGTCGTTTGTCTGTCTGCCTGTTCGGGGTTGGCGGCTACACTAGGTCTGCCCCGAGTCTGAAATTTGGGGTATAGGGGTAGCTCGGACCGGGGAGTAACATAGGCCAGGTGGCGTTAGTCTACCACTTCCGGGGTTATGACCCCCCCGAGCGAAGCCGGGCATTCTTCTAGTGCCTGTTAATACAGATCAAGGTTGTTAACGACCAAATTATGCTGCCACAGACATCAATATTACACTAATATTAATTATTTATATATAATTTTACGATTTGTTTTGAGTGTTTTTTTTTTTCTTTCTTTAGAGAAATAAAGTGACGTTGTTCAAAATAAGTTTTTTGTTTGCACTTGGACTTCTACAGTTTGTGCGAAAACACCTATTGTCATAATCCGGAATCATTTATATTTATTCTTAATGGAGTATCACTCATCTGGAACCCATTTTTATGGGTCATCGTTTCGTAAAAAAACTTTTTTGAATCCTAGTGCTGTCCTAAGTGACCAATCAACAGGGAATGAAAAAACCCCAAGGTTATTGAGGCACCATGTTTGATTCCTGACAGTTCCATCCTATCACATACGGATGGAAATGGAGACAGAACTACATTGGAAGATATTAAGACAAAATTTGGTACCATAGCAAACAACAGGAGCAGTGGGGGGGGCGAGTGAGTATAATCTTGGCTGGCAAACCTGGAGGTACTGGCTGCAGAGCCTGGCAAGGGTCAACACACAGTCATTCGGATAGAACGTGACTGAATGTCAAAAATATTTACTGTAATTGCCGTAAACTTCTGTATTATTTTTGTACAGTTAAAATAAATACATGTATAACAAACAGTTTTTAAATATTTTATCTATGTACGATGTAACCTAAAGTTTCTGAATTCAGGTTCAGTGGTCATCGTGGTAATCCATTAAATAGCCTGATCAAAGTCAATTTCGTGCGTGCAGATTACTGATTAGTCAACGGAAATTAGACAGAGAGGTTAATCTGTGCTCAACATACACATGTAAAAGTGATTGTTGGATTTTGTAATAAAAGTAGGCTGTAGTTCCAATGTCCGGGTCAAATTTCCCTCATAGCACACTGTATGGCTTATATTCGTCTTCATTAGCCAAATCAGACTATCTGGAGCAGAACTGTAGGACGTTAAACCACATTTCATTTTTTCAATATGTTTCAGAAAAAAAAATATGACTGGGACTCTTGTAAACTCCTTCGTCCAGTATACAAAAATGATATGGCTAAAAATTCGTTTTTTAATAAAATTTTATTTTATTCACAACAGAGAAGAGAAAAAAATTATGAACCATTAAAAGCTGACGTGTTCGTCAGTTCCTGGCCATATGGCATGGGTATCTCACAAGCTCACAGTCAGTTGTTCTAGCTTAAATTTCCTAAACTAACACCAAAATTACGTTACCATGTGAACAGGAATGGACTTGATAAAGTCTGGAACCAGTGGCATAATATAATCCATCGTAATTCGACTTTAACCGCAAAGACAAAATTTTATAAAATCTGTTATGACTGAAATAGGAAGTAGTAACTCTTTAGAAAAGAAGGATAAAACGGTACAGTCAGTTGCATTAAAATTTCGGATTACCAGATAAAATAAACGTAAAACGAAGCGGCTGTTACGAAATTGTGTATTTGTAATATAGATAAAACGAAACGCAAAATAGAGTCAAAACAAAGATAAAGATGGCGATGTTGAGAGCGGTAGTCAAGTGGATCCTTGTTCTATGTTTTGCGATTTTTTGCATTCAGTATTGGCTGGACCATAAATCTTTTGTATTTTCCCATGATGAAATAGCTGCCATTACTAAAAATCACATTGGTAAGATTAGTGTAATATAAATATTCCATGAAAATTTGAACACAAATAATTTGAGTGTGGATGGGTCGGTGTGATAACATGACCTATATATAATTATCAGGTGATATGATTAAATCCATAAGTGCAGATATATATTATTAATAGAGAATGAATTATATATGTAGGTCATTAATAGTACACATGTAAGTGCAGGGGCACTGAACCACACATTATTTACACAAAAACAAATATACGGACAAGACATATAACGCAGAAATCATAAACAAACGTACAATTCAAATAAAGTGAATAGATCTGGGGGCTAGTCGTAAGCGTCCACTACGCTGTACAGCCTGTAATGACACAGACTTCACTCAAATTTGAAAACAATTGGGAATAAAACCCAGAGAAACCATTGTGTAATGCCAGCATGAGTCAGATCTGCTATATGTTACAAGAAATAACATACAGCAGCGGTGGCTCACTTCCGAAATGACATAGTTTGTGTCGAGTGGATGTTAAACCCCATTATTTTCTCACTGAGTAGGACGTTGGTGTTTAACGTGGATGTCCCATGTTTGATTCCCTGCTTGGCCGAGAAAGTTCATAGGAATTTTCTGGCATGGTTTCCCGGGGTGTAAGATTGAGGGTCTGACAGGGGACAATGTATAGTTGTTTGGATGGGATGAAAAACCGTGGTCCCGTGTACACATTGGCGTGCAGGTAAAAGAAGCCCTTAACAGATGGAATTCAAAATAAGAGTAAAGTAGGCTGTAGCACCGCTGTCCGTGCAAAATTTCCCTCATATAGCCCAGTAGGAGCAGAACAGTAGGACGTTAAACCCCATTTCATTTCATTTCATTTTGTCATATTATTATATATAACTAAAGTTAAAATCCGATTGGCTTTAAATTTAAACACAGTGTTTAAGGTCATGAGACGAAGAAGCCTATTGATTTTCAACGATATCTGATAATTACTGCCAGAGTTATGGCTCTTGATCACTTAGAAAAACCTTGTGGACACTCTTTCCAGTTTCTCGTGTTTCTATAGGACTTTTTTTATAAGGGCTGTCCAACAAGTTGGTTCTATCTGGGTTCTCCAGTTTGCCCCAAACGCTAAACACATGTGCCCGCAATCGAATTATTGAAATAAACAAACTTGAACCCGGAGGTGCAATGTAGTCCCGAAATGACATGGTTTGTGTCAAGAAACCCCATCTCCCTCTCTCTCTCTCTCTCTCTCTCTCTCTCGAGGGGTGGATGGCGCTATATCATAAAGTCTGTCATTGAGTCGACTGGCATGGTTTCGAATCCCCGGTTGTACGTGACAAGGAGTAGGGTCGCCTGTCCAACCTCGTGGGTTTTCTCCGGGTCCTCCGGTTTCCTCCCACTGCTAAAGACCCCTACGCGCAAGCGAATTATTGAAAAAATTAAACCATATGTTAGTCCCGAAATGACCTAGTTTGTGTCGAGTGGACTTTAAACCCTATTTCTCTCTCTCTCTCTCTCCCTCTCTCTCTCTCTCTCTCTTGAAGGAGCATATTGTCCTGGGTAAGAGTGAACTTTGAACTTTCTCTCTAAAAACACCATGCCATAATTTCAGTCAAATATAGTTGCAACTATTATTGACGATAAAGTTAGGCTATGTTCCAAAAAAGTCTGACAATTAATGTGTTACTATCTAAAGAACAAACATATTAAAGGATCTAAATCTCTAACTCAATATTCTATATTTTAGGTTCATCAGCAGAGAAATCCTTCCAAAATGTTTTAAAAGAATTGCGAAAGAAATATCGTGGTCATATTTTACCCGATAAAGATCTACAATGGATATTTATGAATGCTGGTGGTTGGATGGGGCAGATGTACGTCGTTCACGCCTCTCTTACAGAATATCTCCTTTTCTTCGGAACAGCCATCGAGACAACCGGACATTCAGGTAATATATAGGCCTAACTCAGGAATTATAAATTTTATAAACCAAACTATTAACATAATCCCCACTTACTTCCACAAAGGCTAATATTTAAGAGTCATTCCATGAGAAAACCATACAAAATCATGCAAAGGCAAATAGATGGGTGATGTCGGAAGTTTTGATTCATATTTTCAGGATTTCGAGGTATACGTAGGTGTTTTAGCCAATTTTCAACAAAGTTTTAGTCCTTTTTAGGGAAGTGAGTTTATCAAAACATTGATCTTCCTCTTTCAAAATTACATGATGACAGACTTCAGTCCCTTCATTTAAGGGGGGGGGGGATGGCTGAGTGGTTAGCACGTCCGCGCTTCATCACAAGTTCTGTCATTAAGTCAACTGACGGGGTTTCGAATCCTCGGTTGTACGCGACAAGGAGTAGGGTCGCCTGTCCAACGTTGTGGGTTTTCTCCGGGTCCTCCGGTTTCCTCCCACTGCTGAAGACCCCTATGCGCAAGCGAATTATTGAAATAGAATTAAACCATGTGTTTGTCTCGAAATGACCTAGTTTGAGTGGACGTTAAACTCCATTTCTCTCTCTCTCACTTATTTAAGGGTTGCCATTTGTCAAGAAAAATGGGCTCACATTGCGTGCATACGCAACTCTTGCTGTGGGTCTTAGATAAATTCGCGTAATGTAGGAGGGGACCATGTTTATCTATATCGGCAATAAAATTATTTCCAGCGGATCTGATTCTCATTTGGAAAACTACCTAAATTGGTACTTTTTTTGTATGTATTTTAGTCAATTTTCAGCAAGGAGATTTGTTTTGACAGGTAGTTGACTCTGACAGGTATTAATAGGTAGATATGATTCGGATACAGGTAGATATTGTAGCAATAGGTAGATATTGTTTGGATACAGGTAGTTTTTGTGGTAATTGGTAGATATTGTATTAACAGGTAGATATTGTAGTGTTTTGACAGGTAGATATTATTTTGTATTAACAGGTAGATATTGGGCTAATATAAGTGATACAGTATTAACTGGTACCTTTAGACAATGGCATGAAGGAGAATTAACCTACAAGACTTATAAACCAGGTAGGTTCCTTCTTATTACGGGGGCGGTAGGATGGCCTAGTGGTCTAGATTGTCATGCTTCAAACTCTACCTGGCCGGTCACCTCTGTCTTACCTTGAATGGTTAAATGTGCGTGTACTCGTTTCCGCAGAAGGTCTGTCATTGAGTCAAGTGGCGTGGTTTTCTCTGGGTCCTCCGGTTTCCTCCCACTGCTAAAGACCCCTAAGTGCAAGCGAATTATTGAAAGTTCGTATGAACGTAAAATAACCCTTGACAGTTGGAATTTGAAAAAAGTGTAGGCCGTAGCACTTCTGTCCAGGCAAAATTTGCCTCATAGGATCATGTATGATGTATGCACATCTTCATTAGCCATGCTAGTGCAGAGAAGTAGGACATTATGGCTATATAAATAACTGAAAATGTTTTGTACGTTTTGTTTAGGTGAAACAGTTTACCATTATTGGGGAGAGGCTACTGCTGTATCATGGACTGACAACACGTGGATGGTGGAATATGGACGAGGTTTTATACCATCAACGCTAGGATTTGCGCTATCAGACACATTCTTTAGCACTCAGGATTATCTTTCCTTGTTTTATATTTTAAGAATTTACGCTAAAGCTCTTCTACAGGAGGGTGGATTTTATTTCATCGAATTAAAAGATTATCTCAAACAAGCTTTATGATGAAATATTATTTAGTTTGCATGTTTGTGTCTGGACAAAAACCATGTAAAGAATAGATTGTCCAGTCTCTTTATGAAAAAATATTAATTAATTGTTTGCGTCTGGACGAAAACAGCGTAGAGAATAGATTGTCCAGTCTCTTTATGATGCAATATTTTTTAGTAGTTTGCATCTGTTTTGTGATACTCCTGGTAGATTAATTAAACCTTTTAAATTTTATTAAATGGAAGCAGAATAACTACTTAACAAAATTCTTGAAGTATGCTTAGTGTTTTCGACTAAAATCGTTGATTTAGGACTTAAAATGTCGGTCAACTAGCTTAGTGTCTGTTTTCAAGCGAAGCTAACTGTAGACAAGACAGGGTAAGTTTAGTATGATAATTTAGTTTGTATGTATAGTTCGGGACAAAAAAAAAAATGTATTATTTTTTTGTCCTAGTTATAGAGGATAGAATGTCCAGTCTCTTTTTGATGAAATCTAGTTTGTATGTTTACGTCTGGTTGAAAAAAAGTATTATATTTTGTTCTCCGGGTTCCTCATTCCTTGAAAATTGAAACTAAATTATTTTAAAAATGCAGCCTTTTCATTGGCTAAAAGCTAAATTATGTACTATGATTTTAACCAATGAAAAACCAGCACCCTTAAGATATTTTAGTTTCAATTTTCACGAATAAGGCCCCTGGTAGAAAATAGAATGACCAATCTCCGTTTGATTAAATATCACTGCAGAATTGATGTTATACGCCATACAAATAAATGTTTTTTACTACCGGTATTGAAAATAATGATCATGTATCTATATATAGCAACCCATTAATAGTACATTTACTACTAGATGTTATAATAACACCATGGAGCAGGCGGATTCATGTGACCTCATTGTTTACGCTACAGTATTTGTTTTCCTGTACATTCATTACGAACTGGTCAAAATATGGTTCTCTTACCAAGGAAACGCTTAGCCGAGTTTTTACTTGCGACGCCAGGTGGGAATCCCTTCAGCGAGGACGCCCATTATGTATGTATGTGACCATTATTGTAAACTAATGTTTAGTATGTGTTAGGAATTATATAGTAGAGCAGTAACAATTTCATTGTTCAATGCTTTGGGAAAAGATAACTTTGATTCTAACTGATGGAGAGGGATGAAACTTAATTAGTGTACGTTAGTTTCCTTACAAGGTACTTCAAAACCTTGACTGAGTTTGATAGTCAACATTTTCTGCTTAGACTAAGTATAGATAATCAGTTTGATTGCTTAATACTTTTGAAAGAGATAAATGTGTATTTAATTAATATGTGTATTCTATTTATTTGGGATTTCGGTTGGATTGTTAAAATTTAGATATGACATCACCCTATGATTTTCAATATGACAGTCTTACTTTATTGAATATACTAGATAAAATATTGGACCTGCGTGATGATATCATTGTACAGGATAGTGTTTCATCCAATCTGATTAAAAAACAGATCTATATTTCGTTAAGTTATTTTATACTTTCGATGGCCTCCACTACACGAAGATATGACGGGTTGAAGCGATAGGTCGTGTCAGAGGTCACAGGAGCAGTTTTGACTCTATGATGTCAGACATTTGATTAACCAATCAGCATTGATGTTACTAGTAGATTACCCACAGTTCCGTAGAAAACACGCCTAAAGCTTGCCGTAACAGACAGTTTCATTAGCTATTCCCTCACATCATTCAGAACACGTCAATGATAACAACTCTTCCAGATTCTAGTGTAGTAATTAAAAGTAAAACGAAATTTTGAACTATAAAAATGAAAAGAAATAGGATCTGTGTTTTAATCAGATAGTGTTTCATTTTAAGTTGTTTAATGGTCATGAGCGAGATATCATGCAGTATCAATAATTTATTTAATGGTCATGAGCGAGATATCATGCAGTATCAATACATTATTTAATGGTCATGAGCGAGATATCATGCAGTATCAATACATTATTTAATATCTCGCTCTCGACCATTAAACAATACATAAAATACAGATGTGACATCATCCTTTTAACGGTACGGGCTATGTGCTAAGCATACATTATTTATACTAGTTGAAATTTTGGACTCCCATGACATATTTCATTGCTAAGCATGCCCAAGTGTCTGTATCTTAAGTAGTTTAATGGTCTCAAGCTTAAGACATTGGGTGATATATTGCAATAAAAGCTTGGGACTCGCGTACCTCATATTGTTTCAATATGTCTCGCAATGTCTCGCTCTTCACCATTAAACAACACATAATTTGGGTTTTAACACTTGAGTGACACATCGAAACGCATCGCACAAGAGTGGGAACTTAGCATAACTGACTCGCTAGTAAACGTTATGCATATAAAATGACAACTCACATCTGTATATGACAGACATTTAATTTGTTAAAGTCATTTTTTCATAAGTGAACAATATCAACTTTAGAATATATACAATTACGCTTATCAAAGATCCAAGAACCACTATTGTAATATGGTCGACCCATTTGTCAGATTGACTTGATATTGCTCAATTATGTTACTAAATACAGTATGGAGAATTAATCTAATTAATTAAAAAATTTACTTGTAAATATTCCCGCTTTGAGTAGAAGATAAACAGTAGAATGTTAATTAAACCCCATTTCATTTCATTTTTCATATAACATAGTTATCTCCCTTGGTCCAGAGTTATGTGCCTGCCTACCTAACTCTAGGTCTGGGGAGACAACTCTGCCATATGCAAATCAGGAATTGACAACTGCGGTTCCCGGTAGCTCATTTTAGAAACCGTCTGAAGTTACTGCTCCTTAGACTACCTCAACCTTCCCTAGTCACAGAACTAGTCTACTGTTTTAAATAGTTCACACAACATTTATGATTGTATGCTCGAAGGGGGCAGTAGTTTCAGAAGGAGCAAGCTGATCATTGCATTAGTTTCAGATTATTGCATTAGTTTTCGCTGAATTAAATCAATCCGATTAAAACACAGATCTATATTTCGTTTCATTTTTTTTTTATACCTTTGATGGCCTACACTACATGAAGATCTGACTAGTTGCAGTGGAAGGTCGCGTCAGGGATTGTACGACCAGCTTTTGACTCTATGGCATCAGACATTGATTAATCAATCAACCTTGAACTTTCTAGTGGTTTATTCACTGTTCCATGCATCGCACACCAAAAACTTGCCGTAACATTGGCTAATCCCTCACTTCAATCAGAACAACTCTTCCAGATCCTAGTGTAGTAAAGACAAGTAAAACGAAATTTTGAACTATAAAAAACGAAATGAAATAGGATCTGTGTTTTAATCAGATTGAAATTAAATAGAATTGTATAATTTATGTATGAAGATTATATAGAATGATTTTACCAAATCGATACAACATACTTTATATATTCAATAATCGTTTATTCATCCAGTTGTGCCATGCAGACTAAAAAGTTTGCTCTTCAGGAACACATTATTTTGTTTCAGGTAAAATGATAATTTAAAATCAAAAAATAGTTTGTTATTGTTGTTCATTAGGATCTTCTGCATTGTCAGTGGGGGGCGGGGGGGGGGGAATTGGATGGCCGAATGGTTAAGATGGAGGGTTAGCATGTGCGCGCTGTATCGTAAGGTCTATCATTGAGTCAACTGGCGTGGTTTCGATTCCCCAGTTATATGTGACATAATTTGCTTGCTCGTAGGGGTCTTTAGCAGTGGGTGGAAACCCGGAGAAAACCCATGAGGTTGGACAGGCGACCCTACTCCTTGTCACGGAGAGAGAGAGAGAGAGAGAGAGAGAGAGAGAGAGAGCCGATATTTAAACGGCTTGTGATCGGCCAATAGATCACTGGTGGCAGAGAAATTACCGGGGTGTGGGTCCTGAGCAACAATTGCAGCAGATTCCCCACACTACCAAACCACTACACTATGTCGTGGCCAGAAACAGAAGAAGAAGTGCCACAGTAATATAATGTGGTTTGTGTAATTGTATGATCCCTTCCTTGGGCGTATTTATGCAAAACATATTATATATAGCCTAACATTTACACATAATATAGATATTATATATAGAAATGTTTTTATATAGTCAAACATATATTAGGGCCGACGGCAGAAATTCTTGATTGGGGAGGGGGGGGGGGGTGCTAGCATCCTAGGACTTTAGGTGGGGGTCCAGGGGCTGCCTAGATCCCGGAAGCTCCTGGACCTAGATCGTCAGAGAAGCTTTCTGAGCGATTTCCAAATAATATAATTACTCAGTAAATGGAGTGAAATTGTATACCTGTTCTAAATCCCTGACCATTCAAACCTAGTTGATGGTGGTTTCCTGCGATACTGAACTTGACAAATATATGCATAATAACACCAAGGCTGTCAACACTCTAGAGGTCACTTTTTAAATACTATTTTGATGAAACTGACAATGTATGTTTATAACCGAAAGATCTCGGTTTGTTTCGATATTGGTGTATATTGGATCGTCACTTTCTATATATACATTTTTAGCTTGTGCACCCTTAATTAGAGCTCACAGTTTTATTTGTTACACCATAAGTACGCTTAAATGCAAATCGAACTGCAACTGCCCCGAGCTTGTATATCTACATATCTGAATAGCATATGCAAGGTTACAGCTCAATCTTATGTACATAACGCGCTTGAATGATTTTGAATTAAATTATATTTGGTTTCTTAACATATAAATGTACAAAGGACTGTTGTTACCTGCTATTCAACGTGCGAAGTCATAAATAAAACGTACAAAGTGATATACACAGACCTGTCCCGGATGTGTTTTGATGATCATGTTATATATTGACTAGTATTTGTCTTCAACTGCGTCTTTAGTAAGTTGGTAGGTTTTTTTTTCTATATATTTGTTTTATATATTTACCTTTACGATATACATGACGGAATGGTCGCCGGACACGGGTTGATTGAGTAGGAGCGTACAAGTTTGGTAGACTCGGGTGCCCCTAAAGAAGTTTGAGGCCGCTGTTTTAGCTTCAGAGCCCTTTCTATTCTTCAGTCTATGTTGTTATTGATGACATGGTGTGATTATTTTGTCGATAAACTAGAGACATTAGGATCTGCAGTCAATTTTTCAGAAACGTTCTCGAGACAGTAGGGAGAGTGCTTCTGACTATTCATCTCTTCATTGGCTGTCAATTTCTTCCATGACTGTTCCTTCTTCCCTAGCTGTTCACCTCTTCTCTTGCTGTTTATTTCTTCCCTAGCTGTTCACCTCTTCTCTTGCTGTTTATTTCTTCCCTAGCTGTTCACCTCTTCTCTTGCTGTTTATTTCTTCCCTAGCTGTTCACCTCTTCTCTTGCTGTTTATTTCTTCCCTGGCTGTTCACCTCTTCTCTTGCTGTTTATTTCTTCCCTAGCTGTTCACCTCTTCTCTTGCTGTTTATTTCTTCCCTGGCTGTTCACCTCTTCTCTTGCTGTTTATTTCTTCCCTGGCTGTTCACCTCTTCTCTTGCTGTTTATTTCTTCCCTAGCTGTTCACCTCTTCTCTTGCTGTTTATTTCTTCCCTAGCTGTTCACCTCTTCTCTTGCTGTTTATTTCTTCCCTGGCTGTTCACCTCTTCTCTTGCTGTTTATTTCTTCCCTGGCTGTTCACCTCTTCTCTTGCTGTTTATTTCTTCCCTGGCTATTCACCTCTTCTCTTGCTGTTTATTTCTTCCCTAGCTGTTCACCTCTTCTCTTGCTGTTTATTTCTTCCCTAGCTGTTCACCTCTTCTCTTGCTGTTTATTTCTTCCCTGGCTGTTCACCTCTTCTCTTGCTGTTTATTTCTTCCCTAGCTGTTCACCTCTTCTCTTGCTGTTTATTTCTTTCCTTGATGTTCACCTCTTCTCTTGCTGTTTATTTCTTCCCTGGCTGTTCACCTCTTCTCTTGCTGTTTATTTCTTCCCTGGCTGTTCACCTCTTCTCTTGCTGTTTATTTCTTTCCTTGATGTTCACCTCTTCTCTTGCTGTTTATTTCTTCCCTGGCTGTTCACCTCTTCTCTTGCTGTTTATTTCTTCCCTGGCTGTTCACCTCTTCTCTTGCTGTTTATTTCTTCCCTGGCTGTTCACCTCTTCTCTTGCTGTTTATTTCTTCCCTGGCTATTCACCTCTTCTCTTGCTGTTTATTTCTTTTCTGGCTGTTCACCTCTTCTCTTGCTGTTTATTTCTTCCCTGGCTGTTCACCTCTTCTCTTGCTGTTTATTTCTTCCCTGGCTGTTCACCTCTTCTCTTGCTGTTTATTTCTTTCCTTGATGTTCACCTCTTTTCTTGCTGTTTATTTCTTCCCTGGCTGTTCACCTCTTCTCTTGCTGTTTATTTCTTCCCTGGCTGTTCACCTCTTCTCTTGCTGTTTATTTCTTCCCTGGCTATTCACCTCTTCTCTTGCTGTTTATTTCTTCCCTGGCTGTTCACCTCTTCTCTTGCTGTTTATTTCTTTCCTTGATGTTCACCTCTTTTCTTGCTGTTTATTTCTTCCCTGGCTGTTCACCTCTTCTCTTGCTGTTTATTTCTTCCCTGGCTGTTCACCTCTTCTCTTGCTGTTTATTTCTTCCCTGGCTGTTCACCTCTTCTCTTGCTGTTTATTTCTTCCCTAGCTGTTCACCTCTTCTCTTGCTGTTTATTTCTTCCCTGGCTGTTCACCTCTTCTCTTGGTGTTTATTTCTTCCCTGGCTGTTCACCTCTTCTCTTGCTGTTTATTTCTTCCCTGACTGTTCACCTCTTCTCTTGCTGTTTATTTCTTTCCTTGATGTTCACCTCTTTTCTTGCTGTTTATTTCTTCCCTAGCTGTTCACCTCTTCTCTTGCTGTTTAATTCTTCCCTGGCTGTTCACCTCTTCTCTTGCCGCCTTGTCTTATCTGGATGTTCACATCTTCTCTGGCTGTTCACCTCACGTCTGATTGTTCACTTTCTCTATATCTGTTCACCTCTTCTCTGGCTGTCCACGGTTTCATCGACTGTCCTCTTCGTCCCTGGTGGTTCAACATTTCTCTGACTGCCCGCTTCTTCCCTGACTGTTCACCTCTTCGCTAAATATCCACTACTTCCCTGACTGTTCACCTCTTACCCGGCTGCTCACTTCTTCCCTGACTGCTCACTTCTTCCCTGACAGTTCACCTCTTATCTGACTGTTCACCTCTTCTCTGGCTGTCCACTTCTTCCCTGAAAGTTCACTTCTTCCCTGACTGTCCACTTCTTCCCTGGCTGTCCACTTCTTCCCTGGCTGCCCACTTCTTCCCTGACTGTCCACTTCTTCCCTGACAGCTCACCTCTTATCTGACTGTTCACCTCTTCTCTGGCTGTCCACTTTTCCCCTGACTGTTCACCTCTTCTTGGATTGTTTAATTTTATATGATCTTACACCTTGAATATAATCAGTGGCGGATTAAGCTGAGGCGGCAGTTACTGGAGGGCCTATATAATTGCCATTCTGACATTTGTGCCTTTAATTAATTTCACATAAGCACCGTCAGGACCACATTTCCCTCGTAGCACTCTGCATGGTCTATGCCCGTCATCATTACGTCGAAGTTAAACCCAATTTCATTTTATTTCAGATGTTGCATGCTTTTGTTGGTAACATGTTATCTCCAGTGTTTGTTGTGCTGTTGTCTTTGATTGTCCTGGTAGCATCAGCTGTGGACAGTAGCAATTCAGGTTGTCAACTGACCAACCAGGAATATGGAAACGGTCTGGATTCTGAAAAAAGGGCATTTAATCAATTGAAGCCGCTGCTGGGGAAAAGGTATTTATTATCTTAAATCATTAATGGACTTTATGTGGACAGCTCAGATACATATATATAGTGGGATTATACAAATATATATGTCTCATATATATACAAAAACATTTTTATTATCCCCCGCTTTTCTAAGTACCGTATGCTTAGGGGCTATTAAAATGTGTTCGGTCGTCCATCTGTCTGTCCAGGACACACAATGGGAGAGTGATGAAACATGATTGTTTTCTACTTTGGCCTAGTATAAACAAACAGTTTGATGCTGGTAATTTTCTCAGGGTAATTATACAATTAATTAACATGCTTCATCGATTTATTTTGGGATTGCGACGGGAGACATCAGCCTCTTGAGATGACTTGTCATCGGGCTTTACTGCCTCATTCGCCTTGGGTGGTATCGCAGTTTCCTGCAAAACTTAAGCAGGGAGCCAAATTAAGAGTTAAACGACCGCTTCCATTTCCATGACTTGTTTTTGTAGGTTTACCACTACTGATGTGGAGAAGGAATATAGATATAGTGTTGGTATTTTCCGTGATGCTGTAGATGGATATAAAAATGTTGGTGTTTTGCAAGAAAGTTTAAAAGATAAAAGACGGCATGTTATAGGGTTGTATAACTCAGCACAGATAATGAGTGGTGGTAAGGTTGTTATTTAAGCATGCCTATCCGTCCGTATTTTGTTTCGTCGTCCGTCTACCATTTTTGTAAGTGGCTCAGTGAGTGGTCCCAAGTTCCATCTTGGTGCTGCGGTCGAGGAAGTTCTCCTGGATTTGCCGGTGTGGTTGCGTCTTGCCCGTGATGCATGACGGAGAGCCTGGCAATGAATAGCGGATAGTTGTTGGGATAGGACAAAACAACGAGGTCCCATGTACGACAAATAACCCTTGGCAGTTGAAATTCAAATTAAGAGTAGGCCGTAGTATCAATGTCCGGGCAAAATATCCCATATAGCATATTGCATGGCGTATGCTCCTCTTGGTCCAGTCAGTGCAGAACCTTAAGACCCATTTCTCTCTCTCTCTCTCCTCTTGGTCCAGTCAGTGCAAAACGTAAAAACCCATTTCATGATATACAAATGGTTAAAGTTTGGTCAAAGGTCACCAGATATATACTTACCTGGTAAATACATATATGCAACTTATTACTTAACTATAAAACATAACCATAAAATTCTATATTTCTTAACTGTTATAATCAATGTAAAGATTATGGTTTCGATAGAAGTCTATAAACCCTCAGTTTGATCTTCTTAAATGTTTATTTAGTCAATCGTAGTATATACTGGTTTCAGTTATGGTACACTGTGTATGGTTTCAATATTTGTTAATCTCGGTTAATCCCCTGTTTCATCTTTTAATTGTACAATAAGCCAATTCTAATATATACGATTATGCACCTTTGTTACATCAATAGCTTGTTATAGCTGCCCATGCTCACTCGCCTTGCATTCCATTGGATAGTTCGCACTGATGTTTGTATATATTCATATCTTTCTCATTTTTTATCTATTTGTGTATATGCTTGATAACGACTTGTGAAACCTTGTTGAAACGTCGCAGTGAAATAAACCATAGTAATTGTTATCCATAGAAGTGTGTTTTTGATTGGTTTTTGATTTGGTCATGAGATGTAAATAGGGCTAGCGCTATGGTGGCATAGAAATCTCCTGTGGCGAGATGGCGCAGTGTTATTTCAAGCATGCACCCCCTATTTCAAGCATTCATCCCCTATTTCAAGCATTCATCCCCTATTTCAGAGCCTTCCTGTAGATTTTAGTTCAAAATTATTAAGTTTTGAAATATTAAGTAAAACAACTTTCACTTTTTATTTATCATGTAAAACAAATTGATGTGGTCTCATTCCAACTTTCTATCTGTTTTCAGGTGATTGTGTCATGATTGAATATAAGCACGGTGAAAGGTATCATACACATTGCGACATGGAGGAGAAAAGGGCCATTATTATCATTAAATGTGACGAAACCGCTGACGATGTAAGTCGCATATTTGTTGTTAATGTCTCCAAGTCTTTAAGGCTCGGGATCCACGGTAGCTAAGTCGAGGTCGCGTGTTCGATCCCTGCATTGGTCCAGAAAGTTCATCGGGATTTTCCGACGGGGGGTTTCTCCCTTATCAGTGGTGGAGGACAGCTGTCTAGTCGTTCGGGTGGTACGAAAAACCAAGGTCCCGTGTATACATTGGCGTGCACGTAAAAGATCCCTTGACAGTTGGAATTCGGGTGTTCGATCCCTGCATTGGCCGAGGAAGTTCATTCAGATTTTCCAGCGTGGTCAGCCCTTGTCAGTGATGCAGGACGGAGGGCCTGACAGGGACAGCTGTCTAGCTGTTCGTATGGGACAACTGTTCGTATGGGACGAAAAACCGAGGTCCCGTGTACACATTGGCGTGCACGTAAAAGATCCCTTGGCAGTTGGAATTCGACATAAGACTAGGCCATAGTGCCGTTGCCCGGGCAAAATTTCCCTCATAGCACACTATATGGCGTATGCCCGTCTTCATTAGCCCAGTCAAAGCAGAACAGTAGGACGTTAAACCCAATTTTATTTCATAAAGGCTCGGTGCGTCTTTTGGATTTTGGTTAAACTGTCATATTTATCTCGACTCATCCACAATGAAGATGTGAGATTTCAATAAGGAGCTGGCAGTTCTGGCTGCAATAGTTTTAAAAAAGATAATGAAAGGGGGGTATATAGTCAAAATACTTTATTCTGAGCAAAGTTATGTCCGTTTGATGAATAGTGTAGTCTCGATTGTCATTGCTACTTCTGTTAAGATAATAATTAAAGTCTTGATTATCCAATTTTTTAGATTCAATTATTAACCGACGATTGTGTTTAAATCCGTTGGTTATCACAACCACCCGGTGATCTAGAGAGTTGATTATGGGCTTGACATGTAAATAAATGATTAATGATTTATATAACATTTAAAACACAACGAATAGATCTAATAGGCAGATTTAGCTCTTATTTCATGCATCTTTAACATTTAAACATACATTATGACGTCACATTAATAATGACGTAATTGTATTAATCATTATTAAACATACATTATGCAAGAGCTAAATCTACCAATTGCAGGTCTTTCTTTAGGCCTGAAATGTTATCTAAATTATTAATTAGACATTAATTAACCTATCCAGACCATAATCAACCATGGTATCGTTAGCCTGCGATGTTTATTGGATTATGATCCCATTTGCTGCTCGGTTCAGTTCATAGTGGATCAATTTGAATGAAATTTTCAGCAAATTACCTTTACACTATCTAGTTTTTAACTATTATATTGAGAACTGACAGCTCTTTATCTTATCTCCCATAATGTATCTTTAATGAAGAAAACAGAATTAATCAAGGCTAGATAATCTCACCGCTTGGATTCAATCGCATTTAAACATGACCCCCCCATCATGTTCCTCCGCTTCTAATAAACGATGGCGGCGCCTTTTAATGGTTACACACGAGCAGCATTGGTCCATGAAATTTCAATTCACCATAACTTTAGAAATACTGCGCGGAATGCGGCCATTTTTAGATTGATATTCCTATTAGAGATTAATTAGTTTCACAGTATATAGGGAATCCTATAGCGCTAAATGATGCGTCGTGTCCTTAATGTAGTTAACGGGTCGAGGCCGTGCAGAACAATAGGACGTTAAACCCTGTCGCATTTCATTGCAGGGCCTGGTTCATCTAGACTACCAATAATCAAAAGGGTTTAGGTCAGACTTATTATCTACCATTTTGAGCTTTGACAGCTCATAACATCTGTGTTGGTCACGAAGGCAAAATAAGTTTGTCTTCTCCCTTGTCGGTATTGCAGGATGGAGGGCTTGACAAGGAGTCGTGCTTGTCGTTCGAATGGGATAAAAAACTAAGTTCCTCGTAGTCTACATGTTTGGCGTGCATTTATTATAAACCTTTATAATTGGAATTCGGCGGAAACGCCATTGTTTTGGTCAGAATTTCCCATATAGCGCAAAGCGTGGCGCATACCCATCTTCATTACCCCGGTTGAGACTGACGAGTAGGACGTTAAACTCCATTTTACTTCATTTAAATTTTATGTATTTTCTTTGATTTTAGGATTTTCCTGACTTGAAAATTATAAATAAGGCTAAAAATAAAGTACATGGCTGTTATTATTTATTTGAAATTCGCCATAAAGCTGTTTGTAAAGTTCGTCCCGAATGGTATCATATTTATTATTACCAAGGCAACAGTCTGTCCTCTGAGGGTGCCATTGTTGGCTGTGCCAGATTTGTACATGTTATAGTTGCCATGCACCTTTTGTTCTCTGTATATTTATGAATTAAACCGTTTATTTTATCAATATTTGATTATCATGCATAACAATTTGAATTTTAGTTATTACAATTTTGGTTCTTAAAAATGTAAAATGTATGGAAACCGATAAGTACCCTCTCGCTCCTGCTTGCTTGCGTCAACGAGGTGCGAAGGCAAAGCCAGGAAGGCGTCAAAAATGTCCCCAATATCATTCCCTCTTGCCTTCCCTGCGCTACGAGTAACAGCAAGGAGCCGACAAGACAAGAAATAAACATGGTGGAGGCAAGAAGAAGCGAGCGGGTACTTATCAGCTTCCATAAAAATGTCCTGTTTTACATTTTGTATTTTGGATACACCTGCCTTCCTTATTTTGTAATTCCCTGCATTATCCGGATATTAATAAAATATTAATGTTTGATTCTGTATTTAATGACTATTTTCTTATTATAAACATATACAGATGTTATTATTATTCTATTGTCTTCTCTTATTAAAATTTCTGAGAAGGAGGCGGGTTGGATGGCCGAATGGTTACCATGTGCGCGCTGTATCATAAGGCCTGCCATTGAGTCATTTAGCGTGGTTTCGAATCCCCGGTTGTGCGTGACAAGGAAAAGGGTTGCCCGTCCAACCTCGTGGGTTTTCTCCGGGTCCTCCGGTTTCCTCCCACTGCTAAAGACCCCTACGCGCAGGCGAATTATTGAAATAAAATTGGACCTTATATAAATCATACGGTGGCTTAGTCTGTGTCGCTTAGTCTGTGTCGAGTGGACGTTGAACCCCATTTCTCTCTCTCTCTCTCTCTCTCCTCTCTCTCTCTCTTTCCTGACTGCAGAACGGAGGGCCTGACAAGGACAGCTGTCTAGTCCTTCGGATGATACAAAAAACCGAGGTCCCGTGTATATATTGGAATGCACGTAAAAGATCCCTTGGCAGTTGGAATTCGATATAAAAGTAGGAAATAGTGCCGCTGCCCGGGCAAAATTTCCCTCATAGCACACTGTATGGCGTGTGCTATGAGGGAAATTTTGCCCGGGCAAAGTATAGGAGCAGAACAGTAGGACGTTAAACCCCATTTCATTTCATTTCTCTCTCCTGACAGTATCTAGGCCAGTTTTCTACTGTTTTCTGTTGGAGCCGCGGTGGCTCACTAACCAGAAGGTCCTGAATTGTTCGCTTCTGGATTTTACCCCGCGTTTTTCCATGTCAGTGACGAAGAACGGATGGCCCAGAAAGGGACATGAAAGAACCCTTGACAGTTGGCCATAGAGTAGGCCATAGTGTCCGAGTAGACCATAGTGACACTGTGCCCCTTTAGCCCAGTCGATACAGACAAGTAGAACCATTGACGTCATCTATATATGACGTCAATGAGTAGAACGTTAAACCCCATTTCTTATTAACACTGTCCAGACATTATTTGGGTATCATTAATGATCGTGTGCTTGGTCGTCTGATTCGAGTTACTTGATAATTACGGTCCTGATAAACAGGGTCCTGGTCCTGATAAACCTGGTCCTGATCCTGATAAACCTGGTCCTGATAAACACGGTCCTGCAAACCCAGTCCTGGTCCTGCAAACCCGGTCCTGGTCCTGATAAACACAGTCCTGATCCTGAAAAAACGGTCCTGATCCTGCAAAACCCGGTCCGTATAAACATGTTCCTGATAAACGTTTTAAAAACGAAGCAATCAACCGCAAACTCCAACTGCTCGCTAGAAAAGAACAACAGAAACGAGTCCACCTTCGACTTGGACAACCCGAGGGTTTCCATTGAGCTTCAACAAGTTCCGCGGTTATGGTTGGCTGAGAAATAGGGCGTGAAGTTTAATGTCCCAGATAGACTTAAAAAAACAATCCACCTCTGTTAATCCTTTGGGGTGCTACGACGAATTATCCTGTCAAGTTTCATTCAGCTCAGATTATTAAGTGAACTGTCAGTACAGGTAGCGCGGGAACCCAGTCGGCTGGGTGTTCGCTGACCAATTCTCCCAGGTTTGTCGTCAAGGGTATATTTTGGCAACCCACATTTTTGAGCTTTTGTTCATAGGTAATTTTGCATACTTCAAACTAGAGCTATTTGAGTATTGACCAGCAACCGAATCCATATAACATGTACACAGCCATGTATATTTCAGCCGTCTGCGGAGGCATTCTGGGAAGGACGGCAACCCGCCCTCATAAATGCATAAATGTCCTACTAGGGTATAAGGGTGTGTGTGGCTGTGTGTAATCCCTTATGAAAAGTCCTCATTTGTAGAAAAAAGAGCCCAGGAATTTGGAAAGAGATACCTGAAATACTTGGGTAAATGCCTGAAATAATTTGATCATATTCCTATTCCTCGAGTGTAACATTGTGTCCCCTTTCCTGCTACCCTTCTCTTGTTTCAACCAGATATTAATTGAGGTCATATTATTATTCAATGGATACGAAGGTGAATGTCAGTTATTGTGGAAAATGGAGTCACGGTGGTTAAGTGGGTAAGACGCTGGCTCGCTAGCCTGGAGGTCATCAGATTCAATCTAAAACATCATATTAAAAAGGATAACATCAAATGTTTGGCACTATTAAAGTTGAACATGTGCTTGACATTTGTTTAAGTAACGAATACTCAGCTAATTCCATACATCTTTCCATTATGACTCTGACTAAGTGAGTAAGACGTTGGCTCGCTAGCCGGGAGGTCGCGGGTTCGCTCCTTGCATTGGCCGAGAAAGTTCATCGGAATTTTCCGACGTGGTTACCCCTTGTCAGTGGTGCAGAACGGAGGGCCTGGCAAGGACAGATGTCTAGTCGTTCGGAAGGAACCAAAAATCCAAAGTCCCCTGTGTACAAATCTCTTGGCAGTTGGAATTCGATATAAGAGTAGGCCATAGCACACTGTATGGCATCTACACGTCTTCATTAGCCCAGTCGGAGCAGAACAGTAGGACGTTAAACCCCATTTCATTTAATTGCTGGTACTTCTGGGCCCTGACAACAGATGAGTAGTAACTGTACTTTGTACTTGTTTATCATTAGAACGAACTTGCCCTGGACTAAAAAGTGTCGTGGTTTGGCACAAATGTCTGGAGAAAACGACACAGGCTGATGTTTTGAGAGGTTTTGGGGATCCAACATCCAATCCATTTACACTGATGGCTTCCTGTTTAGGTTTCACAGCCGGATTAATATTTCCATAATATTTAGAATCAGTTAACCTTGTTGAATTTGGGAAATTGACCCCCCCCCCAAAAAAAAAACCCCCACATTAATCGGAAATTGCAAAACAGGCGACGACAACATTTTTAGCTGTTAGCATACCCAAGTTCAACACGCTAACCGTTACCATGAACCCTATTGACATTCATTCTGTCACCAGTAACCTTATTATTTAACGAAAAGAAAGTCTGTTGCTGGAAGTCCCGTTTAATGCTTTGTGAACTCAGGGCTAGTTAGCTCTGAACGTAGGTCTCATTACAGTACAGGCCGAGTGAAATGAGACCTAATGAAATGAGACCTACGTTCAGAGCTGAACTAACTCGGGGCCAGATTTATCAAGACAGATGGAGAGCCTTGTCAGGAATAGTATCAAGTCGTTAGGATGGGATGACAAACTGGTCCGTGTACAATTTGGCATGCAGAGTCGTACCCATGATTAAAGAACCCTGACCGTTAGAATTCCAATAAAGAGTAGACTAGCAAAATCTCCAACTGTACCCTGAATGGCATGACGTATATCTGTCTTAATTTATCCGGTTGGTGCAGAACGGTACATTTCATTTCATTTATAATACTATAAAAGAAATCAGGGAACCCGGGCATTATTACCCGACATAATGTCGTCAATAAGGCTAGGAGAAATTAGGTTAGAGTGTGGTGGCTGTTTTGAATAAATGAAATTGGGTTAGAGTACGCTGGCTGTTTTGAATAAATGAAATTGGGTTAGAGTGTGGTGGCTGTTTTGAATAAATGAAATTGGGTTGAGTATGGTGGCTGTTTTGAATAAATGAAATTGGGTTGAGTTTGGTGGCTGTTTTGAATAAAAGAAATTAGGAGTGTGATGGCTGTTTTGCCCAGGAGAAATGGGATCAGGAGTGTGATGACTGTTTTGCCAAGGAGAAATGGGATCAGAATGTGGTTGCTGATTTGAATAAAAGAAATCGGGTTATGGTGGGGTGGCTGTTTTGCCCAAGAGAAATCAGGTTAGGGCGTGTTGGTTGTTTTTCTCAAGAGAAATCGGACTGTTTCCGTCAATACAATATCAAACTTTATCAGTAAGGTTAATTAATTTTTACTAGTACTCCCAAATTCGGACCAAAATATATCAAGTAGTATATGTGTTTTGCCATGGACCTTATAATATAAGGTCCATGGTTTTGCTTGATGTTTTTATAAACCTTTTAATTTGCTTTGTAATAAACTAAATTAAAATAATAATATTGACATATATTTATTATTAGATCAAAATAATCACGATAACAGTATATGGAATGAAATGTGGTTTAACGTCCTACTGTTCTGCTCCTACTGGGCTAATGAACACGGGGTAATAACAGTACATCATAACAATAATTAGTTACGTTAATGATTTACTAAAGTACGGCTATAACAACAAATAATTAATTAACTGGTACTGTTTCGGCACTCTTCAAATCAGCTGTGGGAAAACATCTGCCATTCAAAATATTCTAAAGAATTACAGATAGGTTTCCAATCTGCCATTTTTATCCAAGATTCAGAGAAAAGCAGTCAAACACGGTTATTTGATCATCTTGGGAAAAACAACTTGTTCTGTGAATTTGTCAGCTTATAGACCCCATCATGGTACTGAAACAACCTTAAACCTTAAGATATGTGTAGATATAAAGGTGTGTGTTTCACTGCTGATATAAAGGGGCGTGTTTCACTGATGATATATTATAGATCTTCCGCAGCTTTCGCAATAGACCACAAAAAAACTGCTTTTCCGGCTTCAGAAAGTCTTTGGTATTAATAGCACTGTTTTGAAATGGTTTACATCTTATCTGTCATCTCGAAATCAGTCGGGGGGTTGGATGGCTGAATGGTTAGCACGCGTGCGCTGTATCATAAAGTCTGTCATTGAGTCAACTGGCGTGGTTTCGAATCCCCGGTTGTACGCGACAAGGAGTAGTGTCGCCTGTCCAACCTCGTGGGTTTTCTCCGGGTCCTCCGGTTTCCTCCCACTGCTAAAGACCCCTACGCGCAAGCGAATTATTGAAATAAAATTAAACCACATGTTAGTCCCGAAATGACCTAGTTTGTGTCGAGTGGACGTTAAACCACATTTCTCTCTCTCTCTCTCTCTCTCTCTCTCTCGCTCGAAATCAGTCTGTGATTGTCAACTCAGACAAATCAGAATGTGTTCCTCTAGTGCGTGGTGTTCCTCAAGGTTCTGTGTTAGGACCTATTTTATTTACCATGTATACAAAGCAGCTTGGAGATGTTCTAATTCCAAATTCTGTATGTCACCATCTTTATACTGACGATACTCAACTTTTAGATTCATTTACTCCTGGATCCGATCAGCGGTGCTCAAAAAAATGACTACATGTATCGGAAAAAATTAAAATCTGGAGGAATTTAAATCACTGGAAATTAAATGCAGATAAAACCAAAGTTGTCCCTTTTTGTTCCAAAACTCGATTATCGGACGTTTTGTTGATTTGGCGCTATATAACAGGACATGTTATTGATATAACATCAAGAATTGATTAACACGTGTTGTACGGTACCTATCATGGATTAAACCAATTTGATTATCGTAGCCTATTATTTGATGATGTTTTTCATCACATTGATGAGCTAATGACATGGGTGAGAATACATATAAATGTAACAATTAAAAAACACAAAAAAACTCACTCAAAACAAACACAATAATTAATTTATTAAAACAATACTTTATAATTTAAAAACATTAGTCCGATCGGTCAAGATTTTCATAAAGAAAACGATATTATTTTATCAAATGTTTATTCGGGATTATCACGCCAACACGTTTTTTATTTCAAAGAAAACATTGGTCGGATTTGTATTTTTGTTGGTCTATAACGTTACTGGTCAAAATAATAACATTACTTGACTTGTAATCTGGTCTGATATTTGCGATCAATCTGTTTCACAGAGAATTACGAGTCTCGTATAATATCTCTGTCATAGATGACTGCCTTAACACGTGCTGTCACAGCACGCGGTGTGAATCATTGGCTGAATGGCGCGTGCATTGTTTACATAAGACATAACTGCTTCGGAGAGAATGCTGCATTTTAGTCATTTTAATACCCATTTACACTAAATCGGAAATAATTTTTAACTACAAATACGTCAAACGCCTTTGTTTATTTTTCCAATATATACAAAAAATGTTTTAGAATTTAATTTGTCGCAGGAAAAAGTTAATATTTCTAGCTCATTAAGCCGCATCAATGTCATCCTTATCAGTGATTGTCGCGGCCAAGCAAATATTCACTGCGGATCAGTGTGATTTGCGATATCACCGGCCGTGGGGGCCGAGCGTTAAAACTACTGCATTGGTACATTGGTACGGTAGCACGTCATTTCGGTCTCGCGTCAGTTCGGACTCAACACAAACGTCGTTTTGGACTCAGTTTGACGACCTTTCGGACTTACTTGGTGACTTTTCGGACTCGGTATGGGGAATTTTCGGACAAAGGCTGGCGACGTTTCGAACTCAATAACGGACTCAATAAAAGCTGAACAATTCTATGTATATATTTGTAATAACTGTTTATTCTTTCGTTTTAGGTGAGGCTGAAGACAGACCATTCACAATAATAAAGAATGTATGTATGTATTCTTATATCTGTAGGCTATTCGCTAACCTGGGGGTCCAAGGTTCGATCTCGGCGTTGGCCAAGAAAACTCCAGTCTGGTTTGTTTCCAGCGCGGTTCCCTTTAGTCAGTGGTGATGACGGCAAGGACTGTGTCGTCTGGTCGTTCCTGTGGGGAGAAAACCCACGTCCGAAAAATAAATAGCCTATCCATTTTTAGTTCATTAGACCTCGCCAATAAATAAAATATATACAATCGGTGAACCCCTTTCATGATTTTGTTCAGTTTATAGTTATATTTGGGGCTCTTCGGTGGGGTTTATGGGTAAAGAATTTATGAGCCTTAATTTTACTCACAGACATGCTTATAATATGGAGGGGGGGTTGGATGGCTGAATGGTTAGCACGCGCGCGCTGTATCATAAAGTCTGTCATTGAGTCAACTGGCGTGGTTTCGAATCTCCGGTTGTACGTGACAAGGAGTAGGGTCGCCTGTCCAATCTCGTGGGTTTTCTCCGGGTCCTTCGGTTTCCTCCCACTGCTAAAGACCCCTACGCGCAAGCGAAATATTGAAATAAAATTAAACCATATGTTAGTCCCGAAATGACCTAGTTTGTGTCGAGTGGACGTAAAACCCCATTTCTTTCTTTCTTTCTATAATATGGACTATTTTAGCTGTTGTGGTCTTACACCGCAATGGTGAAATAATTTCGACCAATCAATAAAAAGCACGTCTACATGTCCGGAGCTGAAAGTTCAATCTGTCACGTGGACTTCCGGTTTGAAACAACAGCCAGCAATTTTCCAAAACAATCCACCGAATTATTTATTGTATTTTAATTGTTTATCATTTAGATTCAGGAAAATAGTGAGTTTGGCAGCATGGGGTTATCGTCTGAAATATCCGTTTTGCTGCTGTTGTTTTTGACTGGCCTGTTGATATCAATGGTGGATAGTACAACTCCAGGCTGTCGACTAATCAACGAAGAAGATGGTAAAGACGTTCCTGATGATGATCATAAAGGTTACAATAAATTGAAGCCGTTAGTTGGAAAGAGGTAAAGTTACAAAAATACCCTGTTTTGTTTGTGTAAACCCTTACTGCACCAGAAGTCTAAGATCATAGATTGACTAACGTTGGCCTACATACACTGTGACTGTAGGCCTACACATCATGTAATGGCCTTTGCATGTACCGTACATGAATAAATGAATAGATTGGTGTTTAACGTCCTGCTTTCCACTCCAACGTGGCTAAGATACGATTTTATTGTATCGAAAATTCCATTGGGGACAGCATACAATAATATATACATGTACATAAATTTATAAATGAAAACAGCCGTATGTCATACTTGAAAAAAAATTGCTGGACAGCAATTGAATTCCAACTGTCAAGAGTTCTGTTACTACGTGCATGCAAACATGCCATGGATATATGTAATGACCAGTATACAAACAGAACATGACATGACAGTGTGTACGTGGTAATAACCAGTTTACAAACTTGTCATTACCATGTAAACTGATGGAAGTAGATGTTGGCCTCCCTTCTTTTCAAATTCAAGAGAGGCAAAGTGATGACAAAATAAACAGAATTTTGTTTTGTGCACAGATATTTTCTGCTTTGCATTTGATTAATTTGATGTATTCTGAACACTGAACATTTTTTTCTCTGTAGGTTCAGCACTATTGATGTGGAGAAGGAATATAGATATAGTGTTGGTATTTGTCGTGATGCTGTGGATGGATATAAAAATGTTGGTGTTTTGCAAGAAAGTTTGAAAGATAAAAGACGGCATGTTATAGGGTTGTATAACTCAACACAGATAATGAGTGGAAGTACGTAATAATGTTGATTACATAGTATTCAAAATGGGTTACACAGTATTTATAAGGTTTACTACATGATTACTACACAGTATTTAAAATGATTATAGCACAGTATTTAAAATGTTTATTACACAGTATTTAAAATGGTTATTACACAGTATTTAAAATGTTTATTACACAGTATTTTAAATGTTTATTACACAGTATTTAAAATGTTTACAACACAGTATTTAAAATATTTATTACACAGTATTTAAAATGTTTACTACACAGTATTTAAAATGTTTATTACACAGTATATAAAATGATTATTACTACACAGTATTTAAAATGGTTATTACTACACAGTATTTAAAATGTTTCTTCATAAAAGCCTGAATAGAAGACACCCATCATAGACTATTTTAGACACAGATTATCACACAATGTTTTTATGCACCTACATTTTTATGGCCTGTGTGGAAAATTTGTTGTTTGTTGGCACTCTACATGTCACAATTTGTATCCAATTTTGACGAAACTTGAAATATAGGTCGTATCTCCCAAAGATCTCAGTTTCGTTCAAAATTGGCATGTATTGGACTAACATGATGTATACGTTTGGGAATTTAAAGATAAATTTTTGATATTTTCAGATGATTGGGTGATGATTGAGTATTGGCATGGTGAAAAGTATCATACACATTGCAACAAAGAAGAGAAAAAGGCTGTCATTATAATTATTTGTGATCCATCGGCGGATGATGTAAGTTGAAAAAAATTGAGATTAGATTTTCAGTAGGAATTATCACCCGTTTGTTAAAGATACATTCCCATGAAATATTATTTGTTGGGTTATTTCCAATAAAACTATGGAGAGAGAGAGAGAAATGGGGTTTAACGTCCACTCGACACAAACCATGTCATTTCCTGACTAACATGGTTCAATTTTATTTCAATTATTCGCTTGCGCGTAGGGCTCTTTATATATTTAGCAGTGGGAGGAAACCGAAGGACCTGGAAAAAACACACAAGGTTGGACAAGCGATCCTACTCCTTGTCAAGTGCAACCGGGGAATTGAAACCCCGCCAGTTGACTCAGTGTCAGACCTTATTAGTACATGCACGCCAACGTGTACATGGGATGACTTTTTATACCATCCGATGAACTAGATGCCTTACTCTTATTTAAATGTTTTAGGAAAATGGAGTAGATATATTGGATGAAGCGAAAGCGAAAATAGGAGATTGTTATTATTTATTTGAGATTTCACATAAAGCTGTGTGTGGAATTAAATCGTCATCGAAAGCTCTAAGTTTTGGTTCCATAGTATTGATAATGTAAGTATATGTATATATATATAAAGAGAGAGGGTTTAACGTCCACTCGACCCAAGCTAGGTCATTTCGAGACTAACATATGGTTTAATTTTATTTCAATAATTCGCTTGCGCGAAGGGGTCTTTAGCAGTGGGAGGAAACCGGAGAACCCGGAGAAAACCCACAAGGTTAGACAGGCAGGTGACCCTACTCCTTGTCACGTACAACCCGGGAATCGAAACATCGTCAGTTGACTCAATGATACAGCACGCACATGTTAACTATTCAGCCATCCAACCCCCCTTTATGTATACAAGGTAGACTGGCCTCTGGTAAATATATCACTGTGTGTGAGTGGGGGATGTGTCAAGGTAGATTACATTAGTGGATGGATGGGGAGCGCAAAATTAGATTAGGTTACCAAGGTAGACTGGTCTCAAGGCTATTGATTCTGAAGTGTTTACCGAGGTAGTCTAGGCGATTGATTGTGAAATGGTCGCCGAGGTAGACTGGTCTCTAGGCGATTGATTATGGAGTGGTTACCAAGGTAGACTGGTCTCTAGGCGATAGATTGTGGAATGGTTACTATTGTACTATTAGCCTTGTGTCAGTATATTAACACAGATAATGGTACCAGGAAGACTGGCTTGCCTTTAATTACTGAGTACTGATACAGGTTTTAATATTACTGGAAAGGCTAAGCTATTGGTAATAGTAGTCATGATTACCTAGACAACTGGTTTCAAAGTCAGAGGGCTATATACCGGTTTTGAATGTTGGTCAATCTACTAACTATTATGTTATAATATTGAAGAATTCAACCGTAAAACAAAATGATTACAGTTAGATTTATAGTTGTTATGTGTAAAAACACGTAAAAATATATCGACTAGAAAATTGGTATAATTCTAAAGTTTTCCATATCCTTTGAAAAAAATATCTTGCTAATCTTACTGACCTAAATACTGCCAGTCCTACTGACCTACCTAGTGTCTGTTGTACTGCCCAGATTTTTTGGCGTGGTTCCCCCTTGTCAGTGATACAGGACGGAGGGCCTGACAAGGACAGAGATGTCTAGTCATTCAGATGATACGAAAAACCAAGGTCCCATGTACACATTGGCGTGCACGTAAAAGATTCCTTGACAGTTGGAATTCGATATAAGAGTAGGCTGTAGTGCCGCTGTCCGGGCAAAATTTCCCTAATAGCACACTGTATGGCGTATGCCCGTCTTCATTAGCCCAGTTCGGAGCAAAACAGTAGGACATTAAACTTCATTTCATTTCTGTTGTACCAAGTGTATGGTAAAATATGTTTATTTTTTGTTTGTAGATTCGCCAGTGTGGTAGCCTTATATTTATTTCTTGGATTCCTATACCAGAGATTTGTTCTACATGCCAAGGGAATGGAGCAAATACCAAATTATAGTTTTTGGCAAGATTTTGGAAATTTAGAAGCCGTAAGTAATAATTCATGATGTCCAGGAGGCTTATTAAAACCCCAACATACCAAAAAAAAAAGGTTATACTTTCAGCACTTGCACAACCCTAACTAGGTCTTCTAAGATCACAGAGAATTTTCTCCTCTACTCCCCAAGAAGGGGGGTCACGGTGGCTAAGTGGGTAAGACGCTGGCTCGCTAGCTTGGAGCTCGGGTGTTCGATCCCTGCATTGGCCGAGAAAGTTCATTCAGAATTTCCGGCGTGGTTTTGACGGCTGGGAATCGATTTTTAATTTCAATATCGATTATCGGCAAGAATTTGTCAGCGATTATCGATAATAATCGATTATCATTTTTCCGGAAAAATCCGAACTTTATCGACCTGTTATTTGTGTTGATCGAGTTACAGTAGTGTTATTATCGTAGTCAATTAATGTAAAATAATTACATGTAGTTGCTAAATGTAGGACTAACTTGAGTATTATTCTAAGCTGTGTTCTTGATTCTTTTGAACCTTTTTTTATTCCAATATCTCCGATAAATACAAAAACAATACATGGTTTTTCTTTGCTCTTTGCAAGTGACTGGCGATCACACAGTGTTACTACTAATAGAATAAAATAAAATAGAAGGCGTCTATTGATTGGACAATAAAAAAATAATTACGGGCTTTCAAAGTAGAATTTTTATGATTGGTTAATTTAGATGAAAAGCAAAGTAGAATTCTTCCACGAAATTACGAGAGATATAGATATTTTCCCTGGAAGTCAAAAACGTGTTTTGTATGGGCTGTATCTGACATGATGTAGTAATAAAAGCGGAGTTGATCATAAATAATACAATTAGTTTTATCGTGAAAGCAGATGATTTCCCTACAAATCAATCAAGAACAAAGAAGGGAGATAATTCTAATTTTACTATATATCACGTGCGATTGTCATTGTTCACAAAGTGCGTGACCTATTTTAGTTTCAACTAGTAATTACAACAAAAAGAACGAAAATATTAGAATAATGTATTTAATCTTAATTAAGTTTAGTTTTTTTTACAATAATATATATTTAAAATGTGCCAGTTTGTAAGCAGAGGGGGGAAATGGTTGTTGTGTTGACGTTGTGTATTCATTCATTCGATCGTCTGCTAATGCCAGACTACGGCAAGTTCTGACATGTGAAAGTGACCATAACTTGCTGTCAGAAGGTAAATATACCGATAATCGATATTTGAATTTCAATATCGATTATCGTTTATATACCGATTATCGAATATATCGATATTTTTGCACAGCCTTAGCGGTTTCCCCTTGTCAGTGATGCAGGATGGTGGGCCTGACAAGGGCAGCTGTCTAGTCGTTCGGATGGGACGAAAAACCGAGGTCCCGTGTACAGATTGACGTGCATGTAAAAGATCCCTTGGCAGTTGGACTTCGATATAAGAGTAGGCCGTAGTGCCGCTCATTGGGCAAAATTTCCCTCATAGCACACTGTATGGCGTAGGCCTGTCTTCATTAGCCCGGATTAGGAGCAGAACAGTAGGACTTTAAACCCCATTTCATTTCATTTCATTTATCAAAGGGGAGCTAACTATGACAGACAGTGTAAGTTTAGTATGAATCACATGAACAGCTGTAGTTCTCCAAGTAAACAAGGTGGTTTGGATGGCCGAATGATTATCACGTGTGCACTGTATCATAAAGTCTGTCATTGAGTCAACTGGCAGGGTTTCTCTTCCCCAGTTGTACATGACAAGGAGTAGGGTTGCCTGTCCAACCTGGTTGGTTTTCTCCGGGTCCTCCGGTTTTCTCCACTGCTAAAGACCCCTACGCGAAGGTAACTTATTGAAATAATATTGAACCATATGTTGGTCCCAAAATGACCTGGTTTGTGTCAAGTGGACGTACATGTGTATATCTCAGGTGTTCTAAAGTAGGGGTCGGCCCGCGACGTCAGATTGCTCGTCCTGCTGCTGCATGCTGGATAAAAAACCCACAATACTTCAGCTTCTTACACCTCTTACATAACGCATATCATACACTGGAGTCAGTAATGTCATGCGCTATACTATAAATGTTCTATAATGTTGTTCGACCCGCTGTTGCATGCTGGATAAAAAAAAATACTTTACTTTCTTACACCTCTTACATAACACATATCGTACACCTAGTCAGTAACGTCACACGCTATACTATAAATGTTCTAACTTAGTGATATCTTGGTAAGATTAAAATATTTAATTATTTTGTGTAATTCATGTATTGATAAATAAATAGAATGACTATCATTATTTTTTGTGTAAATTCAGTGTATTCTGTATTCAGTGTATTGTATTGAACAAAATATTTATGCAGCCTACGCTCGGCATTCTTTCAGTTATATCTGACCCAATATGAAATGATATGAAATGGGGTTTAACGTCCTACTGTTCTGCTCCTATGCTGGGCTAATGAAGACGGGCATACACCATACAGTGTGCTATGAGGGAAATTTTCCCTGGGCAGCGGCGCATCACTGACAAGGGGGAACCACGCCAGAAAATCTGGATGAACTTTCTCGGCCAATGCAGGGATCGAACACCCGACCTCCAGGCTAGCGAGCCAGCGTCTTACCCACTTAGCCACGCCGGAAAATCTGGATGAACTTTCTCGGCCAATGCAGGGATCGAACACCCGACCTCCAGGCCAGCTAGCCAGCGTCTTACCCACTTAGCCACGTGATCCCCCGACCCACTATGAAAAGGTTTGGTGATCCCTGGCCTAAAGAACAGAGATATATCTTTATGAAATATGTAACTTTTCTATTATTGTCTTCCAGAAATTTTGGGGTTAGGCCATACAAAAAAAATATTTTGTTTCTTCCTAAAACTCTCATGACTTGGGGAGGTTTTTGTGTTGTTATTTTGTCAAAGGATTGCTAATGGACTACTGATAAAGAATATGTTTTAAGGCACAACATTGAAGCATTCTGACAATGAGTTGACGGGTCCTATCGATGTTCAACTTTTGATTCTGCCTCTGGAGTTATTTATTTCCCCTTTGTCGAAAACTTTGTGAACAGATTCATTTCAAATTTACTGTGAAGCATTATGGGCATGAGAGGATGAACCCTTTTGATATTCATTGTTTTGTGACCTTCCATTTATATCCGTCTCTCCATATGACACCATTTTGTATTTTTATTGTAGGATGGCTGTAATCTAGTGTGTAGAAGCATGTCCAATAGAAATTCAGCACCATATAAGGGTATTGGTGACGAACAGTTAGAAGAAGACTTGGATCGAGATCGCGATGATCATTTATTACCAATGTAAAAATAAACAAAACAGACAAGGTTCTAATTTCACACGTATACTTCATCTTTGAAAATCACTTCTATTCAATGCTTGTATAATATATGTCTGGATGTATTAGACTATAGATACTGAAGTCTAGATAACCAGGTCTCATTAACATACATTTGTTTAACCAATGCTATTCAATACTTGTATAATATATGTCTGGATGTATTTGTCTACTGATACTGAAGTCTTGATAGCCAGGTCTTATTATGACAACTAATCAGAAAGCTTGTATCACACAGCTTTTGATTGGACAATAATAGTGGCTTCTGTCAAAATCAACCTACAGAACCAATCATGTAAAGTATATTATAAGGTTGTTGGTTAACAGAAACTCATTTTGGTGATGAGTAAAAATATTTTTGTGAAAATGGTATGTATGATGAAATTTATAAATAATCAATGGTCATAATAATCATGACAGATTGGGTAACTCTGGACCCTCTGTCGAACCAATTAGTCTTTGGGGGTCCAGCATGGTCACTTGATCAATCTATCAAAGTTGAAATAAGTTCATCACCTTTTGGGAAAATGGATTGATCCAAATATTGTTTTCTGAAATATGTTTTCTGATCAATTCAATTTAAATCAAGGGGTGTTCATTAATAATTCCAGAACAAATATAAGAATGTTGTTGATTTTTGAATATATAAAGTTTGTTTCTGACTGGTTGATTTTGGGTTTGTGAACGGATAATAGATTTCGGTACGACATATTTATATATTGCAGAGTTTGCGGACATATTTCACATATCATACAATAAACGTACCCATATTTAAATTCTGTCCCAGTTCTCTCTGTCGGGTGACGCATACTAGATATTCTATTCTGGGGTTGCTCGTTTGTCAATTCGGAACGTCCAGAATTGATAGAATTGCAATCAAGTGATACGCAATTATCCATGTCACAGTTCTGTCAGTCCCAACAGCTGAGGTGATATGAGTAGAATCGTGACGTATTTTAAGTAACAAATATGTATCAGCTGTCATGATTGGTTGAGATATTTTTTATGCATTTGGCACATGCGTTGTACTTTGAAATTGTCCTTTTCAGTCGATTGACACTATTTTTGGAATTGAGAGAATTTAATTCCGGAACGTTCAATCGAGTATTCTCTCTGTGTCATTGTTGTATTTAGAGAACTAAATTCTAGAACCTTCAAGTATCTTTATATTTTTGTCTTGGATGAATAGACGATAGCAAAATGAGCCTGAAGTCGCAACTCTTTGACGATATAAACAAAAATATTAAAATAGGCTAAAAATGTTGTTTCAATGATATTACATGAAAGGTAAAAGTTTAGATTTGACAAATAAAACAAACTAATTTTTGAAAATATTTTTAGCCTATTATGTATTTCCCCTTGCGACTCATTTTGCTGTCATGGTTTACATATTTTGATTGTTTTGTCATGGATAGAATATAATCACATTTTAGATTAAGTATACAATTGTATACAAGTTTAGAACTGAAAGATTAAGAAAGAGGGAATGTGTGTGATAATCATTTGTTTTGTTTACGAGGTTCGTAGTCATTCCCTGCGGTAAACTAGGCTCTTGTGTACCGTCATGCTGGCTTTAGACACATAGACATGCAAATATATAAAATGTAGAAATACATACCACGTCTGTCTATTTTTTGTATGTCCAGTATTTTATCCGTTGACCTATTTTGTTTCATGAGTTAATAATAATGATTTATAAATGGTTTGAAAGATGTAAAAATGTTAAATATATTATATGTTTATTTTACCTACTTGTGCCTTGATAGGCGGGTGTATGGATGTACGCATGTATCTACATGTGTTTTTCTTGGGTTGGTTCATCAAATAAAATGCAAACTTATAAAAATAATATATTTTGTTGAAATTTAAAAAACCCAACATGGCTTATTATGCAAGTTCTCGTCCACGGTCACATTCTAATGTGTTTCTATAGACGGTTCAACCAGTCATGATCTGAACTTAATGAAGTTTGCTAGAAATCACAGGGTTGAACTTATTTTGATCGAACCAACCCAGATTTGTAAATTGTTTGTTAAAGGTATATCTGGGATTTTTATTTATGAATATGGAATAATATTTTGTTGTTTAGTTGGAGTTCTGATAAAATAATATATATGTGTATATTTATTGTCTTCTGGTAATTAAAAGTCCAGATCCGTACAGCACAAAGTTTGTCTTCACAGGACAACAGAAGTTGGCATGAATTTCGTTGATTTGATAGGATACAAGATTAATTATGGTAGCTGCTTGTCGACATTTTTATCTGGGGTTAACACGGGCCAGAATTAGGTCATCAGAAGCTTCCATTCCCTTTAATATACTTCAGCTACGAATATGTCTTATGTTAAGTATACGATTCATTCCTGGTCGGATGAAGGACATGTCCGGCATCTACAGGCGAAACAGCAGCCATGGTTCATACCAATCTGAATTAAAATTTTGCGTCCTATTTTATCGCGAAAAAAACTACTTTAAAAACAACAAGTACGTTGTTGTCCTTTTCGAAACCAAGGAAAAAATTTGATCGTCTAACGATTCTTGTAAATATAACATAAATGCTTGGGCTTGAAAGATTTTATCCTCAAAATATTTTTGCATTTGGGTTTGTTTAAGATTTTATCATCTCACGGTTTGTTATTCTACGTAAATTATTTCACGTAAATTATTTGTTTTTGGTTTTTGTGAATACTCATAACATCATTTTATATTTTTTGTATAATCGCTGTGTATTTTGTTCCCGGTTTCCATGGAGATCAAACATGCAATAAATGTTGTAGAATTATGTATTTTACGGGGATTTGTTGATTTTGAGGAATTTGTTTTCGCTGTTTTGTAGAATGCCAGAATTCTTTCTTGATGCTTAAAATAGTTAGTTTTAATATGCTTAGTATTTTTATGGACTGTTATGATTGAACTGGATGATTTTGGACTGACTATCCTAATCCTTGTCATGAACAAGCTTGGAATCGAAACCACACCACTTGATCCATTGACAGACCTTATGATCTAAAGTGCACACATAAAACCATTCGGTCACCCAACTCCACGATAACAGAAAGGATAGAGTCAGGTGTTTTAAAAATATCTTTTATTCTTGAACAGGTCTAAGTATATTGATAAGTAAGTGTATCCACTCTGTGGCTGTACAATGCCAGAGGTATAGTAGGGATGAGAGAGCATGTGTATCAACTCTGTGGCTGTACATTGCCAGTGGTGTGTGAGGGATGGGAGAGCATGTGTATCAACTCTGTGGCAGTACATTGCCAGAGGTGTGTGAGGGATGGGAGAGCATGTGTATCAACTCTGCGGCTGTACAATGCCAGAGGTATAGTAGGGATGAGAGAGCATGTGTATCAACTCTGTGGCTGTACATTGCCAGTGGTGTGTGAGGGATGGGAGAGCATGTGTATCAACTCTGTGGCAGTACATTGCCAGAGGTGTGCGAGGAATGGGAGGGCATATGATATGGTGTATATCCTGGATAAGGAACACAATCAACAAAAATAATACCATCTTACCATCGATCTTGGCTTGTGGAGCTCGGAAATGGTTAGCTTGGAATGAAAGGATATGCATTAATTCTGAATTTAAGAGGGTTGAATAGGAACACCTGATATCACTTAGTCTAGATATATAGTATTGATAGATGTTGTACATGAGACAGGGTATGCTTACTCTCTCTAGAACATCTGATACCACTTCTTATATATCTGTGAAGGTAACAATATATGTACATTTCATTTTACCATCCTCATCATATCTGTTTTTCAAGTGGTTTTAAATAAGATCCTAAATAGAGATTGGCCATAGTAATTAGTACACATTACATTTGACATAGACTCATTACATTTGACATAGACTCATTACATTTAATATAGTGCACATTACATTAAATTGATGTAGTGCTCATTACATTTGATATAGTGCACATTACTGACGTGCATTCAATGGGGCTTATTGATGTGATGTTAAGATACAACACAAGGTTGATTATTGTTGATATTTTATTAATTAGAAAAAGAAATAATTTAATTTGTAGATATGGCATTATGCTTTTATTTATCCAAGTTGATATATTCTGTATTGGTTTTATTATTATGCATATTATATTAATCAGTAAATCTGTTTCCTTCTTTTGATCAAAATAATCATAATGCTCAATCGATAACTCTCTCTATGTTTCTGTGTTGTATTATTTATACTTAGTTCCTATTGATTGATATTTATAGATATTTTGCTAGCAGTGTTGGATTTAAACTCAGTGAGGCCCTTAGCTATACAATATTTGACTGTCTTTGTGAATGACTTGGTGAGACCCTATAAGCTATATATGCCTTTTAATTATTTCATACAATTAGACATTTTAAAAACTACAATATCAGTCCACTTAAAAATTCATGTTGAATGTTGTTCAGCTTATGTCTAAGTCGAACGAGTTAAAGGAGCACCACAGCTTTATGATACAACTGTCCATGACAAATGTAATTCATGGTAAATCATAATCTTAAATGTGTATTATATGATACCCACCCTTCTTCACATTCTTTATTCTTCCTCATTATACAGAGAAAATATCGATATATGAATATATTATTTCCAAATCGGAATTCACAATGTTGAAAAAATATTTTAAATTCATTTTTTTAAGATGAAAATTGAGTTTATTAATTTGATGAGTGGGTATTGATGTATGTATTGATGTACCAACACTACGCTACGGTTCCCTGCTATACTTCACCCACTAGTAGAAATGTTGATCTGAGAGAGTAAACCTTTTAATTTAAAACTATTTAATCATAAACCATTGTGTACAATTCTACACAGATCGAATCAATTGACCATCTGACCACCAGTTTATATGTTATGGTCATTGTTTGAGGATTAATCAGAGCCATGATCCTAAACAACAGTAAAATACCCAACATTATTAACAATTAAAATTATGTAGAGATGGAAGTGAGTGTGGGATTAATGGGAGTCCTGACCCTAACTATCACATGTTCATGAATAATATTCTGTAAGTGACATTTAGTAACTGGGTAGATAAATGAACTATAACACATGCACTTATGGAAAAACATCTACTGATTTATTTAGGCGAGTTTCGAAGAGTATTCTCTAAACTTTATCAAGCTAATACCAAGCCAATACGTTTAAAGAAGACTCTTCGAAATGTTGCCCAAATAAATAAGTAGCTGCTTTTCCATAAGTATGTGTTATAGTTTATTTTCACATTTTCCTTTCATATTTCCTTGTTTAATTATTACCAACTGTAGCTTGTAGTTTGTTTAATTGTTACCAACTCTAGCTTGTTTAATTATTACCAACTCTAGCTTGTAGTTTGTTTAATTGTTACCAACTCTAGCTTGTAGTTTGTTTAATTGTTACCAACTCCAGCTTGTTTAATTATTACCAACAACTCTAGCTTGTAGTTTGTTTAATTGTTACCAACTCCAGCTTGTTTAATTATTACCAACAACTCTAGCTTGTAGTTTGTTTAATTGTTACCAACTCCAGCTTGTTTAATTATTACCAACTCTAGCCTGTAGTTTGTTAATTGTTACCAACTCTAGCTTGTAGTTTGTTTAATTGTTACCAACTCCAGCTTGTTTAATTATTACCAACTCTAGCTTGTAGTATGTTTAATTATTACCAACTCTAGCTTGTAGTTTGTTTAATTATTACCAACTCTAGCTTGTAGTTTGTTTAATTATTACCAACTCTAGCTTATAGTTTGTTTAATTATTATCAACTCTAGTCTATAGGTTGTTTAATTATTACCATCTATAGCTTGTAGTTTGTTTAATTATTACCATCTATAGCTTGTATATTGATGTATATTTTATTTATGTTTGCATTTCTTTCATATTTTAATTTAACTAAGTATTGTAATTTGCATAATGATAACATTTGTTGAATATCCATCCCACTGACTATCCTGCCTTCCGATGTGAACATTGATGGTTATTAATAGATCCTATAAAATTAAAGAGTTGATTTACTAAATGAGACATTCCATTTCAAGTAGAAAATGGGCAGTTTTTTTTCAAAACACAAAAATATGCGAGAATGCTATCTTAAAGAATATTTCATTGAGACTTGTTCACACTAAGGATGAAAAAATATTACTTCAAGACCTTGCTAGAAGAATGGGGATCAATATAAATCTACTTTCGATTGAACGCTTTTATAATAGATATTGTTTATAATTTAAGCTTTTGTGTCAGAGGGCAACTTGTTTAGTTTGTATAAACCAGTTCTCAAGCATTATGATTAGAAAAAAACATCACAGACTCTGTGACAAGTAATCCTTGGTGTGCACAGGTTTTGAAGCCTCTGTGACAAGTAATCCTTGGTGTGCACATATTATTGAAGCCTCTATGACAAGTAATCCTTAGTGTGCACAGGTCTTGAAGCCTCTATGACAAGTAATCCTTAGTGTGCACAGGTCTTGAAGCCTCTATGACAAGTAATCCTTAGTGTGCACAGGTCTTGAAGCCTCTATGACAAGTAATCCTTAGTGTGCACAGGTCTTGAAGCCTCTGTGACAAGTCATGCTTGGTGTGCGCAGGTTTTGAAGCATGTGATGGATAATCCTTGATGTGTGCAGGTCTTGAAGCTTTTGTGACAAGTAATCCTTGGTGTGCATAGGTCTTCAAGTCTCTGTGCATTATTTCATATTTCGGAAAATATCAAATTTTTCACAGCTAAAATGAATTCAAATTGATTATTTAATTGAGATGACAAAATCAAAATATCAACCTCCAGACTTGGATTCAATTGGCCCATCAAAAAATTGTAACGCTAATTACAGCTGGTGCTCGCTTTTGATCTTTTTCTGTTTTATATCGTCTGCCAAATGTTGCTAAACTTTCAAGATAATGTAGTTTGCCAAGGCTTCCCTTAATTGATGTTCTAAAGATACTTTATTAATTCACTTCATTGACTGTGGCAATGCTCGATTGTCAATCCGGAACTTTCAGAATTGACGGAATTGCAATCGAGTGACGCAGAATTCAGTCCTGTCACAGTTCTATCAGTCCCAACCACGGAGGTGGGGTGAGTAGAATCGTGACGTAATTAAACACAATGAATATGTTTCAGCTATCAGTTGGCACATGCGTTTTATCCCCCAATCCACATTTTCGTTCGATTGTCACTATTTTTGGGTTTGATAGAATTCAATCTGGAACATTCAATCGAGCATTGATATAATGAACTGATTATTTTGGTGTTTTGTTTTGCGATACAGTTTTATTTTATATTGATGATAATTAATTCTGTGTAAATATTATATCATTCCATATTAAAATACATTTTCTATTAAACTCTTTATTTTCTTTCTTCTTTAAATAGATGACAAGTTGGGTGACTCTATAATAGTCTAACATGTGCATTGTACATCATTGGGTCCGTCATTGAGAATGGGGGTTGGGTGGCTGAATGGTTTCACACGCCCATTGCCCAGACCGGTGTTTCCACATATACGTTATCGTACTCTCAAGGATTCTTTTACGTGCATGCTTTATGAACGGTTTATGAGATATGCTCTTGAAACTAAATCGCGGCTAACTTCTTTCGTTGCAGGATAATAATTCATTCCTTGCATTGGATTTATAATACTAGAATACTTATACAGGTGACAATTTTATGGAATACCATGACTTCTTATTACTTGGCGACGTTTCGACTAGGCTTCTCTAGTCATTACCAAGCAGTAATTGTATTCCATAAAATTGTCACCTGTATACTCCAGTTCAGTTACTAAATGCCATTGAAACAATTTACTAGAATACTTGGTATGGATACAATTCACTATTTTAACTAGACTGTGAAATGTTGCAGTATAATACAAATAAAATGAAACAGGTTTAACAACCTACTATTCTGCTCTGACTCAACTAATGAGGGAAAGTTTGCCCGAACAGCGGCACTACGGCCTACTCTTGTACCGAATTCCAACTGTCAAGGGATCTTTTACATGCACGATCTTGTTTTTTCATCCTACCCAAAAGACATCCTGCCCCCCCTGATGAATTTTCTCGGCCAACGTACGGATCAAACACAGGACCTTCAGGTTCATTGTCTTATACACTGAACCACCTTGGTTCCCACGATCATTCTTGTGACCTTCAGACCTGCTTGATCTATACAGAGAACAAAACAACCTGCAATACTTTCTTCAAAATAATAAATATCATTTATATCTATTCTTTCAAATTCCAATACATACTAAAATATGTTTCTAGTAGAATTGAATATAAAGATAATAAAAGAAGAAACTTAGACACGAGAAGGTTCATTTCTTTCTTCTAGCATCAATTCTCATTTAGCACTAATTCCTTTACTCTAGCATTAATTTCATGATAGCATTAATTTCTTGGTAGAATTTATTTCCTGCTAGAACACTTTCAAACTAGCATTAATTGTCTGTTTTAGTTTTTATAATTACACTTTGACAATATGTCTCCTCAAGTCCACTGATGACTTCTTCATACTTGATTTTCACCATAAAATTGATGCAACAAATTTGTTTCACTGCTGAGGTTTCTATCAGGTTTCCACCAATTGTTTGAAATAATTCTTCCATTAAATATAGAAATCTTTAAATAAAATAAATGGTTCTTCCATAAAAAAGAGGACCAATTTCTGCCATCAAATAATGAACTTTAAATTCAATAAATTATCTATCCGAAAACAGGTCAAACTTTTTCCAGGTATATTTAATATATTTCTCAAACAGGTTTCTTAAAACTGGTGAATTTTATAATGTTCAACTTTAAATAGTTAATGTTTCATATCTTCATATATTTCTCGTCCCCTATCAACCTTATTTTTATCAACGGGAAAGTAGTACCAGCCTTTATAGTCAGCTCTTGACTGCATCAAGTCCATCATTCGAGCTTCAAGTTTCCTGTAAAAATAAAACAATTGTTAGTTGATTGTTATTATAAGAAAACGATACACTTCTATAAAAAGAAAGGGAGAGAGAGAGAGAAATGGGGTTTAACGTCCACTCGTCCACTCGACACAAACCAGTTCATTTCGGGACTAACATATGGATTAATCTTATTTTAATAATTCGCTAGCTCGTAGGGTCTTGAGCAGTGGGAGGAACTGAGGACCCGGAGAAAACCCACATGGTTGGACAGACAACCCTACTCCTTGTCACATACAACTGGGGAATCAAAACAATGCCAGTTGACTTAATGACAGACCTTATGATAAAGCGTGCACGTGTTAACCATTCGGCCATCAAAAACCCCTATAAAAAGAAAATTAAAGACCAGGCAATGAAATGAAATGGGTTTTAACGTCCTACTGCTCTGACTGGGCTATCGCAGACAGGCATACGCCATACAGTGTGCTAGGAGTAAAATTTTACCCCAACAGCAGCGCTACAACATACTCTTATATCTCATTCTATCTATCATCGTTCTTTTATGTGCACACCATGCACACTGGACCTTGGGTTTTTTGTGAAAATAAGAACGACTATTATATGTTGTACCTTGCCAAGGCCCACAGTTAGTCCTGTACCAATGACAAGAGGGAACCACACCAGAGAATTATGATTAATTTCTCGCATATGTCATACAGTGTTCTATGAGGGAAATTTTGCCTGGACAGCGGCACTACTGCCTACTCTTATATCGAGAGAGAGAGAGAGAGAAATGGGGTTTAACGTCCACTCGACAGAAACTAGGTCATTTCGGGACTAACACATGGTTTAATTTTATTTCAATAATTCGCTTGCGCGTAGGGGACCCGGAGAAAACCCACGAGGTTGGACAGGCGACCCTACTCCTTGCCATGTACAACCGGGGATTCAAAACCACGCCAGTTGACTCAATGACAGACTTTATGGTACAGCGCGCACGTGCTACCATTCAGCCACCCAACCCCCCCTCTCTTATATCGAATTCTAAATCGTAAAAACACCCAACTATCAGGTAGCGTCCTTACCAACGGCAGTTCTAATCACAGATTTGCGTCCAGATAAAACGAAAACAGAAGTTAATTTTCAAATGTCAACAAACTCATATGTCCGTACAGATTTGTAATGATTGAAATCGCGAACTTACTTCATTTTCAATTCTTCACCTTCGTGATAGAATGAATTACAAATCTTTTCATACTCCTTTTCGGGATCATTATAAATATTTTTAGAAAACCATCTCTGTATCGGACCCTAAAATATAAAAGTTAATAAAAATGTCACAGCCAATTTGTTTATCATCTGATTTATTTTGGAGCCATTTTGCAGTGTGGTTTCCCCCCTGTCAGGAACAAAATAAATGGGGTTTAACATCCTCTTCTGTTCTGCTTCTACTGGGCTAATGAAGACCGCACACGCCATACTATGAGAGGCATTTTGCCCGGACAGCGGCACTATGGCCTACTCTTATATCGAATTCCAACTGTCAAGGGTTCTTATGTGCACGCTAATCTGCACACAGGACCTCGGTTTTCGTCCCACCTAAACGACTATACGCTGTCCCTTGACAGGTTCTCTGTCCTGCGCCACGGACAAGGGGAAGCCACACTGATGATTTTTCTCAACTAATCCAGAGATCAAACACGGGACCTCAAGGGTTAGCAAGGCCTACTCACTGAGCCACCATGGTTCATACTTGTCAGGAAAATGAAATGAAATGGGGTTTAACGTCCTACTGTTCTGCTCCTATACTGGGCTAATGGACACGGGCATACGCCATACTATGAGGGAAATTTTGCCCAGGCAGCGGCACTAACGCCTACGCTTTATCGATTTTCCAACTGCCAAGGGATCTTTTACATGCATTCCAATGTATACACTGGACCTTGGTTTTTCGTCTCATCCGAAGGACTACACAGCTGTCCTTCTCAGGCCCTGCATTCTGCACCACTGACAAGGGGAAACCACGTCAGAAAATCAAGATGAACTTTCTCGGCCAATGCAGGGATCAAACACCCGACCTCCAGGCTAGCAAGCCAGCGTCTTAACCACCTAGTCGCACTTGTCAGGAAAGGAATCTAGATGTTTGGAAAGTATAAAAACCAAGGCCCCATTGATTAGGGGGGCAGAAACACTGCTATCTAGGCAAACCTTCCTTTATAGCACCTTTAACCCAATTTATTAACACCTTGTTTTTTTTGTACCATCTAAACTACTAGACATTTCATTTCCAACCTCTCCGACCTTCACCTTCACCACCGACAAGGCGAAAACCCATGCCGGAAAATAGGCCTACTGAGGAATTTTCTCTGCCAGCACCTGAATTGTCTGGTTCGTTGGCATTTTGTTAAATCTTAGTGATACATGTAAATAATGTTTAATTAGATTGTTATCATAAACAAACTATAAAAAGAAAATGAAAGAACAGGATTATGGCCAATGTTTCCATGGTTTGTGGACTAGCACAAAATGAAATGAAATGGGGTTTAATGTTCAGGCAGTGACTGGGATAATAAAGATTGATAAAGATCGAACACCCGACCTCCAGGCTAGTGAGCCAGCGTCTTACCCACTTAGCCACGTGATCCCCTAACAAAGATGGGAATACGCCATACAGCGGTACACTCTTATATCGAATTCCAACTGTCAAAGATGCACATCAATAAAAAGAAAGTGAAAGACTGGGATTGTAGCCAATGTTTGAACGGGCAACGAGTCTAATAATGACAAAATAAAGATTTTTACCTTGTGATATTCCCAGTGTTTTGGTTCGTAACCTTCTGGTATATCTCTCAATTCTGCTGGACCTGAAGAAATATACAAAATAAATATTTACATTTAGTTTTATGTGTGGGGAGGGGGTTAATGATTGCACGTCATAGAGTCAATGGCGTGGTTTAGATTCCCCGGTTGTACTTGACAAGGAATAGGGTCGTCTGTCCAACCACATGGGTTTTCTCCGGGTCCACCTGTTTCGTCCAACACATCAAGACACCCCACGTGCAAGCGAATTATTGAAATAAAATTGAACCATATGTTAGTCCCAAAATGACAAAGTTTGTGTTGGGTGAACGTTAAGCAAACAATTCTCTCTCTATTTTTTTTTCTTTATACCTTGAATAAAGGAAGAAAATGCAAAATGAAATGAATTGTGGTTTAACCTCCTACATCTCTGCCCCGCTACTGGGCTCATGAAAACGGGGGAAGAAAATACACATTAAATATACATGTGTACCAACATGTGGGACTAACACATGGTTCAATTTTATTTCAATAATTCGCTGGCATGTAGGGGTCTTTAGCAGTGAGAGGAAACTGGAGGACCCTGAGAAAACCCACGAGGTTGGACAGGCGACCCTACTCCTTGTCACGTACAACCGGGGATTCGTTACCAACTCGGAAGTGAGCTTTGGTATGGAAAAAACCCCACAAACATCCAAGAAAAAAAGGTAGATTTTAAACGAATATACAGCCATTAGATGATACAGAATCAAACCCCCCAAGTCTAACTTACTTACCTACAGCCATGTTGGCATATGCGATCACTAATCCAATTGGTATTAATCCAATCCAAAGGAAAAAATTCTGGAAAATAAGATCTTATTTAAGAGGAATATTTATTTATAGAAGTAAGTGTAGGAGGACTGCACCACCCACAAATAAACTGGATAAGATTATCCTCCGAACAAGACACGAACTACACGGATAATGTGAAGTGAAATGAAATGAAGTTTAACGTCCTACTGTTCTGCTCGGACTGGGCTAATGAAGACAGGCTTACGCCATACAGTGTGCTACGAGGGAAATTTTGCCCGGACAGCGGCACTACAGCCTACTCTTATATCGAATTCCAACTGTCAAGGGATTTTTTACATGCACGGCAATGTATACACGGGACCTCGGTTTTTCGTCCCATCCGAACGACTAGACATCGGTGCTTGTCAGGCCCTCCGTCCTGCATCACTGACAAGGGGGAACCACGCCAGAAAATCTGAATGAACTTTCTCGGCCAAATGCAGGGATCGAACACCCGACCTCCAGGCTATAAATGTAGGCTATAAATAAGAAATATCTGATCAACAAGATGTCTTGTATTTATTTACAAACTGGGCTAATGAAGAGCGACATACTCCAAGCACTGTGATATGAAGGGAATTTTGCCCAGACAGTGGTGCTACGGCCTACTCTTATTTAGAATTCTAGCTGTCATGGGCTCTTCTACATGCACGCCAATATGTACACAGGATTACATGCACGCCAATATGTACACAGGATTTCAGTTCTTTGTCCCATCTGAACAATCATATGTTGTCCCTGTTCTGACAAACTCTTCACTCATTCCAGTCTGTATCAGGCCTTCCTTCCTGCACCACTAACGGTGGGATGAGGGTGGGGGGTCGCACACTGGAAATCCTAAAGTTGCCCCCCCCCCTTGTCAGTGGTGTAGGACAAAGGGTGTGGTATATACTGGAATAAGAGAACAGAGGTCACCTGTCTATTCAGACCAATTCTCAGTTAACACCAAATCAGCTGTTAGCATAATTTGAACCAAATATCACCACTGCACAAAAAGACTATACAATTGTTGCCATTGTATGATAAACTGAGTTGAAATATAATGAGGTTTATCGTCCTACTTTTCTACACCAGGCTAATAAAGATAGGCATTCCAACTGGGAAGGGGTTTTGTCCGTACACATTAATATGTACACGGGACCTCAGTCTCATCTGAATGTCTAGAGGAAGTTGGTCGCGAAAAGGAAATGCCGCTTTAAATGAGCCAAACTTACCATATCATCTTTAAAACCATTCCATTCATATCTACTAGCTTGCATCGGAATCTTAGGAGGTCCATGACTTGCCATTCCCCTTACCAATGCTAAAAATACAAACATTCCAAAACCGTTTAGAAAATGTTGCTGCATATAGGTGAATTTTATGTACATTTTGGTGTCCTATATGAATATTAAAAGTGACAAAATTGTGTTGATTTCCTTGAACACCGTATTTTCTAGTAATGTTTTATATTTGCAAGCATATAATGTTAAGGATGCATTATAAAATGAAATGAAATGGGGTTTAACATCCTACTGTTCTGTTCTGCTCCGACTGGGCTAATGAAGACAGCATACTCCATACAGTATGCGATGAGGGAAATTTTGCCCGGGCAGCAGCACTATGGCCTACTCTTACATCGAATTCCAACTGCCAAGGGATCTTTTTCGTGTATGCCAATGTATACACAGGACCTCGTTTTTTTGTCCAATTAGAATGACTATAGACAACTGTCCTTGCCAGGCCCTCTGCACCACTGACAATGGGGAAACGATGTCGGCAAATCCCTATAAACTTTCTCAGTCAATGCAAGATGCATTATATTAGACTTTGATAAAGAGCTGGATGTTCTTATAGTTCAAAAATAGATAATGCAAAATAAATATTTAGAAAATTTCATTCAAATCACTTTATTGGGAGCAAAGTTATCATTGTTTGAAGGTTTGACGCCTACAATTGTTTGTAGCATTTCAAGGGGTGGTACTTTTTACCGCCGACCACCGCCGAACAATACTTTTACCGCCGACCATCGTGAAATTACCGCCAACCAAATACTTTTTACCGCCGACTACATTGTAATGACTTTCGATCATAATACCGCCGACCAAATACTTGTTACCGCCGACCAAATGCTTAATGATTCCTTGTTACCGCCGACTATATAAAATTAATTAAATTATTAGTGACAAATAAATAGATTTGGTTAAATACACAGAGTTTGATAAAAATATAGATTTTATTATATATAAACCCTCGCCCTCGCACTAATAAAAGATAGGCCTAAAATGTTATTTATTTATAACCAGTAGCTGAAACAATCTTGATATATTTGCCCTTCAATATCTAAATTGTAGTTTTGTCCTTCCGTATTCTTTAAAATATATATGAATGTTTTTCGACAGTTGTACCTGATTACACCTCAAATAGAAAATAACATTCTTGTTGTATTTTTTTTTATAAAAAAAAAAAACAACCGTAAAATAGTCGGCGGTAACAAGGAATCATTAAGCATTTGGTCGGCGGTAACAAGTATTTGGTCGGCGGTAATTATATTACGGTCGAAGTCATTACAATTCGGTCGGCGGTAAAAAGTATTTGGTCGGGGGTAATTACACGACAGTCGGCGGTAAAAAGCATTTGGTCGGCAGTGGTCGGCGGTAAAAAGTACCACCGCATTTCAAGTGCGCCCTGACTTTAAAAAGTTTGTGCAGTACGTTGATCTGGCTACTTAGGGTTAGTAGTGGAAGTCAAAAGTAGCCGGGTCAACGTACTAGGCCAAAAAGTTTGGGAACCACTGTTTTAGAGAGTTGATTATTTACAGGCAAAACTAAAAGAAAAGGCACTGGCAACTAATTATCAGAATGTTTAATTGTTTGTTGGGCATTCTTTTATCGCCTTGTCATTTTATTACTTTCAAATAACGTACCAGTCTCTGCTGAAAGAGTAGGCAGTCGCAAAGTACCATTTTGCCATTGCTGAATTAGAGAGGCTCGGATTGCCCGATGAAGAACTGGTCGCAGCAAACTCATGCCAGCCATCTTGCTGACCTTTCCGTCAAGGACGTTTCTATGCTATGATGCACCACAAACGGCCTTCGCCAATGGCCCGTTGTTTTATATCTGTTAGTTTTGTTTTAAGACTATTCTATTTACCACACTTGATTTATAATCCTGTCTAACCTTTAGTTATTTTCTTGATATTTGTTTTATTCGGACGGAAAATAGTCTTCTGGAAAAATCTATTGTGGCACATCAGAACAAACGAAAACAAAATGGATTTGCTGGGGTCAATATTAGGCTCCATGCAGAAGCCTCCCACGGTTGATGAGGCGGAGAAAAAGAAAGCAAGAGGTAACGAAGGGCCATTATTTCTTTAATTTAATAGAAATATATAAAATGGAAGAAAATAAATTCACAAATTCCAGGATTCTTGCATGTGCGTTTCCAAGCACCTTGTATTCAAGGGGGGCAACTCTTGTCAGCTTTGAAAAATCTCAACAAAATAAATATAACGATAAATAAATAAAGTACCGGTAATAAAAAAAAAAAAAAAAATTAAAAAGAAAAGAAATCAGACTATAGGTATGACAGTATATAGAATTTTATGTCCCATGTACTGTCACTAGGAAAATGAAGAGTCTCCAGAATTTTTAGGCTACCGGTACTCTACTACTAACTAGTACTACTACTCAGACTACTACTAATACTAGGCCTATATCTGGAACTGTATTATAGACTAGTGAAGAGTAGTGTAGGCCTACTGCCGAGAAGGTATCCATTTTTCGACCTTGTGTCTCGAGATAAGAAATGTAGCCATCATTAATTACCCCGACATTTACGGTACCGTACTCAAGTTCCTCAACACCAAGCTAACACAGGCTTAAACATGCATTATGCAAGAGCTAAATCTGATTATTGCAAGTCTTAATTTAGGCTTCAGATGTTATAGGAATTATAAATTAGATCTTTTTTTAAAGGCTCAATACCACTCTTGTTGTAACTGAATAATATGTCCCAATCTTTATTCTGGTCAACAAATTGTACTATTTTACAATATTTCAATTAATTGATGATACAAATTTCATCTTAACACACCTTATTTAAAAATTTTGAAAAATTCAACATAATGGTTTGAAACGTCTAACGTAAACCTTTTCAAATGAAACTTCGATTTAAAAATATTTTCGAACCCTCTGGACAAGTAAAATAGGATGTAATGGATAATTTACACAACAGGTAGGACACTTAAACATATAGTACTTAGATAGAGATATTATTTATTTTCTGGAGCTTTCAAGCCAGCAAGAGTGTTATTGTCCCTTTAAACAACAAGACCAAAATCAACTCTGTAGACCCACGGATGGCTCGGCTACAGCTCAGATTTAAATAGGATTTCACTAATTGGTTAAATCAAATAAGGGCTAACCTGATGAAAATACGTCAGTTAGATCGAGGCTAAATGATAGAGTGTACATAGCGAGGCCGCTGTAAAGCGTTTCCGTATGCCATTGAAAACTTTACTTGATAATCGAGATATGTAGGTGGAGTTAACGCCTGTCAATCAAACGATCTGCGAAGGTGAAGACACATTTCGCTACCATTTATAGGCAAATATTACAACGATGATAACTATGTTCAGAATAAAGTAATTTGACTGAATTTTTCAATATATTCTTCTTTCATCATCTTCTTTTGACCTGTTATAGCAAGAATGGCCAACTCTCTATAAAAATCTCCCATAAAGTATCTTTAAATGACCTGATATCAATCGAAGTGGAAGAGGCTACTCCATGAGCTGTCATTTCCCTTTCTAACTAATAATGGAATAGATATTAAAAATCCCTGCTCAACAGTGGTACAAAAATAGAAATGGGAGACCATGCCATGGTTTATTCATCTTTATAACATTTCGTTTGAAAGATCCTTATTAATTTCTTCTTTCTCCGCCGGTATCATCGTTTGATCTTGCAGCTGGTAGATCTACTCTGCTACTCTTTTAATGGTGTGTTTGCATTCTCTCTCTCGTTTCCTTATTATGGTATAAGTAGTATTTTATTATTAGTACATCACTAACCATTCCTACCTGTACATTAATACATCACTAACCATACTCTACCTGTTTTATTCCTACCTGTACATTAATACATCACTAACCATACACTTCCTATTTTACACCTACCTGTATTTCTACTGGAATAAGAAGACTTTGATAAACTAATGGGTTATTAATACATCAGTAATCATGCTCTATCTACCTCCAGGCTACTTAACTTACATTTGTTAGTGAAAGTTTAAACTGTAAACTCAACTACCTGTCTCTGTGTGTCATTTGCATTTTTATTCTTAAAGATGCCTATTGAAGGTATTTTATGGCTTCAAATGTAATTTAGATTAGACATTTATTCACATGATAAGCCCATAATCAACTGTCCAGACAATCTGATGGTATGGATATTAATTGGATTAGACCATGGGGCACCAAATCCTACACATTGCATCTGTAAGTAGATACAAATGTTGATAATAATATTTTTTCTTATTTTTCCAGAGCAAAAGAAATTGATTGAAAAGAAACAGTCAGAAGAAAAGAAGCATTTAGATGTTTTTCGTATGAAGGTATTATCAAAAATACATTTTAAAAATATGGTTGATGAATGAAATATATGTTTATTTTTAAATTAAACCAGATCAGTTTTGAGTTCAACCAAAGCCTAAAAATAACAAAAACTCAAGAAATTTGATTACCACTGAAAGGAACTGGAATTACACCATATTTTTTATTTTGTTTTAGGCTTTTTGTTTTTAAACTTAAATTTTTTTTTGTGTAGACACAGAAAGTTATTCATGAATTTATCAAAGATGAAAAACAAGAGAAATATAAATTTAAACCTTTAGATAAAGTCTACAGAGCTATTGTGTAAGTATTTAACAATATTCAACAGTATTTAATAGATTTACAATGTTTTGTGCTGTTTATACAAAGTGGTTTCGTTTCTTGTAATTAAATTAGAGAGGGGGGGGAGGTTAGCAAATGGTTTCATGCATGCTCGTTAGTTTTTATGGTCTGTGATGGAATAAACTGCTGTGGTTTTGATCTCCTGCTTGTTTGTGATAAGGAGTAGGGTCGGCTGTCCAACCTCATGGGTTTTCTTTGGGTCCTCCAGTTTCCTCCCAAAGCTACCGTTCCCTACCTGCAAGCAAAATATTGAAATAAAAATGAACCCTATGCTAGTCCCAAAATGACCTAGTTTGTGTCGAGGCCTTGTATCTAAAGGCCTGTCATTGAGTCAACTGGCATGGTTTCAATTCCCCAGTTGTACGTGACAAGCAGTAGGGTCGCCTGTCCAACCTCGTGGGTTTTCCCAGGTCTTCTGGTTTCTTCCCACTGCTAAAAACCCATACGCACAAGCAAAGTATTAAAATAAAATTGAACTATATCTTAGTCCCGAAATGATCTAGTTTGTGTCGAGTGGATGTTAAACCCCATTTCTCTCTTCCTTACCGAAGTACTGTTTTGAGATATAGATTATATAGGGTAGTCCAGATCTTTTAATTCAAAACTTAGCCAGATTGTCAAACCATGAGCGTAGCTTGTGTTAGATATTACATCTTTTGCTTTCAGACATGAAGTAGCAGACGTTGCAGGTTTGACATCGTTTTCATTTGGTCAAGAAGAAGAAGATAGATATGTGATGCTATGGAAAAAAGTAAAATATTTTCATTTAGTTCTTTCTTTTACCGGTCAGTAATTACCTGATGCCAAGCCCTGAGGAGTGGTGGTCTGGTGTGATGAAATGGTGTTATGAACTAAAACTAGTAGTTACTTCCCCTTATTTCTCTTTGGGCAGTTTTTGTTACTTTTTGGTCTGGAATCAAGGAAAAGTGTTTGAATTGACATTTTCTGACAGGTTTTAGTGAATAGTCATAATTTTGAGGTAGAAAGGTCGGGAAGTAAACAGACATGAATTAGGGTTATCTGCTACTAATAAAATGACTTCACTGCCTAAAGATTACATTGACCAGGCCTAGAAAAGATTAAAAAAAACGTCACCTCCCTTCAAAATTTTTTATGTTTGGCGAAATGTTTGGCTCTTTGTGGTTATCCAGATTAAGATCATTGGATTGTTTAAAAAGATATTTTATACGCCAAGGAATGTCATGGATTTAACATTCAAGTCAATAGGGAAAAAATTACTAGTCTTAGTTTTGATGGTTTACGATTACCTCCCTTACCCAGCATGGATGGAAATGAAATGAAATGAAATGGGGTTTAACGTCCTACTGTTCTGCTCCTATGCTGGGCTAATGAAGACGGGCATACGCCATACAGTGTGCTATGAGGGAGGGAAATTTTGCCCGGGCAGCAGCACTACGGCCTACTCTTATTTTGAATTCCAACTGCCAAGGGATCTTTTACGTGCATTTCAATGTATACACGGGACCTTGGTTTTTCCTCTTATCCGAGGGACTAGACAGCTGCCATTGTCAGGCCCTCCGTCCTGCATCACTGACAAGGGGAAACCACGCCGGAAAATCTGGATGAACTTTCTCGACCAATTCAGGGATCGAACACCCGACCTCCCTTCATGGATAGAAATCTAAAAATCTTTAAAAATGTTGCAGGGGGCCACACAGTAAGGAAGGTGTTGGCTTGCTAACCTGGAGGTCCCATGTTCAATCCCTGCATTAGCTGAGAAAGGTCATCAGGATATTCTGGAATGGTTTCCCCTTGTCAGTGGTGCAGGATAGAGGGCCTGGCAGGGGACAATGTATAGTCATTGCCACATGCCCGTAAAAGATCCCTTAGCAGTTGGAATTTGATATAAGAGTAAGCTGTAGCACCGTTGTCCAGGCAATATTTCCGTCATAGCACACTGTATGGTGCATGTCTGTCTTCATTAGCCCAGTTGGTGAAAGAACGTTAAACCTCTATTTTATTTCATGTAAATATTTTGCAGGAGTTCGCACCATCAGATGAAGAAGTTTTAGCTTACAGGCGTGGCGAAGTCTGGGATCCAGAAAAAGCCAAACAACTAGCTAAAGAAAAGGTAATAATATTATTCTTTACCTGCTCTGTTGATTGATTTATTTCAAGATATATTAGATTTATAAGCAATACAACCTAATACCTACCTGGATACCACGTTTACAAAGGAGGTTCCATGGCTGAATGGTTAGCACTTCGCTCTGTATCATAAGGTCTGTCATTGAGTCAACTGGCGTGGTTTCAATTGCCTGGTTGTACATGACATGGAGTAGGGTCACCTGTCCAACCTCATGGGTTTTCTCCAGGTCCTACCCCTACGCACAAGCGAATTATTGAAATACAATTGAACCATATGTTAGTCCCGAAAGGACATTAAACCCTCTCTTTTTGTCCTTGTCAGTGGTGTGGGACAGAAGGCCAGTGTATAGTCGTATATACACATTGACAGCTGGAATTCTAAATAAGAGAAGACTATAGTCTTTTTTTCTATAAGCAATATTTTTATTCAGATTTGTATCTGAATAGGGATTGGGGAACAGGCACAGCCTATATTAAACACCTCTCCCATAGTGCGGCTGTCTGGACAAAATTTCCCTCATAGCACACTGAATGTTGTATGCCAGTCCTCAATATTACAGCCAGTGCAGAAAAGTAGGATGTTAAACTCAATATCAGGAAGCGGAGGTGGTTTTGTGGTCTGACTGAACTGAAATGAAATGGGGCTTAACATCCTACTGTTCTGCTCCGAACAGAGCTAATGAAGACGGGCATACACCGAGGGACATTTTGCCCGGAGAGCGGCAATACAGCCTACTCTTATATTGAATTCCAACTGTCAAGGGATCTTTTACGTGCATGCCAATGTGTACACGGGACCTCGGTTTTTTCGTCCCATCCAAACAACTAGACTGCTGTCCTTGTTAGGCTATCCATGCTGCATCACTGACAAGGGGGGAACCATTGTAGCACCATAGGTCTTTCTGTCTGACGTGGAGAGCGAGAATTCCCAAAAAACGGTCGCCACATCTTACATACAACCCATGCATCTTTTCTTACTACATATTTCTGTAGCCTTGTGATCGTCTAGAATTTGTCTCTAGCTGTCTTTGCTTCTGCTTCACGTTGTGTATTTACTTCTTACTATTTTCTGAAGACGGTTGTCTTACCAGGAATAACAATGCAACAGTTCGCTTCTACATTTTATATAGCATAGCCGAATACATGCATACAAGCATGGCACAGATTACAATACTAGCTAAAACAATTTCTCCACCCTAGCCAGCCTCGCGGCTGTCTAGAAACTCAGCTGGAACCTCTCTGGAATCTAATGGAAGTCTAACTTAAAACTTTACTATGATTTCTTTTATAAGACTCCTGCATATCACGCACAGAAAGCCTGTTCATGGCCCTCAACCTGTGCAATTAACGATATGATTGGTTACTTTAAGTCAAATGATGCAATTAGAATAATTCCACTCACGTGTAATCTGGTGGTATATTATTGACACATGTTTTGGCTAAATAGCTCTTTTTATGTGTCAACTGTCAATTACAGACTAAGTTGATTTAGTACACACTATATATAATATATATGTGAATATGTGTGAAACTATTAATTTATTAATGAAATATAAAGTCATCTTATTTCTCTATTCTTTGTCTATAAATTTAAAAACAATGTCGCAACAATGATAGTGTTACACCATGCCGGAAAATCAGAACTAACTTTCTCGACCAATGCAGGGATCGAACACCCAATCTCCAGGCTAGCGAGTCAGCGTCTCATCGTGATCCCCTTGTGGTCTAACGCATGTGCTTTAAATCATAAGGTCTGTCATTCAGTCAAGTGACATGGTTTTGATCCCAAGCTTGTATGTGACAAGGAGTAGGGTCACCTGCAAAACCTTGTGGGTTTCTCTGGGTACTCCTACTGCTAAATGGGGATCTCGCTGGCTAAGTGGGTAAGACGCTGGCTCGCTAGCCTGGAGGTCGGGTGTTCGAACCCTGCATTGGCCGAGAAAGTCCCCTTGTTAGTGATGCAGGATGGAGGGCCTGACAAGGACAGCTGTCTAGTCGTTCGGATGGGCCAAAAAAAACGAGGTCCCGTGTACACATTGGCGTGCATGTAAAAGATCCATTGACAGTTGGAATTCGATATAAGAGTAGGCCGTAGTGCCGCTGTCCAGGCAAAATTTCCCCTCATAGCACACTGTATGGCGTATGCCGTCTTCAATAGTCCAGTTCGGAGCAGAACAGAACGACGTTAAACCCCATTTCATTTCATTTCATTTCCTACTGCTAAAGACCTCATATGCGCAAGCAAATTATTGAAATAAAATTGAACCCTATGTTAGTCCCAAAATGACCTATAACACATACACATAAGTTTGTGTGAAGTGGACGTAATCTTCCCCTCTCTCCCTGTCTCCTAACGAGTTCTCTTCTTATAAGTGTTCAGAATTAGAATATTTTATCTGATATTGTAGGAATTACAGAAACTAGAAGATTCACAGAGTAGTAAAACGAAAGTAGTTCCAGCCAGTAATTATCGCGATAAATATAAACATCTGATTGGTGAAGAGGCTGCCAAAGATGCTGCACAAGATTTAACCGCTAATAAATCATACGGGTTTGGTGAGTTATCTACCCTTTCTTTTAATTTCGAATTGACAGTGACGTAGAATCCAGTTCTGTCAGTCTCGACATCTGAGGTGGTGTGGGTAGAATTGTTACATAATTGAGTACAGAGAACAGCTATAATTGGTTGAGATATTTTCTGTTTCAGTCGACGCATGCGCTGTAGCCTGAAAAGCTCATTCGAAAACTTGTCTTCATTAGCCCAGTTTAGGAGCAGAACAGTGGGACGTTAAACCCCATTTCATTTCATTTTCATTCGAAAACAGTCGATTTGATGATTTACCGGAAACTATAGTGATTCAGTTAAATATGTGAAATTTCTGAGTTTGACCCACCATCTTGGTATCACTGTGAAGGGACCGACAAAAGGAGTTTTCCCAGAGTTAAATAAAGAGTAAACTAATCTCTGGGATTGAAATTACAGGCTAACCTTGACCTACTCCTAAAGAATTCTTTAGGCCTGAAATGTTTTCTAAATTATTAATTAGACATTAATTAACTTATCCAAGCCATAATTAACTCTCGATGGCATAGGATTCCGCCGATATTAAAAAGATTATAACAGTTCAGCCATATTTTGGTTTAAGCTCAAAATGGAGTAGCGAGACTTAGTTTTTCAACAACCAGTAAGGTGGTTGAAATTATTGCACACCTTCAAAGGCTTATATCTTCCCTAGCAATAGAGTAATTTGAATGAAATTTTCAAATTCTTCATTTTACATTACATTATAGCAAGAATGGCTAGCTGTTTATCTAAATTTTACATAATGTATCTCTAATTTACTCTTTTTCAGTATCCAGTCAAAATAAACGTGATACGAGAACAATAGAACAAGTTCTAGCAGACACTCGCGCAAAGAAAAAACAAAAGACTGATCATCCAGGCACATCAACAGAAGAAGGTTCATCCAGCCAAAGTGAAATTAGTAACATAACAGGAGAAGATAACTCTACAACTCAATCACAGAATTCAACAAACTCTTCTTGACAAAATACCGATTTAGGTTCTAAATAGTTGTCTGTAGGAATGTTTTAATACGCCCACATTTTCATGTGGACGTATATTGTTGTCGCTCCTGTCTGTCCGGACGTCCATAATTTGTTTGTGGACACTCTACAGGTCACAATTCTTATCCGATTTTGACGAAACTTGAAATATAGGTTTATGTCCAAAAGATCTCGGCTGTTTGTACGAAAAATCACGTTTTTAGCTTGTGGACCCTATAGAGGTCACAATTTTTATCCGATTTTGTTGAAACTTGAAATGTAGGTTTATAACCTAAAGATCTCGTTTCCTGTCGATATTTGCGCATATCGGACCGTAACTTCCTGAATTATGGCCCCTGATTGTACGAAAAATCGCGTTTTTAGCTTGTGGACCCTATAGAAGTCATAATTTTTATCCGATTTAAAAAAACGTATTAATATATCATCGTTACACCCTAAGGACGGCTGAGTTCGAATTTCGTGAAAATCGGCCCAAAACTGACAGACAAAATGGGTGCCCTTTGTTCTCAAATAGCGAAAAAATATGGTATATCAAGGTTGTGGACCCTATAGAGGTCACAATTTTTATCTGATTTTGTTGAAACTTGAAATGTAAGTTTATAACCCAAAGATCTCGGTTCCTTTCGATATTTGTGCATATCGAATTGTAATTTCCTGAATTATGGCCCTTGATTTTAGGAAAAATCACTTTCTTTTTAGCTTGTTCTCTATCCATCTCTCAAAAATGTGGGGCGTATCCTGCCATGCCTGTTTTTTTTTTTGTTGTAATTTTGCAATAGTTTGTTATAAATTTGAAAAAGAAAAAAAATTGCCAGTGCTTATCGAAATCAATTAACACTTGGTAGGTTAAATTAACATCTGTAAATATTGTAACCACAAGCTGAATTCAATTTATTAATCGTCGTTGGAGGGATTTCAAATCTTCTGCACATTAGAATATTGTAAAAATTGAATATGGCTCATTTCCGTTCAATATTCAGGGGCAGACGATATATAGCATACACTCATGTTGATTCTTGAATTTAATTGTATATAGTCCTCTGAAATGGGGATAGAAATGAAATGAAATGACTTTAACGTTCTACTGTTCTGCTCCTAGCTAAACTAGGCTAAAGAAAACGGGCATATGCCATACAGTGTGCTATGAGGGAAATTTTGAGCGGGCAGCGGCGCTACAGCCTACTCTTAATATCGAATAAAGACAGGCATATTATGCATTGCTGTGTGGCGCTATGTCTTACAACTAGCCCGGGTTTTAAGGCCCTCTGTTCTGTACCTCTGACAAGAAGAAACCAGAAATGATTTTGTATATTTATATTGTGCTAGATCCTTCCTAAATAGCAAAGATTATACTTATCCTGATTAATCCCACAGAAATGTTTTTTTTGCAAAATGGATCATATCATAATTTTAATAAAAATGCATAAAACAGGGTACACTTACTTCTCTAGATAATCGGATAACAATTCTAGTTAAAGTCTCTCATCCTTTTTTTGAGAGAAAATAAAAATTTAAAAACAAAATGTTTTTGATTGCTCTTCTTGAAGCCAAGGAAGATACATACTCCTTGCAGTGTTTCGTTTGTTTAGAGCTAATCCCACTACTCACTGCTGTATAGAAGACAACTCACAGCAACGGTACTCGACAACCAAGAATTAGCTTTGATTGATTTTAAGTCCGAAAAATGTAAATGACGCAGGTGGACTTAAATGACGCACATGGACTTAAATGACGCACATGGACTTAAATTTTAATGATGCACATGGACATAAATGATGTACACAGACTTAAATGATGCACACAGACTTAAATGAAGATATAACAGTTTATTATTTCAACATGTTTAAGCCTAAATTTTACCCAAATAGATTATGATTTTTTCTTCTATATACATGTGTATATTGGTCTATCCATTAATTCAGTGCCTTATAGAAATGAAATAGGGTTTAATATCCTACTCTGACTGGGCTAACAAAGACCGGCATACACCATACAGTGTGCTATCAGGGAAATTTTGCCTGAACAACGGCACAACAATCTACTCTTATATCGAATTCCAACTGTCAAGGGATGTTTTACGTGCACGCCAATGTGTACATGGGGCCTCTTTTTTCGTCCCATCTGAATGACTTTATATTGTCCGTTGCCATGACCTCCACGCTGCTCCACTGACAAGGAGGAACCACACTGGAAACTCCAAAAGTAATTGACGGAAACTGCTGAAATTCAATAGTCTTCTTCGTTTCACTAATTAAAATGATGCATATAAATTTCATACAGATCCGATGATAACTTTCATCATTCAAGCGTTCATAAGGTTCAACAAAGTGAAATAAGGGCCATAACTCTAGACGTAATTAACGGAAATTGCTGAAATTCAATAGGATTCTTCATTTCAATAAATTAAAAGGATGCATATAAATTTCATACAGATATGATGATAACTTTGGTCATTAAAGCATTCATAAGGTTGAACAAAGGCCGTAACTGGGGACGAACGGACTGGAGTAACAGCAATATACGCAGGGCCGTAACTAGCTCAGAGCAACGACAATGTTCGACAATTTTTTTCACGGGGAGGCGACACTTTTTGCAGGGGGGGGGGGGGCTTTGCCCCCTTTAGTTACGGGTCGAATATACACCCACACATTTCCAAGTGGGTGTATAAAAATGAAAAAAAAAAAGTCTTAAAACTTTGCAAGCTTATTTTTAATTCTGTATATCTATGTACAATTCTGTACAGATTATTATTATTACACATTTCACTTAAAATAATCTAACATTTCCATTCATAAAATAGTAAAAAAAAACATGGCTATGGTTACAGAAAATGGTTTCTCCAAACATGTACATACACAAAGCAGGCTACCATAAATAAAACAATACATTCGTTTTTCGATTTAGCGTCTTTTACATTAATATTATAGTTATATCATGTTACGCTTCCAAAATGTCATAACTGTGATCGTGGAAGCGTAACGATGATATTCCACAGACATAGAAAAATTAAAATCGTAATGTAAAAAAATTGGGTCCAATATTGAGATTGATGGTGATTCAAAATGTTATTGCATTAATTTGACAAAGGACGTTTGAGTGTGTCAATATGATAAAACAGACGGTGTATGTGATGTGTGTATAAAAATGGTCTGTTATACTGCTTCAAATGTGAAGTTTCAGTAAAACAATGTGTACTATCCAATGGCGACGTCAAAAGTTCAAATTCTTGTTTGTTTTTAAAATTTTGATATTTATAATGTTACAACCTCATGGATTTACTACTATCTCTTGGTTTATTGCATGTAACGTTTCAATAATCTTACAGGTATTTTTATTGAGTAATGATGAAACAGGGGATACGACCCTACATGTACAGTATATTACATTCATGGGTATAGTTGGATTCATTTTTGATACAGGCTTGATAAAGATACCTGTTTTTTTTTTTTTAAGACATATTCTCTATAAATGAATGTGAGATAGAGGAACAGGTAAAATGCCTATTTTAGATCCCTATTCCTGTAAGAGTATTGAAATGTTGTTACCTGTAAGAAGATACCTGTATGATTATTGTAATTAACCAAGACTTAGTAAATCCATAAAGTTGTGTAATATTATAAATATTATCCTTAATTCATGTCATTCGGGGATAATATTTTGATCTTTTCCAGATCACAAGATTTTATTTTTATGACATTTAATCGAGTGAGATTGTGAGTGATATAGTAATATAATGTGATACTAACAGAGTGTTTTATTTGAAATGCATACTTTAGTAAAAAAAAAATTAGAAATTCAAATTGTAGATCTTAAAGAATATGAAGTAATACTGCAAAATAAGTAATTAATGTTTTAAGAAATTAAGCCAACATGAAAATAATGCCATGGGGGTTTACCATCTTTTCAACACAATGGTTTTGTTTGTAATGTGAGAGGTAGAATTTAACCTGGGCAGTGCTGTTTACACCTACTCTTCACCAGATTTCAAGTGCCCAAGTTCTAGTCATTAATCACGGAACCAGTTATTTTCAACCCAAATATGAATATAATGTTAACGCCACTAATTTCTTGTTCAACATTATTGTGTTGATTTCGGTCCTTTAAACTATAATAATGACATAATATACATGTTTCAATGATTAAAAAAATTATGGAGCAGAATGCATGACATAAATCTCACTCTTAACATAATGAATTAGAATTATGTCATGAATTCTGCTCCATCCTGTAATCAGCATCTACAAATTAAATATGGAACAATTGTGTCTAGGTGTAGCTCTCTAAACCTCTCGTAACTCTATGGCACAAAATAAAATAAATATTCGGGAATTTTACAAAAAGTTCCAGAAATTGTTTTACATTTTATGTGGTTAGTAATGAATATACAAACATAAGAAATGAAAAATAAAATAAATCAGAATTATGACCAGCATTTTAATCTCGTTTAAAATTGTAATTTTTTCTACAATCTTTTCAAAAAATACAAAATAAAAATCTACATGTTTTCTACAAAATGGATAGCTTGTGTCAAAACTACTTCTTCTAAGTTCAATAAATATAATCTATAACATAATAGGTTTATTTTTCTGGATTCTTTTTTTAACTTAAGAAATAAACTAAGCAACACTTTGGCAAGTTTGGTTAATACAATGTAACATGAACAGGGGACAGCAGGGGCAGATCCAGGGTTTTGGGGGGGGGGGGGCGTCCAAAAATGACAGATCTACTTATTGAAATGTTGTAGTGACAATTTGCAAGTGTCAAAGTCACAAATTACGTTTTTTTTCTATTTTGGGCTTCGGATCCCCCGGGGATCTGCGCCTGCTTCATTGAAATTGTATGTTTTGGTTTTTTTTGTTCTTTTTATATGCAAAATGAAAAACCACAGAAACAAGTTTGAAAAATAAATATGCTTATCTTTTTTTTTGTATGTATTAATGTTGGAGATGACATTAATCGCAGTTTACTACATCACAGTTGTGACAATGGAATCACTGGAACTTATTTTTTTATAGGCATGTCATTTGGATACACTTTAAAAAGTTTGGTGCGTCATTCAGCGCTATAACCCCTTACATTTGCTACATAAGAGTTTCGGGATGAAACAGTTCAGAAACATTAACACTTTTTAAAAAAAAAACCCAACCTATGCTTATATCATTTGGATGAAATAAAATTAGTAGCCTCACAAGGTGCTGAAAGCTAGATAACCACTAATATTTTCTACAAGACCTGTAAGGACTAAGAAGTTCAGAGATATTCATTTTTTTTTAAAAATGTATGCTTATACGTCTAGTAATGGCAGGTGTTATGCAGGAGGCAGTCTATGCCTACTTTGATAGGGAAATAGGCCTACAAAAATCTAAAACTTTGATTTGGGAAAAATTCAGAGGTAAACACTTAATCAACCAAATTAAAAAGGTAAAACTTAAGCCATCCAATATTTGCATGGCGATAAAAAAAATATGCTTATATCATTTACTACAAAGTTATTGGGACAAAACATTTTTTTTTAAAAAAAAAGAGGCAGTCTATACCCACCATCAGGCCTGGAAATAACGGTTTTAGATGTACCGGACATGTATTATGTATTAATAATATCATTAAAAAAGACAAATCAGTGCCGGACAAAATGACAGGCACCAGAGTTTTTGTGCCTGACAAAGCCAGAATCTGTGCCTGACATTGTCAGTGACGGGTGCCTTATTTCCAGGCTTGTCTACCTTGATAACTGTTCTAATTCGGGATGTACAAAAAAAATAAAAATTTTCATTTAGGAAAATGAGGAGGTAAAAGCTTCATCAACCAAACTTAAAAAAGTGTAACTTGTAATATTTTTAAAATGTTAAAAGAATTTCTACGATTTAGGGCCAATTCCCTACAAAATAATTAGTAATTTTCGTATTTGGGAAATTCTAGGGTAAAAACTTTATCAACCAAACTTGATAAAGTGAAACTTATATTTGCACAATGTTAAATATAATTTCTACGATTAAGGGCCAGTACCCTTGTTTAACTATATTATATATTACCTTTTCATATCACGCACTGTCACACGATCTCTCTATAAGCGTCAACACACAGCAGAAATTGTCTTATTACCCACTTTTATAAATAAAAACACAAACTATCAATCTGATTAAAATACAGATCTATATTTTTTTTTTTTTTTTTTTATACTTTCGATGGCCTACACTTCAATAAGATCTGACCGGTTGTTTTGGGCGGTCGCATCAAGGGGTCATAACAGCGGCTTTTGATCATATGACATCAGACATTTGATTAATAAATCAACATTGACGTTTCTAGTGGTTTACCTACAGTTTCTTGCACCTTACACTAAAAAATTGCCGTAACAGACTGTTTCATTGGCTAATCCCGCACATCAACTAGAACACAGGTTATACAACAACTCTCCCAGATCCTAGTGGAGTGAAATTTTGAACAATAAAAAACGAAACAAAATAGGATCTGTGTTTTAATAAGATTGACAAAATATTTATCAACTTTAAAGAAAACCGTTACATTGTCTATAATCTCTCTGATTTACGTATATTTATTCTCAACAATGTACGATTCGACATATTTTCTTAAAACTGAAATGGTTTTAACATCCTATTTTTATGGCTTACTGTCGAACAATATGACCAGTCTAGCGTCGACCAATCAGGAAGGATCATGGCAAAACTTAAATGGAGAGAATGAGATTGAATTTTTAGGGAAGCATCGAACAGTTAGATAGGATAAGGACAGAGATTAAAGACAATGGCTCTTGTCAACTCCTACAATCAATTTAGAAATTGAAAGTAGAAGTTGATGTTTTCTATAAAATTGAACAAATACTGTGTTTTTCTATTTCCATTACATCTAAACACATCAAGTCATATTATTGAGAAAACAGTTTGATGTTTACAGACATGTAGAACTTGAACTCCATTTAAAAACAACTCTCTTAGTTTCAGAGAGAGAGAATGGGGTTTAATGTCCACTCCACACAAACTAGGTTATTGTACATACTAGTAGTTGTCTATAGCGGTGGGAGGATTGGATCTTTTAGTTTTGAAAACCATGACAACCAAACAAGGCACAATCTGATTCAAATACAGTTTTTTATATTTTCCTTGTCCTCTGGATTGCGTGTGAGGTCATGTCAGGGATCAGCTATATATATTTATAACTTTTGTTTTGTTGTCTGCATCTCTGGATTGTGTGCGAGGTCATGTTAGGGATCAGCTATATATATATTTATAACTTTGGTTGTCTACATGTCTAAAAGGCCTCCCATAATTCAACTCGCGTAAATTGTGACTGAATAAAGTATTTTATTACCCTACAAACAGAATGTGGTTATCTTAAACCTCTTCCAGATATGAGAGAGAGAAATGGGGTTTAACATCAACTCGACACAAACTAGGTCACTTCAGGACTCGGAGAAAACCCTCATGTTAGACAAAGGACCCTACTCCTTGTCATGTATAAGCAGGGAATCGAACCCACGGCACTTGACTCAATGACAGACCTTATGATGCAACGCACACACATTTACCTTTTGGCCACCCCCACCCCTCTTCCAGATGCCACCGTAGTGAAGACAAATAAAATGAAATTTAAACTATGTGTTTTAATGAGATTGTTCCAGATGAGGAGGCCATGTTAAAGTAGGGTCATTCCAGGTCAATTACCCAATGATATATAATTTAATACCTTAGTTTTCGCGAAGCAGTAATAAAATCCAATTGCTTTTTTCAAATAAAATAGAGTTTAACATCCTAATTTCCTGGACCGGCTTGGTTATTGAAGACGGGCATATACCATACTGTGAATAAAATTTTAACCGAACAGCAACTTTTCCTACAACTTTTCCTCCAATTCCAACTGTCAAGTGTTCTTTGACATGCACCCCTTGGTTAGTGGGCCAGTGCATTTCCTGCGATCCATTGTGATCCCAACCCTGGATGTCAAACATTGAATTAAAGTCTTGATCTACTAGGATGTGGTGATTACTACCACAATCTACCCGACTACTTGCCTGGTGTCCTTTTTTTACTGCCCTTTTGGGCAACTGGGGGGGGGGGGATTTGGATGGCCGAATGGTTAGCGCGCATGCTGTATCATAAGGTCTGTCATTGAGTCAACTGGCATGGTTTCGATTCCCGGTTGTACATGACAAGGTGTGGGGTGGTTGTCCAACCTCGTGGGTTTTCTCCGGGTCCTCCGGTTTCCTGTGACTGCTAAAGACCCCCACGCGCAAGCGAATTATTGAAATAAGATTGAACCATATGTTAGTCCTGAAATGACCTAGTTTGTCCAATTCAGTGAAGTGGTGGATGCCATGTATGAGTCAGGATATGCTGTCTCTAGAACACCTAGTGTCACTTTTCATTTGGGGAGTCCACATAGCTGACAATATTCTTAGTAGTCTCAACCATCAAGTCTGTTTTCTCCATAATATTGCTTGAAAACTCACTTAAAACTGATTTGAAAGAATAGAAAACAACTGAAAAAATCTACGGTTTTGATCATTTAAGATTTTGACACATGTAGCTATCCATACACTCAATCTGAAGGGGTATTTTTGACATATGTAGCTATCCATACACTCAATCTGAAGGGTTTATTGACACATGGCTATCTATACACTCAATTTCAAGGGATTATTGACACATCTGACTATCCATACACTCAATCTGAAGGGTTTATTGACATATACAGCTATCCATACACTCAATTTCAAGGGATTACTGACACTATCCATGGCTATCCATACACACATTTTGAAGCGATTATTCGACTTGCGTAGACAGTAATATATGCAGCAGTGAGAAATTTTATACCTTAAATAACTGAAGAGATTTATCAAAGTTTCTTTTATTATTCATTTATATATTCAATCATAATAAAACGTTATAAAAAAAAAAAAACACATGAAAATAATTATCTATCTATTAACAAAATGGAGGTTCTACTTACAACTAAAAATAACAACCAAAACACACTATACAGTTTGTACAATTATAAAAATATGAGTTTCGTGGAGAAGATGACTTGATAATAATTCACTGAAACACATCTTAATTCTCTTTTTGTCAACTTTTGGTAGGTGCCAATATTTCTCATTTCTGGCATATTTAAACAAAGGCGGATATTTGATTGATCGGCATTAAATTTTTTATTGAATTGAAATGAAATGGGGTTTAACGTCCTACTTTTCATACAGATCTATATTTCGTTTCGTTTTTTATACTTTCGATGGCCTACACTACACGAAGATCTGACCGGTTGTACTGGAAGGTCGTGTCAGGGGTCGTACGAGCAGCTTTTGATCCTATGACTTCAGATATTGATTAATCAATCAGCATTGACGTTTCTAGTGGTTTACCCACAGTTCCGTTCATCGAATGCAAAGAACATGCCGTAACAGACCATTTCATTGGCTAATCCCTCACTTTAACAAGAATGCTGGTAATATAACAACTCTTCCAGATCCTAATGTAGTAAAGACAAGTAAAACGAAATCTTGAACTATAAAAACGAAATAAAATAGGATCTGTGTTTTAAGTCAGATTGTACCCTAATTGTTTACAGCCTTTCATCAACTTTAATGTCATTTTAGCGGTATCAGTGGGATCCAATCAAATTATCCTAAATCCTTTGATTAATTATTCATGGAAATGACTATTACTGCCATCTACCCAAATCTGACATGTCGGTAGATAATGTGTTTCAGCATGTGTATATGTAATAATTATGATGCAAAAAAAAAAACAACGAAGGATGCAGATGAAATCAAACTTTGAATATCTACAAGAAATAATATCCTGATTGTATACATTGTATTAAATAAACGAAGATCGACGCAAACATACAAAACAAATAATTCAGCTAAAAGAATGAAATTGTGATCACAAAAGTGATATGTAAGTTAAAACATGTCGGTTTTGAAACGAAAGAGAGAAAACATGCAGAAATAAGCGAAATAAAAAAATAAAAGCAAACACAAAATGTTAGAGGAGAAATTTAAGAGGAAACAAATAGATTAAATAAAGCATGCAGAGAAAAACCAACAAAACTTTTTAAGAATGAGACTCAAATCAACGAGAAAATTTAAAAATTAGAAATAAATGTTAAACGAAATCACATAATGGACGAAAAAGTGAAAATTAATATCATTTAAATGTGAGAGACTCTCTTTCAAGTGCAGTTTTAAACTTTTTTTTAAAAAATCGTACATACATTTATATCAACATTTACACATAAATATCAAGACTTGACTCACTAAATCTTGTAAAAAATTCCTAAAATAAGTCTTCTTTAAAACTTGAGTTATAACTCATGTCAATAAAATTCGTTCCACATTTGATTTGGCATCCAATCTTTGTCTGCATGATGAAAGTTTGTCGATTTTTCAGGATAATTTGGCAAGGTTTTTTTTGGTTGTTAAAAAATACAAATAATGTAACAGTAAGTGGACGTGTGTTGGACTAGGTAGCAGGTAGGTACATACGTGCATTTACGGTTGGTTGTGGGCGGGCACGTTGTTTCGTTTATTAATTACAGTTTGAAGTTAGGCGTAGAACGGGAGATTAGAACAGCTACAGTAAAGATGGGCGTGGTTAGCGTGGTTTTTGATGAATGATGATGTAAGGAGAGAAGAACGATGATCACATCTGGCACAAGATGTATAATTTTTGGTCCAATCAGATCCTGTAGAATCATTCTAGTATATCGTCAGCCTCTAGGAGCGCTACAAGAGATAATATTGTAGCATGCATTAATTCTAAGTTTCACGACAGAACGTTAGCACATGTTGAACGTAAATCACCGAAGTCAAATTGGCTCCAAAACAAAATACATGGTTTATTTTCTAAATTTTAAGAACAGAATATTCTATAATTAATATATTTTCCATTGAAACAAAATCTTGTTTTCTTCGGAAGAATAGAAATGTACTCATTTGAATTAATTTGCGTTCTGTGACAATATTTTTTCGTAACTGCTGACTTCGTTGAGATATGTTTTCTTCCACGCTCTATAAAAACCTTGGTAATTAGTGAATCCATATTTCTAACAGCGATAATAAAGAATTTGATTCAAACAACTATGCCAAGGTCAGTGGAGATTGCTTAGTATATTTTTTTCTTTTTGATAATTTTTCTTCCAACCAAGTTCACGGGAAGTTGATCAGCCTAAACATATTAGATTGATCAACATATCTATTGTTGCCTTGATAATAGCTTATCTTTACAGTAATGAAATGGGGTTTAACGTCCTGTTGTTCTGCTCCAACTGGGCTAATGAAGACGGGCCTACGCCATACAGTGTGCTATGAGGGAATTTTTGCCAGGACAGTGGCACTACTGCATACTCTTATATCGAATTCCAACTGCTAAGGGATCTTTTACATGCTCGGCAATATATACCTGGGACCTGAGTTTCTCATCCGATCCTAACAACTAGACAGTTGTCCTTCTCAGGCAATCTCTCCGGCACCACTGACAAGGGGAAACCACGTAGGAAATGAAACCATTACCATCGTACTATGGACCAGGAAATGATTATGACGTCATCGTAGCCATTTTGGAATTGTGCCGTCAATCGCTGCATAACTGTCCAAAGAACACGTCGATTGCACATGAATTGGCAAAGCGTTAGACTTTTTACGAAGAACATCACCCGGAAAAACAACAATAACAAGATGCGTACGGTAGTGGATACTTATAAAGGAAGGGAGCTCAACACATTGGATTACACTATTATCATAAAATCACTGATTACCATGGTTTCTACAGAGGGTGGTTAATGGTTAAATATTAGTAATGAGGTCTACAATAAACTTTAATGGGTTAAAAATAGTCAATATTTTAATCCTAATCTTGATAAAATCTTTTCATTTGTATCCTCAAATCAAGAGATATTTTTTTTCTGGTTGATAATTTTCATATATTATTCGTCAGCCAATATTAAAGTGAGATATCTCCTTTAATCAATTATTCAAAATGACGATATAATACTTTAAATATTCAAATCAAACTGACACAAGGTAATTTGAATCATCTTTTGCTCAAAGGAGATCGTAAGTTGAAATAATGGTTGAAGCAAATGATATTAAATCTTTATCAAGATGAAGTGATGATTATAAAAAATATGTCAGTCAAATTCAAAGGCATGAAACAATCAAACTGTGTTTGTTTTCAGCCTGGTTGAACAAGACATCACATATTTTAAAAAAAAAAAGACTGGATAACCATGGGCGGGGGGATACTTTAGCTACTAAATGTATATGTTGTTAGTATTAAGTAAAGAAAAGCCAAGAAACGGAGAAAATATAGGCCTAAACAATCCAAAAAAACCGAAAAGGCGTCTTTTATTTTTAGTCCCTGAAATCGAGATAACCAAATATAATAAACATTTTTTGATTTTATGTTGTCTTGGTAACCTCTCTAGACATTTTAATCTAGTTTTTAATTAACCAGAAAACAGTCAAGTTATTTCTATCGACTGTGTGTCTTTCGAAACGATTGTCCTAACAATTTGTGATGAATAAATACGTTGATCTGACTGATAAAAATGATGAACAAAAAACAAAATATTATTAAAACGGCGTCCGATAATAAAATGAATTTTTCCTCTAAGAAAAAAGTCCCTTGTCACAACATAATCTAAATATATTTACATGTTTACATTACTAATAGATGATTATATTGCGTTGTCAATAACGACCATAATAATAATAATAATAATAATAACTAAACACATTTATGACTTTTGAAAAACACCTGCAGACAGGCCCAGTTATCTCACATGCATAGAGACAAACAAAGCCTTAATATAGAAAAAAAGTTTTGACTCCTTTTTCTCAATTTTTTTAAATTTTTTTTTTTTTAGCAAACTTAAATATTTAAAGTGATTTTAAATATTTGTTTTCACATAACATCAACGAAGAACTCACATGGATTTCCCATGGCCATTTTGAAAGACTGGCGACTTGCGGAGAGTTCTGGTGGGAGATTACTGAGGGTTCCTGGGGGAGGAGGTAAACTTTGTTCACTCGGCGCTCCCCTCCGTGCACTTGCTAGACTGGCCGTTTCTGTATCACTTCCACCGCTTCCCATTGGACTCGCTGATTTTCGATCGCCTCCCTTTTTCTCTTTTTTACTACCACCAGAGGCACTGCTACCTATAATTACAACGATAAAAAAATTTTTACTTAAAAAGTCTTATATATATATACTTTAACATTTTTTTTTAAAAATAAAAAATGTTGATTTTCATTGTAGTAAATACATCAACACGATGTCAACATTTTTGGAAAAACATCTGGCTTTTATAGAAAATAATATGTCAACACTGTGTAAATATTTTTTCATTCAACAAAATCAACATTAAAATAACGTAAAACTGAGTCTGGATGTCCCGGAATTAGTTTGATTACAACAATGATTCATGCAAAACCTACGCATAAATTACGACAATAAATGAATAAACGATGTACACAGAAAATGACAATGAAAGAGTACAATACATAATATGATCAAAAGATCGGAAATGCAAGCAAGCTTTTGGTTTGGGTTCATGACTGTTTGGGGATTTATATTATGAAAGCATTTTGCTGGTTATTATAACAAGCTGCGAATTATTTTGGATGATATCAGGATCTTAAAGCATGCGTAGCCATACATGTACATCATTTTTGAGCGAGGATGGAAATGAAATGAAATGGGGTTCAATGTATTACTTTTCTGCACCGAATAAGTTAATGATGACAGACATGCAGTGTGTAGCGAGGGAGATTTTGTTTGGACAGCAGTGCTTTTTTCCTACTCCTCATCGAATTCCAACCGTTGTGTGTTCTTTTATGTGCATGCCAACGAGTATACAGGTAGATATTAGTTTTGCGTCCAATCCAAAATGCACTTATACTTTTGAATTCAACAAATTGCAAAAATGAATGAAATTTTCACATTGTCATGTGCGAAGACCAAGTCTGGAAATAAGGTATCTGTCAGACATTGTCAGAAACAAGTTTCGGCTTTGTCAGAGAGAGAGAGAGAGAGGGTGAAAGGGAGAGTTTAATGTCCACTCGACACAAACAAGGTCATTTCGTACTAGCATGGTGCAATTTTATTTCAATAAATCGCGTGCGCGTAGGGGTCTTTAGCAGAGAAAACCGGAGGACCCAGAGAAAACCCACAAGGTTGGACAGACGACCCTACTCCTGGTCACATCCAACCGGGGAATCGAAACCATGTCAGTTGACTGAGTGATAGACCTTATGATGCCCACGCTCCAACTTTGTCAGACACAATTTGTCTGGTGTCTGTCATTTTTTTTCTTTTTTTCCGAGTTTTTACCAATACTTTAGATCATTGAACCCAACTGGTTGGTTTTCTGGCCAAGCATGACGCAGTAGGAATTCCACTCTGAACACATGCAGAACGTCCCCTTTGTTGGCATTTTGGGTGATTAGCAATTTTATATTTTGTCACTGAAAATTATCAAATTTTTTTCCCTGGGCCAGGGGGAAGGGTCATTTACGGTATATAATATGCCAGGGTTCAAAGGGTTAATACCTGTCCAGCAAAACATTAAAAATATCAATTAGTAGGTGATCAGTGTCTGAGATTTTGTCAGGTAAAACTGAAATCATTATTTCCAGACCTGGGGAAGATATAAACATGTACACACTTGACCACTGTACAGTTTATTCTATTTCTATTCTTATGTGTGAAATGTCAGGAAGAGATCTTTCTATTGATAGTTGCCTTTCCGTTACTCTTCTATTTCCAAATGTCAGAGAACAATGGGTATTAACACCCACTCAAAACAAATTAGGTTATTTCGAGACCAACATTGTACAATTTCATTTCAATAATTCGCTTGCGTGTAGGGGTCTATAGTACTTTAGAGGAAACTAGAGAAAACCCATAAAGATAGGCTGGTGAACCTACTCCTTGTCACGTACAAATGTGAAAAGAGAGAGAGAGAAATGGGGTTTAACATCCACTCGATGCAAACTACTTCATTTCGGGACCAATATATGGTTCAATTTTATTTCAATAATTGACTTGCGCGTAGGGGTCTTTAGTAGTGGGAGTACACCGGAGCACCCTGAGAAAACCCACAAGGTTGGACAGGCAACCCTACTCCTTGTCACATACAACCGGGGAATGGAAACCACAGCAGTTGACTCAATGACAGACTTTATGATACAGCTCGCACATGCTAACCATACGAGCACACCCCCCATACAAGGGTGGGAATAAAACCATGCCAATTGAATCAATGGCTCATTTTAAGATCCAAAGCGTATGCGTTTGACCACTTTTTAAGGTGCACGACCAATTTAAAAAAGGGGGTATAATTGATTTTATCATACAAACTTGGATAATATAAATACTGATACATAAATCTTTGGATAAAACAAATTAACCATTACCCAAAATACAAAGCCACTGGCAACCATGCTAAACTACACATGTGGAAAAATAGACCCAATCCTTAAAGCTTTGACTTGGAATGAATACAACCACTTTGCAAAAAGTTAAAAAATATCTGCACAATTTTAGATATAAGCCCCTAGAAATGAGGGTCACTAACAATAAAACCTGACATTAAATGGCCGAACCATTTAATCTACTAAATATCGTAGTCATCCGATGGTATCAAGAGTTAATGTCTAATTAACATTTCAGGCCTAAAGAAAGACCTGCAGATTTAGTTCTTACATAATGCATGTTGAAATAATTAATTTAAGTAGTAGATTTGGACAATGCCGTGAAATATGTCAAGATGATCAACTGCTTTAAACAACATCCTCAATATTTGATGACACTCAGTAACTTACTACTTACTGAGTATATCTACATGTATTTATAATAAAGTGTCCAACAATCAACTTGCTAATCAGTCTGCTTCTTGTTACATCATATGAGAGAGAGAGAGAGAGAGAGGAGAGAGAGAGAGAAATGGGGTTTAACTCCACTCGACACAAACTAGGTCATTTCGGGACTAACACATGGTTGAATTTTATTTCCATAATTCGCTTGCGCGAGGAAACAGTGGGAGGGAACCCACAAAGTTGGACAGGCAACCCTACTCCTTGTCACGTACATCCGGGGATTCGAAACCACGGCAGCTGACTCAATGACAGGCCTTATGATACAGCGCGCACGTGCTAACCATTCGGCCATCCAACCCCTCCCCCCCCCCCGGGGAGAGATAGACAAACATTTCGGGATGAACACATGGTTTAATTATGTTTCAATAATTCGCTTGCCCGTAGAGGTCTTTAACAGTGGGAGGAATACGGAGGACCCGAAAAAAAACCCCATGAGTTTGGACAGGTGAACCTACTCCTCGTCACGTACAACTGGCCTGCATCATTTAAAGCAATATTAATCTTTGCAAACTACAAAATTGTGAAAGATGAATCTCTAATAGAAATAACTGTCCGTTAATTCCAGTCAGTATTTACAGAGTCCTCACACCAATTTGTTGTGGGTGAGCAGAAATGAGAGGTCTTGTTTAAATCCAACTGTATCCAAGTCGGGAGTTTATCTAGCTTTGGTATTTTCTATATGTTAACTTAAAAATACATTATGGGAGATAAGATAAAGAGCTGGCACTTCTCACTATAATAGTTAAACACTAGAAAACCCATGAGTTTAGACTGGTGATCCTACCTCTTGTCACATTCAAGCAGGAAATAGACACCATACCGCGTGTTAAACTATTCAGCAACACCTCCCCTACCCTCGTTCACCCCAATAAGTCAAGACTTAGATTTGTGAAAATGATGATGATGATGTAGAATGATAATAAGCTATCTACTAGCCAAGACAAAAACATAACAAAGAAACATCAACTACAATTAACATAGCTTCACACTTCAGATTTAACAAAAATCCTGGTGGATTCTTACGGAAACATTGATCTGTGACACGATCAAACATTGTCAACGGCAAGATTTAAATATACAGATTTCATGGCCAAACCCATAACAAAGTTCATAGGAAGAACATCACAAGGGCAATGAGCGTAACTTTGAGTAACAATATTGTGACAACAGACAATATGACCATATTGTACATGTTCCCATATTCTGCAGGGTAATCTTACCATCAACTAATATAAACAATTTTATACATATGTTGATATGTGTTCAAAATAGCAGCACTTTTACACTTATAAATCATTCTGTTTCATAACAGAAGAACCACAATCCTTTGTTGATGCTCTAATAAAATAAAATATTATTTTTAACAGATCTGGAGCCACCCTAGAACTTTTAAAGACGATGGTTCATTTGTTTATATATTCTACAAGAGAGAGCGAAATGGGGTTTAACATCCCCTCGACACAAGCTACATGTAGGTCATGTTGGAACTAATATATGGTTCAATCTTATTTCAATAACTTACATTGAGAGGAACCAGAGGACCCATGAGGTTGGACAGGTTACCCTACTCCTTGTCATGTACAAGCGGGGAATCGAAACCACGCCACTTGACTCAGTGACAGATCTTATGATCTAAAGCATATGCGTTAGACCACCCTAATCTATAAATAGATGGACCATCTCCTTTAACGAAAAACATTTTTTCGTGGTTTCAAAGATTATTAAGAACTCTGGTTATTCGTCAAAGGTTTTCCGTAAATAGACTAACCTGAAGATTTGATCGGAATTGTTGTAGTATTATTAACAACTAACCTGAAGATTTGATTGGAATTGTTGTAGTTTTATTAACAACAGGACCTTGTTTATTACAGTTGTTTAATTCCACGATTCTATCATGACACAAAGTCTTACTCAGTATGCTGTCAGCTGTCGTAGACCATTTCATGGGAAGACACAGACAGGCATTTTGAACTGCCAAATGGTACAAAAATTTATTTGATCAAATTAGATTGATTGTGGTTGAACAAATACATTTGATACCTTGTTGCCTTTAAAATTATATAGGATTCTATGGCATACAGATTGACGGACAGGACAATTCTACAGTCTGTCAATTTCAATGATACAGCAGTGAAGACTGGAAAATATGACCAAAATCAGAGCCCTAATGAATAGAGATAGAGAGAAATGGGGTTTAACGTCCACTCTACACAAACTAGGTCATTTCGGGACTAACATATGGCTCAATTTTGTTTAAATATTTCGCATGCCCGTAGGAGTGGGTGGAAACCAAAAGGACCTGGAAAAAACCCACAAGGTTGGACAGGTGACCCTGCTCCTTGTTACGTACAAGCAGGGAATCAAAAGCACAAGACCTTATACGCTAGACCACTGTCTACCCCCTCCTTCTAATGAATAGTCTCAAGTCTCCCAGATACATTCAATTAAAAGGAGCATCGTGAATTGCAGGCAGAATGTTTTTCAGTTGTGTTTAGACTAGGCATTCAAGGTATCAAATGTATTATCAGTAATGCCCTTTGGCCTCTTCAATGCCCAGTGGTCATTACATTGAATGCTGATTATACTATTCGAATATTCTAAGCCATTATTGGAGTGCTATTCAATACAATTAAAATGATAGTTTATGGACTGCTTTTGGAAAATTATCAGTTTTCTAGACAAGCATATCTTTCAAATCAATGTGTATCTTCCATTAGTCGTTAGTATATCTTAAAATACAAGAAAATATTCCACTGGGAACAAGAAAAACAAAACAAATCAAATTCTATTCTTTTCAATTGGCATCAAATAACAAATGCTAAATAAATCTGTTTGTATAGCCCTGAACAACTATTCAAATTCACAGATTTGAATATTAGTGTGAGTATTAATGGTTCCTTCATCAATCTATGTGATGTTAGCTGAATTCCACTAATGAATGCACCAATCTACAACCTGAATACGGTGTATACGCCACTGTACAACCATCAAAACAGTAAAGCATGTACACAGATAATAAATATAGCAATACAAAAGCAGCAGAAAAATGGGTTGCATATATTAGAAGCTGTGTTCCTTGATCAATAAACATCCGGAGGACCCATAGAAAACCAAGAGGTTGGACAGGCTACCTTACTCCTTGTCACAGACAACCGGGGAATCGAAACCACGCCAGTAGACTTAATGACAGACCTTATGATACAACGCGCACGCGCTAACCATTCGGCCATCCAACCCCCCACTATAGCTCAGAGACTTTAACAAATTTAAACTCTTCTAATAACTTATGGGTGAATGAAGAATATCACAATTTAATCAACTGTATACCTTGTAATAACTGACAGGAGAAATAAACACTGCCTTTATTTAATAAACTACATACTTTGTAATAAATATTACTTATGGGGGGAATGAGCACAGTCTCCATTTAATAATAAACTGTACACCTTGTAATAACTTATGGGTGAATGAACAAAGTCCCCATTCAATAAACTGTATACATTGTACGGGGAATAAACATTGTCCTCATTCAATAAACTGTATACATTGTACAGGGAATAAACATTGTCCCCATTTAATAAACTATATCCCTTGTAATAACGTATGGGGGAATAAACACTGTCCCCATTCAATGAACTGCATCATTTATAAATAAACACAGTCCCCATTTCATAAACCGCATACCATGTAGGGGGAATAAACACAGTCCCCATTCAATGCACTGGATCCCTTATAAATAAACAGTCTCCATTTAATAAACTGTATACCATGTCGGGGGAATAAACACTGTCCCCATTTAAATAAACTGCATTCCTTGTCACCTTATGTGGGACTGAACACGTCACAATTCAATAAATTTCTTAATTTGTAATGAGGAAATGAACACAGCTCCTAATTAAAACTACTACTAACAATAGTGCCAGATTATTGTGTAATATTTGGTGAATGAATTCATAGGAAAGTGATTACTATTACAAACAACGTAACTAAGAGCAACTGGATTTTCCACAATGGGAACCCCCAACCACACTCCAGTGACCCCGCGGAAACTTCATACTATATAGACACTTAAAATACCTCAAAGGGAGAGAGAAATGAAATGGGGTTTAACGTCCTACTGTTATAAAGGGAGAGAGAAATGAAATGGGGTTTATCGTCCTACTGTTACAAAGGGAGAGAGAAATGAAATGGGGTTTATCGTCCTACTGTTATAAAGGGAGAGAGAAATGAAATGGGGTTTAACGTCCTACTGTTATAAAGGGAGAGAGAAATGAAATGGGGTTGTTGATCGTCCTACTGTTATAAAGGGAGAGAGAAATAAGAGTTTAATGTCCACTCGATAAAAACTAGGTCCTTTCGGGGCTAACACGGTTCAATTGCCATTTCAATAATTCCCTTGTATGTAGGATTTTTAGAACCCAGAGAAAACCGACGAAGTTGGACAGTGAGTAGGTCCACACAGCAAACATTTTACAACTTATCCCCTCAGGGTGTTTTTAAAGGCATGATTCAGCGAGAGTCACTATCTTTAATATATAGCCACTGATGGGCAATTACACTGGTTGCCAAAAATCTATCTTATTAGATATCTTAAATTTTAATCAAAGCTCATTTACAAACTTCCAACAAGTCAATCATATTGAGAGTGATAGGGTTTAACGTCAACTCGACACAAACTAGGTTATACGGTTCAATCTTATTTCAATAATTCGCTTGTACATAGGGGTCTTTAGCAGTAGGAGGAAACCGAAGGATCTGTAGAAAAACCACGAGGTTGGACAGGCGAAGCTACTCCTTGTCACGTACAACCGGGGAATTGAAACCAAACCAGTTGACTCAATGACAGATCTTATGATACAACCCCCCTGCAATCATAATGAAATATTATATGAATTACTGTGCAGCATGCGACAGCAGCAGATAAGATGAAAGACATTCCTGTAATTCTATTGGCAAATGATATAATTCTATGAGGATGAAGATGAAATGTTATTCTGTCTTCAGTATGCTAGCTCTGTTGTTTTATTCAGGTGGATAGATTAAACCAAAACAGCAATCAAGATGCATCACATAATAACTTGTAATCAAAAGTCTCTGTAATTTATCGCAATGATTCTGAAAGTAGCTTGCGCGTTAAAACTTTTGATATCGCTGCAAACTTAATATGAACTAATCAAATGTCTCATTCAAGATCATTTAAAAATAGAACAGGCAGAAAAAAATGTCACATTTTATGTAAACTTTGGAACAAGTTTGAGTCCGTCTAGCTCAAACCTGTGGTTTCCAGCAAACTTTGTCAAGTTTCGGTCATGAACGGTCGTTTCCACTCACAAACGAAAAGAGAAAGCAAATGACGATTAGACCAAACATGGTGCTAGCACGACAACGTAAAAATGATTTTTCCAATCCAAGTTATGCTTTCATTGTTAATAATTGTTTAGGTCCTTGCTCCCAAATTAGTAAGTAGGTCATATATCCCGGAAAAAAAACAGGACCTGCGCTTTGTTCATCACATTGTCAAATTTTAAAAAAAAATAAATCTCAACTAAAATTGAAATTAATTATAACATTTCTACAATTTTTTATTTTTTTTTCAAAAGTAATTATTTTCTTCCAGTCTATCTACCAAGATAGAGACTTGTGTTTACTGTTCTGTGGGATCCAGCGCAGGCCCTTAACATTTACAATGTTTCAGTATCTATGCTTGTGTTGACTACTCCATCTACCTGTTGAGATCTGCGTGCTATTATAAACATGCTGCTGGTCCACATGCTGCCCATATTTAGAAATGTCCGGGTTAGACGACTTGTGGCCGTTTTGTTTATCCTTATTTTCCCAAAGCTTGCGTAACTGATTGTATGTACTTAACAAACAAACACAATCTTGTCCCGCTACTGTAAATATAATCAAAACACCAAAAAAAACACTACAAGAAAATATAAACAACAAACTATTCAATTCTCAAAAACACTGTGTTTTATATTTTATCTGCTAAAAATCAAAAATGGTCTTTTTAAAGACTTAATTTTTCCCCATGCTATAAAACTAGTGTTTTAAAAACTTAATTTCCCTTTACTATTAAAATTGGCTTTTCTCTCTCATGGTTGTATAATGCTTTGAGTAAATCGTAATTCATTGTTTTGTAATTTTTTTTAAAATTGATGCCCATATACGTTCCATTTAAAGAAGACCAGAATAAAGGGAACACCACTTTTTTCAAACTGATTCTTTTTTTCTTTTTTTTTGGTGGAGGTTTCATTTTGTGGGAGGAGAGAGGTGTCATTCTTTCTTGGTGGAGGTTTCATTTTGTTGGGAGGAGAGAGAGAGGGGAGAAATGGGGTTTGAAGTTCACATGACACAAACTAGGTCAATTCGGGACTAACATGGTTCACTTGTGCGCAGGTGTCTTTAGCAGTGGGAGGAAACCGGAGGATCCGGAGAAAACCCACGAGGTTAGACAGGTGTTTTAAAAATGGAACAGTCCTATTAATAGAGTTTTCAAAAAATCTAAATATCTAAAAATCCGTCCCATCCCTCCCCCACCCACCATATATTCAGCAATCTAAAAATACTAAAACACAGCATCATTTGAAAATTGATGAAAATTGATTCTACTAATCTCCAACACACATTCTAACGTAACTAAAGCCTAAAGTGCTACAAAGAAAATACAAAAAATTCAAAAAATCATTAAAATTCTGTTAATGGCTAAAAATAAACTGAATAACCTACTGAACTGAAAATTCATGCGATGAAATCAACCATGCAGAACTAAAAATTAAAATTAAAATAATCACACACACACACAAGAAAACAAAAGCAAATCAAATCAGAAGAAGCGTGCAAAACTTGCCAATTGTGCAAAAAAAATAAAAACAAAACAAGCAACCCAATACAGAAACTAAAACATTGCAGAGAATGTAGAAATAAGGATGCTTTATCAAGGGGTTTATTTTCTTGGTCTTACTGTGTTGTCTACTGCTAGGGGGAGATCAGGCCGGTCGAGGGGAAGATGAGGCCGGGTGAGGGGGGGAGACCAGGCTGAGTGTGGGGGGGACCAGGTCAGATGGAGGGGGAGATCGGACCGGTCGAGGGGGAGATCAGGCTAGTCAAGGGAGAGACCAGGCTGAACGAGGGGGAGATCAGTCCGGGCGAGGGGGAGACCAGGCAAGTTTAAGAATTGAAATCGGGTTTAACATCCTACTATTCTGCGCCGAACTGGGCTATTGAATACGAGCATACGCCATCCAGTATGCTATGAGGGCAACTTTGCCTGGACAGCGGTGCAACCTCTTACTCTTATATCAAATTTCAATTGTCAAGGGTTCTTTTACGTGCAGGCCAATGTGTACATGGGACCTTGGTTTTTCGTACCATCCAAACGATTTGACACCCTGTCAGGCACTCTTGTCCTGCAACGTTGACAAGGATAAACAGAGCTGGAAAATCCAAAGGAATTTCCCGACCAACACCTGAAGCCCTTCAGGCTAGCAAGCGAGGGTCTTAACTCACTTCATAATTATGTAAAATTTACAGTGAAAAAGTTCCAATTTTATTTAACAAAATAGGTAATTTGTCCACGGAATGAAAATCCTTCAAATGACGAATCAATTATCACAGATATTTGTGTAATGTGGTTTGTTTGTGACTCATACATAACATGTCAGTTATTATCATGGCAGAAATTCGAAACATCTACGCTAAAACTACTAATGTCTACAAAACTACATCTTCGGTATTTCTTTTTTGCGTACAAACTTTCTAACAAGCTGCTGTACTGAGGTGAACGTAAGCAATGACACTAAGACTGGTATGTAAACTGTTTTTTTTATTGTTTTGTAGAATCAACCTACGTGGCTGATGAAATCATCGGGGGCAGATAATTTGAATTTGTGAATAATCCATGAATGGACTCAGGGGTTTAGTGGAGTAGAATGGAACGATATCACTATGGATACCGAGGACGACAGTACTATGGAGGAACAAAACATTTAAATAGGGATCTCAAAATTTCAGAAAGTACTACGCATGTGCATGTTCGATACCGTCATTGAAAACCGTTCCAAAACAAAAATGTTGGAGTAGAATTAAATATGAACTAATTTGGCGTTTATATAAAAAAAAATGCTTTTGATACATTAGTAAGAAATATCTTTAAATTCAACTGTTAGATATCGTGCTACAAACATTTCCAAAACAGAATATAAGAAATCATGATATTGAACAACAGAGTGTAAAATTTGATTCTGGCTATTTGCATCAAAAATAACCTCTTTGAGAGAACAATGTTATGAGTTAGGAGAGATGGGAAAAATGATGATTATAATATAATATGCCATGAACTACTGTAATGATCAAGTCTACCAGCATAATTTAAAATCGGTTATCCGATTAGGCCAACTTCAAGTTTGGTAAAAGGCCACAAGATGTAAACAGGGCTAGTGCTAATCCCAAACCTAACCCTAACCCTGGACCTCACCCTACTGCTTACCCTAACCCTAACCTACAATCTCACCAACAATCACGTGCCCTAACCTTATTTACATCTCAGTGACCTAGACGAAAATTGAGCTGGCCTTAACAAATAGACTTAGCCTTTAGAATCAACAAGCCTGGCAATAGGGCATCTGTCACGGACAATGTCCAACAAACTCAGGACCTGTAATTTTGGTTAGAATTTGACCTTTTTCTGTGTTTTAATGATATATTTAATGTATGTCCAGCACACAAATTCTAATAAATGACAAATAAAATTGTTATTTCCCAGTCTGAGTCTATATATATATATATAGCACCAGTCGAATCTCGCATGTTTGGACATTTGTGTAGACATTAATCTCAGAATCATCGAATATTCCCGCATTATTCCGAACTAATTTTACTCTGTATTTCTTTCTACTCAGAAAATTAAACTAATAAATTTATTAACTTCCCCCAAACAACTGTTAAATTAAGACGAATAGACAAGATTGCTTTTTGAGGATTCTGACGAATTTGATACAGAGATTTTTACGTAAGAGATCAGTCACATGACATCATTACAGTTAGCTCATAAAGGGAGATAAATATGAATAATACATGATAATGATTATATTGGTTAAATAAGCCAATCTACAAGACAGTAGTGTGTTAAATGACGTATCATATTAAGGGATGTATACACTTCTTATAAGCCCATACCACTTTCAATTCACTTCTTATTTCTTCGTGGAAAAGACTTAATATAAAAACCCCAAAGTAGTTTTTCAGTTTCAACTTTTTAAGTTTTGGAATTTTAGACAAAACATATTTCACGTGATTGAAGTGGGTTTTTAATTGGATTGGCCTTATGGTCAGCTCAAGTCGTATGTGATCAATAATTCAAAGTCAGCAATCAAGGTGTGTTTTTCTTATTTGAGTTGATATTTGAGTTGCAATATTGCAATGAAAAACGACTTTAGTAAGAGTTGTGTGTAAACATCCCTTTAGTTTGATAGCGCATGAGGAGTATATTAATAAAACGCATGGTTAATATTCAGCAGTAGACAGACAGCATATCATATACAATATAATATATAACATAACATGATATAAACATATATACAATACAACCCACATTAAACATTCATTTACACAAAATATAACACAACAATTTCACGGTAATTGACGTGCCATTTGTACGACACTTTCCTTCTTATGTACAATGTATCGCAAATCTTGTACTTTTGATCAATATGTCCCCTTTACCATGAACTTGCTCTACATATTTGTGGTTATTTTGTCTGTTTAAGGTGGTTTTATTGTTTCTAATAATTTTTATTATATCAAAATATGGTGTGTATACATAAATAACTCCCACCTAGTATACAAAATTATCCATAAAATCTCGTTATTTTGGCCATTTTAACTTATTTCGAAACTTAAGACATATCATTTGGAGAGAGAGAGAAATGGAGTTTAACCTCCACTTGACACAAACTAGGTCATTTCGGGACTAACACGTGGTAGTGTTTCATTTCAATAATTCGCTTGCATGGGAGGAAACCGGAGGACCCGAAGAAAACGCATGAGGTTGGACAGGCGACCCTACTCCTTGTCACATGTACAACCGGGGAATCTAAATCACGTCAGTTGACTAAATGACAGACCTTATTGTACAAAGCGCACATGCTAACCATTTGGCACCCCACCCCATCCCCTTTTATCATCTGGAGCTCGTTTGGAAATAAGGTGAACATCATAGAATGTCAGGCACAGATCTAGGCTTTGTCTTGACACAAATGTTTTGGTGTCTGTCAAATTGGTCTAATATAGTATTTTATTGATATCCTTAATAGATGTCCGGCACAATTCTAAAGGGTGTCCGATACAATTTTAATGGTTACTGAAACTTTGCCAAATACAATTAAAACCGTTTTCTTCCAGGCCACATCAAGTGAAGGTAATAGTAATTTATGCCTCTTTTCCCCAAAAAACTATCCAGAATATTTTGTCAATTAGTAAAGGAGATCATGAAAAAGGCACTATATGCTTATTCCTTCTTAGGAAATCTTTTACTTCGTTCACTTTACTGACAATTTTGATATCAAAATCACATCAGAAGATCGGAAAAGTTAAAATGGCCAAAACAGACACAAAATAAATTTTCGTCAGACAAATAGAATATATGATATATAACCCACTTACCTTGCTAATATATATATATATATATATATATACACATACAATATTACATTATAGTATTTGAGATGTGCTTTTAAGTAATTTTATTTATTAATTCAACAATTCAAGTTTTGAACTGAGATTTATATCAAATTTAGCTCACTGCGGAATCTTCATGCACAGGGAATTCTTAATAAAGTGAGTAAATTATGGAGTCTTGTTATACAGCTGTTGTTATCAGGCATCAACATCCACATTACAATGCAGTTGTTGCCATAACAACACCACATTACAATGCAGTTGTTGCCATAACAACACCACATTGCAATGCAGTTGTTGCCATCACAACACCCACATTCAATGCAGCTATGTCTATTGCAATAAAACTGTGATATATTGTAACTAAGTAACAATAAAAATTCCAAAATAAATATAAAAATGGTAAACTTACCTGAAGCACTATGAACACTACCGGCACTACCGTTTCCCCCACCCCCTGTTGGAGGAGGGGGAGCCATTCCATCTATAAAGCTGCCTATATAACTAGTGGTATCCGTACTAGTGTAACTATACGGGGGGATATAACTAAGGTTCTGTGGTAAATAACTTGAACTACTGTAAGGATATTGGTTGTTCCATGATGGAGGGGGAAGTGGCGCTAACGTATCACGATCGGCTTCCGATACAGAATCTACATCCTCTAAACTTAATGATGTCAGATCTGAAAAAATATAAAATGTAGGGAATTAAAAATAACTAATGAATGAAATCAGGTTTAACATATTACTTTTATGGATAATGTAAATGAAATTAAATGTGTTTGAACATCCTACTCAGACTGGGCTAATACAGTGTGCTATGAGGGAAATTTTGCCCAAGCAGTGGCACTATGTTCTACTCTTATATCAAATTTCAACTGCCAAGGGATCTTTTACGTGCATGCCAGTGTATACATGGGACCTTGGTTTTTCTTCCCATCTGAACGACTAGACAGCTGTACTTGTCATGCCCTCCATCCTGCACCACTGACATGGGGAAACCACGTCAGAAATCCTGATGAACCTTCTCGGCGAATGCAGGGATCGATCACCCGACCTCCAGGCTAGCGGGCCAGAGTCTTGCTCACTCATCCACCGTGACTCCTTTCTGTCTACTGGAGACAGACATATGCCATACACCGTGCAAGTTGATAGGACAGAATCTGTTTTCCTAGAGTTCAGGGAACTGATTCACGAATATACTTAATGTTGTGTGAAGTATGATTTTATAGTTTATAAATATCATAGTTTTAATGGTGTATGAAGTATGATGTTTAAACTATATAGAGGATGTTACCTGGATAAACTGGAGGACCACCTGTAAAGAAGAATTAAAAACATGTTAAATAAATGATTGATAAATTACATAAAGTTATTGGTACAGAGACGTGCTGATATGGGAGCAGACAAGGTTCCAATCAATCATAAATACGAAAATATCCGTTAACTTTGTTGTAAAAGTTACCATTACATATGGTTAATACTATCAATGGTCACTTGTACAATGCCAGGGAGGAATTGATTGCCTAGACATCAGTGTTTCTGCCATATCTTTCACGAATTCCAAGTGTCAAGCTTTGTTTTACATACACGCCAACATGTACATGACTGGAACTTGTTTTTTTAGTACCATTAAAAGGACTAGCCTTGTCCTTATCAATGTATATTAGAATAATAAAAAAAAAAGAGTTTTGTAAGTGAATTCATTTGACTCTTAACCCTTTCATAATTTATAATCAATAAAGTAATATTTTTTTAAATAATTTGTTAAATTTAAATTGTCTCACCTCTTAAATCACCGAAGACATAATAACATTGTTCTGAGAAAGTAAGTTTATTAACGGTATGACGAATATAATTAGCTTTAAGAAGATTACAGGCGTATTTCCGTGCATCTCGACGATCGGCAAAACCATCGACATGCGTAAATAACCAATCTACTAAATCAGCACCTGAAATAAAACAATTACAATATTAGATTAGAATGGGGTTTAACATCTTGACAACATATGTTGGTTATTTTGAGACTAACATATGGAGCTTGAGCATAATGACTTTATCTGGCCCTCGTGTTCCCTAAATATTCTCAGACTTTAGTTAAGAATTTACTTAACTTAAATATAGCCCTTTATAAAACTCTTGTTTTAATGTATCAAATACATCAATAAGATTTTTGTGTTTCTGGATCAAAGATATTACTCATAAACAGTGATTGAAAGTTGAGTAAATTCTGAGAATGCTTTGTGGAACGAGAGCCCGATTTGAATGGGGAGTAACTTCTCGTCAACACTTTGCTAATTTCGAGATTTACATATGGAGATCGAGCACAATTACATTATTAGATCCGATTAAAATTGGGCTACAAATTTGCGGCACTTACTTACTTTTCAAGTAACATTTAATTAAATTCTTATATTAACTTAGTAGAGTAGAATCCAGGGCTCTTTCACCAGTGGATATCATACATAACACATGATCTAGATCATTTACCAGCAAGTGCCCACCACTAGTTCCAGCCATGTACCCTTCAACCACTTGATCCCTCCCCCCCCACCCCCAATGTACCGTATATAGCACATGTTTTCAACAATTAGCAGACAAGTGTTTCATAATCTTCCAATATTAGATTCCACCATATATACCAAATGCTTTCGATCACTTAGCGGACAAGTGCCCTGTATCCTTCCACCACTGGATTCCCCCATGCTTTCAACCACTTGGCAGACAAGTGCCCCTCCCCCTCCCAGGGCACCCTATATTTATCCAGATATAGTTTTTCTTACCTATAAAAGCATTTGGTATAGTTATTTTGAGCCACATACGGTCTCTAATTTCTAACCCAGAGTCGGGTTGTGCCATTGCCTTGACTACTGTTTCCATATCGGTATTTATTGTCAAGTTAAGGTCATCAAACCCTGAAATAAATAAATAGTTGAATTATGGTGAACAAATTTATTTACACTTTGAATTGAATAATTAAATGAGGTCTAATGTCTCAATTTCCTGCTTCAATCGAGCTAATGACACAGGCATACACTGTACAGTGTACTATGACGTAGATTTTGTTGGAACACCTGCATATACGGCTACTTTTCATCGAATTCCAACGTGTACACGGCAAACAGATTTTTCATCTCATCTGAATAACTAGAAATTATTTCTTGCCAGGCCCTGTGTTTAGCACAAATGACAAGGAGAAACCATGCCGAAATATGCCTGTGTGAGTACATTGATAAAGCCATGAAAATATAGATATTGTCGGCAAAATACAAATGGCGAAAGTGGCTTTAAGATACTCTGCATATTTTGCATCGAGAAGTGAAAATGTTGAAACCATCGACCCCCACTCCACCCTTTCCCAAACAAGTCATTATGGAAGATAAGATAAAGAGCTGGCAATTTCAGTCAAATTGCTCCCTTCTGAACCGAGATATTAGGTTTTGAATTTTCGGCCTAGTCCTGATCATCATTACTAAAGCCGGAACAATAAAAAAACATAGCCTTGATTATCCATTTTTAAATTAAATTAACAGTGAGCGTTGAGCAGCAAATCGGATTCAAATCCTGCAAAAATCTTACACATAAGATGGCATCGAGAGTTGATTAAGATCTTTTTATGTTAATAAATGTCTAATTAATAGTTTGTATAACATTTCCGGCCTGCAATTGGTAAGTAAAATACTGTTTATAAAAAGTCGTAACTTACTTTCTGATTCTGGTATAGAACTAGTTAAAGATGAACTGGTGGAAGTCATATTACTAATTGACGTACTAGCAACACCTCTTCCCATATAATTACATGTCCCACCTCCCATATATTGTTCTCGTAACGCTGTCGTATGAGCAACCCAGGCCGAGGGGTCAATAGGTCGAACTGGTTCTTGTCTTGGCACGGTAAAATATCCTTTAGGGTTTGGGTCCCAGCACTTTGCTACAACTAGGGTTATTGGCCTGAAAATACAATTATCATTTATGAATAAATAAAACTGTCTTAGACAAAGAAAAAAATATGCAGGATCTTTGAGAGATCAATTCTTGCCTATACTTCAAATTTTAAATATGACGAACAGAATGAATGAAATAGGATTTAACGTCCTACTGTTATGTACCGACTGGGCTAATGAAGACGGGCATACGCCATACAGTGTGCTATGAGGAACATGTTGCCATGACAGCGCCACTACGGCCTACTCTTATATCGAATTCCAACTGTCAAGGGTTCTTTTACAGGCACGGCAATGTTTACATGGGACCTCCGTTTTTTTTTTTTGTCCCATCCAAACCAATATGCGTTGTCCCTTGCCAGACCCTTCGTCCTGCACCACTGATCAGGGGGAACCATGCTGAAAAATCCTGATGAACTTTCTCCGTTAACACCAGGATCAACCATGTGGCCTCCCGGTTAACGAGCCAACATCTTACTCATTGAATCACCACGGCTCCACGCTCAAACCCACACAGTAACATTATTGCTAGAGCAAACAAAATACGTACCCTGGTTTTTGTACAGCTTCTCGTAATGTTCTAACGGCATCGTCGTTACTCATATTTTCAAAACTAACACCGTTTACTTCTAATATCATGTCTCCTGGTTCTATTCGACCATCTTGAGCTACAGCACCCCTACAATACAACAAGGGAAATAACTTCAAATAATTAAACAAACAAAATATAACCGTTCTAATATACTGAAAATCTAGTGTATCCAATGGTATCGCGAGTTGACTATGGTCTCGTCATGTTAATAAATGTCTAATTAATAATTTAGATAACATTCAAGGCTTACAGATAGACCTGGAATAGGCAGATTTAGCTCTTGAATAATTCATCTTTAATTAAATGTTAATGAATCAATTTGAAAACATTTTAACACAGATTAAGCTGTGGATAATTCATTATTTTCCACAAATTCAAATGACACAGAGAGACTTTAATATACAATTCAATTAAATTTCAATATGTTTCTAAATTAATCACTAAAAATGTTAATAATTTAATAAAGTACAATTTAAAAGCTGAAATAAATCTAGTAACTATGAGTCTCTATGAATTCAGAATTTTATTTTGACATTGATATCCATAAGAGAGAGAGAGAGAGAGCGAGAGAGAGAGAGAGAGAGAGAGAGAGAAAGAGAGAGAGAAAGAGAGAGAGAGAGATGAGATTTAACCTCCACTCGACACAAACTAGGTCATTTCGGGACTAACACATGGTTCAATTTTATTGTGTTTTTTTTTTTGCAACAAATCACTTGCGTGTAGGACGTCTTTAGCAGTGGGAGGAAACCAGAGAAAACCCGTAAGGTTTGACAGACGACCCTACTCCTTGTCACGTACAACCAGGGAATTGAAACCACGTCCGTTGACTCAATGACAGGCCTTATGATACAGCGTGCACACGCTAACCATTCGGCCACCTGATATCAAAGACAATTTAAACTTACCCCTTCATTATAGAACCGACATAAATACCCCCATCACCTCCTTTATTACTCTGACCTACAATACTGATACCAAGAAAATTTACAGTGTCTGAAATATACAAACAAATAATACTTATAAATAACATTCGCCTAGATATAATCATTTTTATTAAAATTATAACACAATACTTATAACACTGGCCTAGACATAATAATTTTTGTTAAAATTATAACGCAAAATTATAAACTTATAACATTGGCCTAGACATAATAATTTTTGTTTCAATAGTTTTTAATTTGAAAATACTCTACAATTTCAAGGCATAAAGAACAGGATAGAAAAACAAACCAAGGAGACTTATATTAATTTGTTTCCTTGTGGGTAGGGTCACAGGGTGTATAATATATGTGCAATTTATAGTAATATGTGATATAGACAAAGCATTTAGTCTTTTTTTTACAAAACAGGGGCAGGTCTACTATGAAAATAATGTAGTGACTTCAGTCCACGTTGCTAAAAAATGAAATGAAATCCGGATTAACATCATATGGTTCTGCTCAGATTGCGCTAATGAAGACAAGTATACGCCATACAGTGTGCTATGAGGGGAATTTTGTCAGGACAGTGGCGTTACGGCCTACTCTTATATCGAATTCCAACTGTCAAGGGATCTTTTACGTGCACATCAATGTATACACAGGACTTTGGTTTTTTTTTGTAACTATCCGAATGACTAGACAGATGTCCTTGTAAGACCTCTGTCCTGCACCACTGACAAGGGGAAACCATGGTGGAAAATCCTGATGAACTTTTAAAGAAGGAAGCAGTGGTTGTGAGGGCCACCCTGTATGAAGGATGATACATATAACTAGTGTATGATCTTACCCATATTTAAAACAACTGTTATTATATTTAGAGACATGGTTGAATCTGTTATACTGCTAAAAGATGATGCCTGAAAATACATACAAACAAAAATTTCACATGGGTTCATTTATTATCAGAATTCTCAGATATTGATGACACCTTAGAGCAGCTAATTTGAATCCCTTTATTTGAGGGATTACGAAATTCCTTGAAAATTCATCAACTTACAACTATCGAGGGTTCTTGTATGTGTCGTCTGAATAAAAAGACTTTGTTCCTAGATGGGCCTCTAGGCTTTCAAAACTGACAGAGGAAACAACAGTGGAAATGCCTGGGAACCTTCTTATCCTTTTGAGTGAGAGATATAGATTGACAGACAGGACAATTCTCCAGCCTGTCAATTTCAATGATACAGCAGTGAAGACTGGAAAAATATGACCAAAATCAGAGAGAGAAAGAGAGAGAGAGAGAGAGAAGAAAACCCAAGAGGTTGGACAGGCGACTAGACTCCTTGTCACGTACAACTGGGGATTCGAAACCATGCCATTTAACTCAATGACAGGCCTTATGATACAGCGCGCACGTGCTAACCATTCGGCCATCCATTCCCCCGCTTCCATGTATGGTTTTTGAAACAATTTCTATTTTTTATGATAAACCAAATTACAGACTTACTTACCCTACTGATCGGTGGCGGTCGATGCCGCCGCCTCCGTCGTTTATGACGACCATATTTGGATGAAGGATTTGTATTATCTGTGACTGTGGAAAATCTGAAATAAAATCAAATTAATGATTTAAATACTTCATATAAAACTAAGCACAATCCATCTGAATCGGTTGTCAAAATAGAAAGTCGAATATATGACTTGGGATCATCTAGCAACACTAATTGACTCGCCATTTATTAAAGTGCTCAGGGGCCATAACTCTGGATAAATTATCAGAAATCGTTGACTTTAACCTATAGATTGTCTGCAATACCTTGATGAGTGATAAAACTGAAACATTAGAATGGATGAAATAGTTCTAAATTCTTACCTGCTACCTGTATCATCTTCTGAATCAAAGAAACTCGTAGATTCTAGATCGCTACTTAAAACTGTGGAGGTATCGTGATAGGCGTGGCGTAATTCTCGGTGACGTTTATGCTCTGCGTGACCATTTATTCGTGGACCTGATGAAAAGAAAAATAAGATGATTAGGCCAGTGAACTATTATAATTGATTTTAATAGGTTAAATAAAAACATTTCTAATTTTAAAACCATAACCATTTGTGAGCAGTAATACAACCACCCCGAAATTGAGCTTCCACAGAGAACACTTGTATTGAGCTTTATCAGAGAGAACTCATATTGAGGCTTCTATTATGATCAAATTGAGGTGGTTTATACTCAAATTGAGGTGTTTTTGGGAACACACATATTGAAGTATGTTAGTGTGCACCACAATTGAGGTTTCCCAAACAGCACTCATATTGAAGTGTCATAGCATAAACTCACATCAAGGTTCCCTGGTTTTTAAGAAGAAAAAAATGCAATGTTAAATCTGAAATAAATAGAACTAATTTGGACAGGCCTCGCAAAATGACACATTCCTCGCTTCTCACTCATCAGCCACTTAAAAGCTGTATCAGGTTTATTCACATATTTCTAACCACATAGACAGTGGTTAAACATATTCTTATCAATACCCAACAGCTATTTCCGTAACTTGAAGAATTTCACAATTTTAAAACAAATTATTTAAAGAAAAGTAGTCATTTCGTGATAAAAATCTTAGTCGTTAAAAAGTCAAATCTAATTGAAAATGCTTTTATAAAAAATGGCAAATATCCAGGTGGTCTCACCTCAGTGGGAAATTTAATAGCACTGCGATGATCTAAATTTACGCCCCAAACCTGATCAATGCATCAACATGAACCATTAAAAATAACATTCGGCTTTAGATAAAAGAAATGAAATCAAACTATCTCTAATAATTTGAAGACATGTTCCTTATTTTTTGAAACTTAAAAGGTCCTGAATATCTTTGATGTTTTTGTTTACGTTTGTTTACATGTTATCTGGTTATAGGTTATTTAAAGATACATTATGGAAAATTAGATGAACTTCTCACGATAATAGTTAACAAAAAGATGATGTAAAGGGAATATGCTGAAAATTTCGGTCAAATTGATTCACTCTAAGTCGAGAAAACTTATTTTATAAACTTGTGTAGCTTGATTGTTATTGTTAGGGCTATCACGATAACTAACAATGTCTTGATTATCCATTACGGAAGATTAGATAAACTTCTGACGATAATAGTTAATAGATAATGTAAAGGGAATATGCTGAAAATTTCAGTCAAATTGCTTCACTTTAAGCAAGAAAACCTTATTCTAAAATTTTTGTAGCCTCGATTGTTATTGTTAGGGCTGTCACGATAACTAACAAAGTCTTGATTATCCATTTTTGCATTTAATCATCAACGGGCATTGAACAGCAGATCAGATTCAAATCCAATGAAAATCGGACAGATAAGATGGCATCAAGAGTTGATTAAGATCTTTTCATGTTAATAAATGTCTAATTAATAGTTTATATAACATTTCAAGCCTAAAGAAAGACCTGCAATAGGCATATGTACCTCTTGCATAATGCATGTTTAAGTCCCTGTGCGTCTTATCAAATTTTATTTGGCTTAATCCATCCTATAATGAACATTTAATTAAGAAAATAAAATTAAAAAGAATATCCAGGCTAGGATTCAATCTTGTCTACGATATCACCCGAGGTGAAAGCGGAAGTGAGGACCCAAAAACGAACAAAGAAGAATTCAAATGAATTGAACAGAGACCTGTCAAATGATTTTACTCACTTAATTGTTTGTTTATATCATCAAAAACACGCGGATTATGCTTGCCTCTATTGTGGGAAAATGAAATGAAATGGAGTTTAATGTTCTATTGTTCTGCTCCGACTGGGCTAATGAAGACGGGGATACAGTGTGCTATGAGGGAAATATTGTATGGGCAGCGGCACTATCGTCTACTCTTTATTGAATTCCAACTGCCAAGGGTTCTTTTACATGCAAACCATCATGGTCTGGTCACAGAATGTATATCAAACAATCATGTTCTGGTCACAGAATGTATATTAAACTATCATGGTCTGGTCACAGAATGTATACCAAACCATCATGGTCCGGTCACAGAATGTATATTAAACTATCATGGTCTGGTCACAGAATGTATATCAAACCATAACCGTCTGGTCACAGAATGCATATTAAACTATCATGGTCTGGTCACAGAATGTATATCAAACCATAACGGTCTGGTCACGGAATGTATATTAAACTATCATGGTCTGGTCACAGAATGTATATCAAACCATAACGGTCTGGTCACGGAATGTATACCAAACAGTGGAATATTTTTATAAACGTGAGAAAAGTAAGAGTTTAATTGTGTGTGTTTGTAGGTCTGCCTCCACGCGGTTACATGCGTCTGTTTAGGCTATTAATACTCATAGTTTAAACAAACATGTGTTGAACCTACCGAGAGATTTTACATCTGTTCCGTCTGCCGGGCATCAATCATTATGTTATAATTAATACATCTATATTTATGTATGTTACAAACCACATGGGGGGGGGTTAATCTACAATAATAATTTTAAATCTTCCATATCTCATCCTAGTTAATTTTTTTTATTTTTTTTTAAACAGATTTCTTTATTTATTTTATTTCTTTTGTTATGGAATTTTCTTTAAAGTTTTGAATGTTTAGGGGTTTATGAAGGTAAAAACATTGGCTTGATGTGAGTTAGAAATTCAATAAACCACAAATCCATTCAAGGAGAATCACGTACTGTAACCCAGGTATCAATTAATCTTGTGTATTTAGCACTAATTTCTTTTAAACAAAGATTTCATATTAAACGAATGTGAAAGAAATTACTTCTAGATACACAAGATTAAATTTTGCCCGGGTCACAGTGTGAATATCAACCTTACGATGGTTAATCCTTAATAATAACTTTAAATGTTGGAAATCTCTTGGTAGTATATTTTATGCCGAATTTTTTAAATACATTCCACAGACACAATCATTTTCAGTAAAACGTTTTATTTGTTATGGAATGTTTTTAAGCATTGAATGATTAGTTTAAGAGGTTTATGGACTAAGAACTTTCGTTGGTTGTGAATTGAAATTTAATAAATTGCAAATTCAACCTGAGAGAGAGAAATGGGATTAAACGCCCACTCGACACAAATCAGGTCATTTCGGGACTAACTTATGGCTTGTATATATTTCAATAATTTGCTTGCGCGTAGGGGTCTTTAGCAGTGGGAGGAAACCGGAGGACCTGGAGAAGACCCATGAAGTAGAACAGATGACTCTACTCCAGTTGGCTCAATGACAGACCTTAAGATACAGTATGCAGTATCCGGCCATCCCCCCCCCCCCCAAATCCAACCCAAGTGTTAAATATCCAACCTAACATTAAAGATGGTGGATATCGTTTACTTTTAGTTAACTTTAGTTTATTTATACATTTTACCGAGTCTTATAATATCTTATTACATTGCTATGGAATGTTTTTAAGAATTGAATGTTCTGTATTTCATTTGGTGTGGAATTTCTTAATCTTAAATTTTAGCGGTTTCTGGAAGATTTCTGGAGCTAAAAACTTTCAAATTATAACTAACCCAAATAGCTCTTTGATTTGATACATTTGGGATGTTAGGTACATGAATTCTATTTGATCAACTCATTCTCATCAATTTTATAATAGAAGTTCTTCAAAGATGTTAAAATAATAAGTGATTATATGTTTATGAGAGTTTCCGTCGAGTTAACTAAAATCAAAAGGTTTTATAACATATTTAGGATACTTATAACAGACCCAAATTTTTGTTTGGCGTGATACATTCTAGTTGGTTGCTTTGTTTGGTATTCTATTCCACCTAGTAATTCTCGACACAGCATCTTGTAAATATCTAAGATCTATATTTTCTTTTATCTGAGAAAGGTTCAAACAACTCTGCCTTATTATCTAAAAAAACATGGTTGCGTTACTTACAACATCCAAACGGTACCATCATATGCTCTACGTAAAAAAATGGCTTCACGCCAAAATATTTAATTTGTGAGTTGAAACTTGAAAGACACTGCGTTGTCTTGAACAACATTTTTAATACTATCGTATCATTAGCTTTTATAAATTTTATAGGTAAAAATAAACTAATTCTCATCCAGAGATTAAAATATGTGATATCTCTTCTTGGCAAGGTTAAAAACAACTCTTCAATTTCAGAAATTTGTCCAATTCAAATACCTAATATAATTTTCTAGAATATATATTTCATTTTTAAATTGGTCCTTCCTGTGAATTAATCTGCACCTGCCTATAAATATTTGGTTAAAATTATGTTGCCATGCTGAAGAAAAAGTTGAAAATAAATGTAATTTTTCTCCTACTCTTAGGATGGGCAAAAAAAAAGACCTAGACTGAATGCACAGCCTCTTGGTTCAACGAGATGGAATGTAATTTGAAATGTCAAAATATGATTAAAATATTAAAATATATCAGTAAATGGTGCTCTTCTAAAACTAAGGATAATAAAAATGCTTTATGGTGAAAAAGGTCATCCACAGCTGAAAGAATTAAAGTGAATTGCATCTAAAACTAACATTACTGTAATTAGAATTATCTAATGGGTTTAACGTCCTACCCCGACTTGGCTAATGAAGACAGAGGAATGCCATAGAGTGTGGTCCGATGGACATTTTTCCTGACAGAAATAAACAGTAATTGCAGTCGTTGTTGTTTGTATTTTAGAGTTGAGCCGAAAAAAGTTCCCCTTAATCAACAAATTGAAAAAATCGCTCCCCTAAAAAAGCTCTCCCATTTTCGATAAGAAGAGTGATTTAGAAATTAAGGAGAATGATCTGATATTAAGGAGAGTGATTAGTTGTGTGTATGGAAAATGGTTCTGAAGATCAATAACTGCATGTAATGGGGTAATTCCTAGTTTCATAAATGATAATAAACCCCCATGACTTTGTAAAGGAGAGTGATTTTCAATTTTAAGGAGAGGGGGAAAAAACGCCCCTCGGTCGACATTCAGGTGAGCAACAGGCACTCAAAAGCGATCTCTCGCCTTAAAAAACAATGTCTGTATTTCACCTGCATATTTAAAGACAACAAGAAGTGCTGTGTGCATCTTCATCACCCAATTACTATAAAACAAGAGACACCAAGCTCTGTAATAAACAGTGTGAATATAGGAAGACAACTAGAAGTGTTGTAATATAACTATATCACCCAGTGTAGTTAATAAAGTTCTATAGAGGTGATACTGACTGACTACTAGGCATGATGTTGTATCTACCAGATTCATTAGTCATACTTTACAATACTTTACAATTCTTAAGTATGTATAATAGATGCCGGGCATGGATACAAAGAACGTGCAGAGACATGTCGCAAACTGTTTTAATGTTTATAATCGATTCTTGATGACTATATTCTACCCATCGCCATTCTTTTATCTTTTTAAAACTTCTGTATCTGCCCACTGTTCCTAAACTGGTGTAATTAAAAGAATAGTTTTACCTGACAATATATTATCAGAAATGAAATGAAATGGGGTATAACGTCCTACTGTTCCGCTCCTACTGGGCTAATGAAGACAGGCATATTTTTAGAGAGAATCTAAGAAAGGAATTTTAAACCAAAACTTTATATTTTATTCAACAGGTACCATTCTTCTAGGTGTGAAGAACTGATTTGCTCTGGATTTACCAATAGGCTTGGCAGGTTGAAGTCTAGAGCATTATGATTTTGTGGTGGTCCTTAAGATTTTGAGGAGAGTAATTGGCCAAAGTGTACAATATTTGACCCTGTTGTAAGCCTTTCTTTCACACTCTTTAGTCTTAAAGATCTATCATCATCCTCAGCTTTGCTGTATTTTGAGAGTGTGGGGGATTGGGAGAGCCCTTAGTCTCATAAGTAGAATAGGGTCTAGTAGTCAGCATGGGGGACTGGGAGGGACCGTATTCTCATAAGTAGAATAGGGTGGGACCTCTCATCATTAAGCCTGCCCCTAGTAGTCAGGGTGGGGGACTGGGAGGGGCCTTAGCCTCATCATCTAACCTTGCTCTAGTAGTCAGGGTGGGGGACTGGGAGGGGCCTTATCCTCATCATCTAAACCTGGTTCTAGTAGTCAGTATGATAAAGAAAGTTAACTGGTGCGTGAAATAAAGAACTAGCTATTAATAGTGTAGGTTAGTAAATAACTAATGGTGCCAATATCTCATAACCTTTGTTCTCAACTAAAAATAATATCTAGACCCTGTCTCATTTACAATAATTAACAGTTCATCATTTACGGTCTACGGAGGAATATTTACCCATAAACACTCAGTTATTACAGATCTAAGATATAGGTGGCTAGATGTTTACAAAATAACCACATATTGGATGGCATCTTCCAGCACAATCAACATCTTGCTTTTCTCAAGCACTCAGGGTAATGAAGACGGGTTTACACCATGCAGTGTTGTTCTCCCTACTTTTCACGAAATTTCAACTGCCAAGGTTTCTTTTACGTGCACACAGCAATATGTACACAGGACCTTGGCTTTAAGTTTCATCCAAATTATTGGACATTTTACTGTGCCAGATTCCAGGTCCTGCACTATTAACATTCTGGAAAAATCCCAAGTTACTTGCTCACCGGCGGGAGGAAACTGTAGGACCCCGAGAGAAACCCATGAAGTTGGATATGCGACCCTCTTCCTTGTCACGTACAAGTGGGGAATCAAAACCACTTCAATTGACTAAACCATTTGGCCACTACCCTTAAACCTTATATATAGCATGAGAAAGAACTGACATTATAATTAATTCAGAACAAAGATATTTAGACTACACAGGCGTCTTACCATGATCGTTAGCCATGTAGCGCTGACTATCGTTCGAATGTCGAGAGTTACGACTATGCAGGCGATCTAACAGGACAGAAAGAAAAGTAAAAAGAGTTAAAGATGCAAGTTATACAATATTTACATACATAGTATTATTTATAATAATTAAAGATGCATTATGTAAGAGCTAAATCTACCTATTGTAGGTCATTATTGAGCTTTAAATGTCATATGAATTATTATTTAGACATTTATTCACATGACAAGCCTCCCTAGACCATCGGATGGCAGAGTTTTAAATGGATTTAAACACCTGCAGGATTTAAAAATTTAATGATAAAATGTATAATTAAGGCTTAAGTCTAGAGCAGATGAGCGCATTTTTCCGTCAATTGCACTGATTTTTAAAATCGCTTGAAAAAATCACATGTGTGCCAGTTCACGACGACGATTCTGCTTGGCGAATCATTCACCTGATCAATCGTCCCTATCTTAGCATGTTAGATATTTCCGGTTCAATATGTTACGCTGGCGATCGATTCGTCAGAAAATCTCATCATCTGTCCGTGTCCAGCCTATATTGTTGAGCAACCATTTGTTGTCATTGTTATCACATGATCTGAAAATTTCTTCTATATAAGTCACATGATTGACTTAATTTACTTGCAGAGTGGTATACACTCTTGAGACAATCGCTATGTGTGCCCGTTCGTGATCGGTCATAAAATAATCTGTCGAATTTCAATTGACTTGATCAGGCTAATAATACACTCATCTGCCACGATAATGAACGATATATAACTTCACTCAGAAAAAACATAATCTGAATGAAATTTTCAATATTATCACATTTCATTATCTATATTTGATCTTTTAAAGCAAGAATAGCCAGCTCTTTATCTAAATCTTACATAATCTATCTTTAATAGATAATTATTACATTTAAATAATATAAGCTTTTATTAATATATAAATTAATATAAATAGCTGACAAGATATTGATTCATGCATACATGTACATTAATGATGATGATATGATGATGATGATGTTGGTGAGAGAGACACAAATTAAGTCATTTCGGGACTAACATATGGTTCAGTTTTATTTCAATAATTCGCTTGCACGTAGGGGTCTTTAGCAGTGAGAGGAAACCGGAGTAGCCAGAGAAAACCAAAGAGGTTGGCCAGGCGACCCTCCTCCTTGTCACGTACAACAGGGTAATCGAAACCCAGCCAGATGACTCAATGACAGACCTTATTATACAACGTGCACACGCTAACCATTCAGCTATCCACCCCCCATGATAATGGTGATGACAATGATGATAAGATGGTGGTAGTTGTGATGAAGAGGATCAGAAGAAGAGGAACTCAACGCAATAATTCCCTGTTAATCTTAAAGGATACCTAAGCTCATCCATCACAATCATCAGTAAGAGTCACATGTAAAGCAACATTTATAGTTAATCATCAAGCATAGAATACATATTTTATAAGCTTCCGAACATGCGTAATAGTTTCACATTTATAGACTCTGAAAAGCACATGCACATGAAAGTAAAGGCGTGTATTTTGAAACACGGGATGTTAAATCTATCAGGAAAAGGAAGTTATTCTGAAACACTGATGTTAAGCTTTATTTCTCTATCAGCCATCGTCTTTGGCTCTGTTTTCGTCAAAGTCTGAAGCTACATTTTTGAAAATGGGTTCACCAGATCTGGTTCACTCGGCTGCCGCTGAACAACATATCATAAATATGGGACCGAATTAAAGTTTTAGATGTTTTAACAAGGTCAAGGGTTAAGGTCAAAAGATGGATGAGAGAGGTGTAACGTCCACTCAACACAAACTAGGTCATTTTGAGACTAACATGTGGTTCAATTTTATTGCAATAATTCACTTGCGCGTAGGGGTCTTTAGCAGTGGGAGGAAACCGGAGGACCTGTAGAAAACCCACGAGGTTGGACAGGCGAACCTAGTCCTTGTCATGTACAACCGGGGAATTGAAACCACGCCAGTTGACTCAATGACAAACCTAATGATACAGCGCTAACCATTTGGCCATCCAACCCACCAACTGTTAAATCAATATTTCTATAACAAATACTTACACAAACAATAACATGTATAACCACCACATATACCCAATTTTAATTCCCTGTATTTCATACTTTAATCAAATCATATTTAGTTCAATCAATAACTATCCAATAACTATCCCATCAATCAACAGTCTCATGTATTTCCTGGAGCGACGTTTTAACTTGAAGCACTTTATGTACTAGCAAATGGATTCGAGTTTAATGTCTTTTCAACAATTAGTCCATCGACTTCAAGAGTTGATAATTATCGATATTCAGTTATAATGTTCATACTGATTTTCAAATATTTTTTTTTTCGATATATGAAACCAGTGTCAATATACTTCACATTTACGATGCTGATAATTATATTTAAAGAGGAATCTTAACATCGTACATGTACATTTAGTTGTAATTGTTCAGGTTGATCTTTAAATAATGTTTATTTTAGTATGTGTGAAACCACCAAACATTTTAAATAATGTTTACTTGAGTTTGTGAAACCACTGAACATTTTGAATAATGTTTATTTGAGTCCGTGAAACTGCTGAAGATTTTAAATAATGTTTATTTTAGTATGTGTGAAACCACCAAACATTTTAAATAATGTTTACTTGAGTCCGTAAAACCACCAAACATTTTAAATAATGTGTATTACAGTCTATAAAACCACTGAATATTTTAATACGATCCTACAAACCATACTTGAATTGGATTTATTTCTTCAGGTGACAATTACCCTCTCGAACAACCTTTTGTTTATCACTTATTTAAATTTATTCAAGCAGCAACTTTAAGTTTGATGAATTGGGCAAAATAATGTTTCCCATGAAATCATTGTAACTGCATCACAAAAACATTGAAACATTTGTTCAAATTTGTACTAAAATCCTCTTTTCCATATAAAATTACTGATCCATTTCATGTAGAACTCAATTTCTTAATTATTTCCACCAAAACTTTTGATTCAAAATTAAATAACTTTTGTTAAATTTAATCCTTTAGAAAAACTACTTCAGTTATCCTAGCTGTATGAAATTATATTTATGCATTGTCCTAATTACACACGACGCACACTTGTAAATCATTCATCCACATTTCGTATTATTTAAAATGCTATCAGTATCTACACGAAGTCATCCAACTACATGTACACTTCTAAATCATTCATCCACGTTTTGCATACAGAACTTTTTTTAAAACACTATCCGTATCTACATAAAGTCGTCCGACTAGTTATAAATTCATATCGTCTGTCTCCTTCAACAGTTGGACTACAAATTATCACAAGATCCAAGAGACATTCTGCTGAAGATAAATAATTGCTTCTCTTCAAATGACCAACACGGAAACATTATCAATTGGAAAAACTTTTATATGTGCATTGTACTTTCATTTTTATTATTATTTTTTTTTTAAACAAACAAGAAAAAAAATTGATCAAAACTCCCAACCAAAAATTATTGCCTAGAATGTGCTTAATAACAGTAAAAAGAAACAAATCTTTGTGAAGTCTTGTATTATTATAATAGACAGGGGATCACCAAGATCATCAATTCACTACTTTACTCATTTGAGACAAACTTAAAAATTCTTTTTTTTCATTTTCTATATATATATATATATATATATATATATATATATATATATATATATATATCTATCTATATATATATCCACATGTGCAATGCAGGAAAGGTGAATTTTGCCTAGTCAGCAGGATTTCCACCTCCTCTTCTTTATATTCCAAAACTATCATGGATACTTTTACGTGCATGTTAAAGTGAGAATTTCATATTTTCTAAGAAAGCCAAAACATAATTAATTTCTAATGTCTTTTGCTCAATAGGTTGTCAACTCACTATTATACGATCATAGGTTATCTTTCTCACACTTAAAAATCTATGACACAGGGAATAACAACACAATTACCTCCCTTGTTTTTCTATTCCCCCGATGGAATAGCTATCTTCATACGTTTGAATTTGAAGTTGAAAATGATATTTTTGCCAATTTCTCAACTGGCAATAGTGAATTATAGGATTATTCTTTAACAAGGCAGGACGGTTTATAGATACCATCTATTTTAAGGCTTTATTTTAATATATTTTAAAAATATAACTTAAAAATATGAAATTATCGCTTTAATGCTTCACAGGTGAGCTTTGGGGTTTTTTTTTGTTCTATCCAAACAACTAGATAACCTCACAGATGCCGCTACCCCTGACAAGTGTAAACCGGGCTTGAGTGATCTTTTAACACAGAATGTCATTCAAAATTTATTTCAAAGAAATGTCCCTTTAAAAACAAATAGTAATCTAACTATTGACATTAAGAGAAAGTTTAAAATTTTCCCTTGTAACTAAACTATGTGTAGACCAGATTAACATGTTAATGAGGCTCAATACCCTTATACTGTTACCAAATACAAACAAATAGACCAAGCTCTGTGTAGTCCAGGTTAACATGCTAATGAGGCCCAATGGCTTGTACTATTACCGAATACAAACAAATAGACCACGCTCTGTGTTGACTGACAAATTCAGGGGTTAAAATGGCGGTTTAATCGCTACAAATCAAATACAAAATTACATTTTTTTAAAAGAGCCATTCAGCTATTTGGTTACTTGTAACTTTTAGTACCTGTAGAATGCGATGAATGAAGTCCTTACTTTAGACCAGGCTCTGTATTGATCAACAACAAATACAATGTTTATAAAATTACTCTTTTTGTTTTTAAAGGGACCATTCAGTTATTTGGTTATCGTACTTATAACTTTTATTAACTGTAGAAGTAAATAAACTTTAAAGCAGGGTTTATGACGACTTTGTAAAACCAGTTGCAAGTGTGCTTATGTCGACAATAAATGAATTCAGGGGGCTCATGTCAATAACTGAGAATAACCAAATTCAGAGCGTTCTGAAATGAATTTAATTATCATGTGATCAACAAAGTGGTGAATATCTTAGAAGAAGTACCTAAAGGCATGGTCGGTCTTGCCAGATTGTCGACATCGACATATTAAAAGTTGATGCATTTGTTAGCTTCGATTCTGCCTATATTTAACTTAGATGACACATGTCTCTTACCATGTGATGTTATTTCCATGGAAATGCTTTGACGTTAGTTGTAAGAGCGCCCATGTCGACAGCAACTAATTGCCGCTTGTTGAAGTGAGTAGCAGAAAGTTAAAGCTGGGCAACTGGCTTCAACTAGTTGCTTTGAGTTGTAAGAGGTGCTCAGGTTCAGTTGTATACAGTTGAAGCCTGTTGCTCCCAGTTGCTGTAAAGTCTGTCGCTCTCAGTTGTAAGGCCGACATAAGTCCCCTTTTAAGACTTCGACGAATTAAGCCCTTCCCATAATTACAAACAAAATAGGTGGAAGAAGCACTATTACACTCTTGTCTAGTTTATTGTTTGGGAATCATTAATTTTGAATTTCAAAATTACACAATAGAAAATCTACAGAATTATGTTTGATGAAGGCCCTCCACCTATTCCTCTGTGTGGCGAGAGAGAGAAATGGGGTTTAACATCCACTCAACAACACAAACTAGGTCATTTTGGGACTAACATATGGTTCCAATTTATTTCAATAATTCGCCTGCACGTACACATGTAGGGATCTTTAGCAGTGAGAGGAAACCGGAGGACCCGGAGAAAACCCACGAGGTTGGACAGGCGACCCTACTCCTTGCCATTACAACTGGGGTCTTTAGCAGTGGGAAGAAACCGGAGGACCCGGAGAAAACCCACGAGGTTGAACAGGCCCACTGTGTCGCAAATAATACCGATTTATAGAATATGTTTGTAGATAAAGGACGATATATTTACAATTTATTTATTTTGTGCAAATGTCTATACCCATAACACTCTTGCATATCTGATTACTAAATTATTCTTATTTTTTTTTTTGTCTCTGTCTACCCAAGATCTTTGTTGACTTCGAAACCATATATGTACACACGTCTGGTTATCTAATTGGGCCTTTATTTACACTTCAACAAACATATCTGACTGCTACAAACCAATTTAATCAACAGGTAGATTTAACTTCAATGCAATAAATTAAATAAAAGTTTTCAAGTCAAGTCAAGATTAAGTAAATTTAATGATAGAATGAAGTAAGTAAATATATGTAGCTGTAAATCATGACTGAAACCATTAGACATAATGACTAACTTAAACTCACATGTCAAACAATTTAAATATCATTAAAACATTTGAGAATGTATTTTTGTCCCTGTACATGTTTTTGAATAGTTGTCTTCATTTGTTATCTTACATGAATAAAGTGAAAAGAAATGAAATGTGGTTTAAAATGTTTTTCTGTATCAAAAAGACTAACGAAGATAGGTATACGCCAGGGAGCCAGGGAGTGTACTTAATACAACTATGTTATTTCAGGCCCCCGTGTTCACAAAGCATTCTCAGACTTCAGAATTTACTCAACTTTCAATCACTGTTTATGAGAAATATCTTTCATCCAGGAAAACAGAAATTTGCACATAGTTTCTTATCGATCTATTTGATATACTAAAACAACAGAAGTTTTATAAAGGCTATATTTTAGTTATAATAAGGACTTATACCTCATTATGTGCAAGATAAAAATCATACTATTTAATTTAATGACAAGAGAGAGAAATGTGGTTGAACATCCACTCGACACAAACTAGGTCATTTCGGGACTAACATATGGTTCAATTTTATTTCAATGGTTCGCATGCATGTATACGTTCTTTAGCAGTGTCAGGAAACTGGAGGAGGAACCAGAGAAAACCCATGTGGTAGAACAGGAGACCCTACTCCTTGTCACGTAAAAGTGGTGAACTGAAACTATGCCACTAAACTCAATAACAGGCCTTATGATCTAAAGCGCATGTTAAACCATTCGTCTAATCACCCCCTCCCCTCAATAAAATGAAGAATGAATATGTTATAATGTTATAACAAACCAACCTTCCCCTCAATAAAATAAGAATGAATATGTACAGTGTTATAACAAACCAACCCCCTCCCCTCAAATAAATGAAGAATGATGATGTTGATGTTCTTAGCGTTTAACGTCCGCTTCCACCGAAGGTGATATCGCAGACAAGTTCATTTTAATGATCTTAGCGCACGCGCAGGGGTCTTTGCTGTGGGAGGAAACCGGAGTACCCGGAGTAAACCCACGAGGTTGAGAAGGCGCCCCTATCTCCAAGCCACATACGCTCACACCTGGGATCGAAACCACAGCCGCAAGCCAGAGGTGACCGGCCAACTAGAGGTCGAAGCATGACACTCTAGACCACTAGGCCATCCCAACCCCCATGAAGAATGAATGATATGTACAATGTTATAACAAACCAACCCCCTCCCCTCAATGAAATGAAGAATGAATGATATGTACAATGTTATAACAAACCAACCCCCTCCCCTCAATGAAATGAAGAATGAATGATATGTACAATGTTATAACAAACAAACCCGTCCCCTCAATAAAATGAAGAATGAATGATATGTACAATGTTATAATAACCCCCCCCCCCTCAATGAGATGAAGAATGAATATGTTACAATGTTATAACAAACCAACACCCTCCCCTCAATGAAAAGAGGAATGAATATGTTACAATGTTATAACAAACCAACACCCTCCCCTCAAATAAATGAAGAATGAATGATATGTTCAATGTTATAACAAACCAACCCGTCCCCTCAATGAAATGAAGAATGAATGATATGTACATTGTTATAATAACCCCCCCCCCCTCAATGAAATGAAGAATGAATATGTTACAATGTTATAACAAACCAACACCCTCCCCTCAATGAAAAGAGGAATGAATGATATGTACAATGTTATAACAAACCAACACCCTCCCCTCAATGAAAAGAGGAATGAATGATATGTACAATGTTATAACAAACCAACACCCTCCCCTCAATGAAAAGAGGAATGAATGATATGTACAATGTTATAACAAACCAACACCCTCCCCTCAATGAAAAGAGGAATGAATGATATGTTCAATGTTATAACAAACCAACACCCGTCCCCTCAATGAAAAGAGGAATGAATGATATGTTACAATGTTATAACAAACCAACACCCTCCCCTCAATGAAAAGAGGAATGAATGATATGTTTTTTAAGTTATAATAAACCCAGATCATATAATCTAAGCCCACCCATCCCCTGAAATGTAGAATGATATGTTTTAATATTATAATAAACCCAACCACCTGCCCTAAATGAAAGAATGATATAATAAAGTAATCGTACCTCTTCGTGCACTGATAACTGATTCTGTTTCTGTACATGTATCACATGTTTCATCACGACTAGCTACGGATGCGTTCGCACTGAAAAATACACAAAATATAATTAGTTTTAATTGCCAATGAAAATCAAATGAAATGAAATGAAATGTCATTTAATGCCATATTGTCATGGGTTCTTTTACATGCTTTTCAGGCTATCAGCCTGTCTTGCATTACTGGCTCTGAAATGGTTTAACAAAGTGAAACAAGGGCCATAACTCTAAAAGTTAACGGAAATTGTTGAAATTCAATGAGCTTTTTAGTTTCATAAGAATGATATATGTGGCCTGTAGAGTGTTCACAAGAAATTACAGACCAACGGACATGAGCGTTGACAATACATGTATACTGTATGTTGCCGTTTCCTTGTGGGCATACATGTACAACAAAAAGTTTACACAAATTTTGTTTCATCGCGTTTAATACTTTAGGCAGAATTTTCATCAGGAGAAAATCGTGTATGATTGTCCCAGGTGAATATAGTGTTGCATACGATAGATGTAGTCTCGACATAATTGTTATTCGTCATTTCGCCTCATTATAGATACAGATATTTGATTTGACTGAAATAATAGCTGTATACTGGGTATAATTAACCCAAATCATTCTTCAACAATATCTATTTCTTGTTTTAATTTACTAATTGAACATATTAACACATGGTTTATTATTAATTCATGCAATGTTTTAACGAGGATACTCGTCTTTAGCAAGCACTCGATAAAACCATGAACATAGCACCCTGGGTCAGATCTATCTTGGTAGACTGCAAGTTTTACAAAATCTAGATGTTGCTACAATGTACATTAGTGTGAATTCCTGAACTTATTAGTTTCACTGTCCATTCAGAGGTTGTTACACAAAGACACTCAAATCAAACCTCTACGGAAACCTTGACATTGAATGAACCTTGAACCATGCAACTTGATTATCACAATATATTTTCTATCGCGGAACTGATTGTATCTTATATAGTATTTTTTTGTATAATTATAAATGTAGATACTTACTGAAATGATGGTGGTCTACTGTCCCCTATTCCCCCTAATCTTTCTGCCGGTAATTGTACCACATCGCCAGCTTGTGAATCTGTACATTGTGACTGGGTATCGGATGCACTGTTCTCGGCTGGTACAAGCTGAAAATACATATAATACACAGATTATATTTTAAAAGTTCTAGTCAATGTTGCACCTCCAATACCAAAATCCCTCAACATATACATGTAGCATATATTTCTGTCGTGAGCCATTCAGAAATGTTGCCAAAATCAGTTTTCAAAATTCCTGTATTGGCACATGGTTTTTATTACAAATTCCAAGAAAAAATCTGCAACAACAAAAAACAGAATAGCACACTATTGAGCTGTGGAACCAGGATTTGATGAAGGACGGGGAGGGAATGGGAGATTAAAGACCTTGTGAAGAAAATGTTCAAAAATTTCCTGTGAAACATACGTGATTGTATTTTATTGAAATGCATGTTTAATTGAAATGTTTAAACTTATGCTTTATTGAAAGGTTAAAGGTTGCATTTAATCGAAATGTTAAAAGTCATATTTTATTGAAATGTGTAAAGTTTTATTTAAGTTTCGATTCAAACTAAAAATTTACTACTTTAAAGATGATTATTGAAATGTCAAATACATTAAATTTTAAAATATTAATACTAACCAGCAATCGTGAAGCATTAAAATTGAAAACATTTGTAACTTAAGCTAACTAAGATCATTTCATATGCCCCAGAGTACTTCTTTAATTATGCGTTAAATACAACTCCACCTCTCAACCTCCCGTCTGGTACATACATCTGTCAATCAAATATCACAGATTACGCATGTAGTATAAATAAAATACGTTTCTTGTATTAAATAAAGGATCAGGTCTCGTATTACCTAATTTGACACGTGTCATTGAGTGTAAGTACACAATAAATACATCTATTAGATATCAAACAATAGATGGCAGATATGACAAATCTCGTGGAATTTCACTAGGACTCAAGAAGTAAGGACAGTCCTTCAGTGCCGGATTTCCCTATAGGCTTGGCAGGCGGAAGCCCAGGACCTCAAGATTTAGGGGTCTCTAGTCAAAATGTATATTTTTGACACTGTTGTAAGCCCTTTCGTACATGCACAATGGTCGACTTTGCTCATTCCTGTTACTGAGTTACTCAATTGTGTTTAAATCACACTTTTATCTTCATCCGTAAGTGGATTAACGGAGGGCCGGTCTACATCTAAATCCGGTACCAACCCCTCCTAATCTCACAGAATTCATAGAACATCTTCTAACAATTCTAACCAGTGATATTATCTTGAAATTTAAAATTCATCCAATTGTTTATCAACGATGTTATTAAAGCCATTTTTTGTTAATAGTAGTTCTTTATCCCTGAATAAATCAGTAATTTTCTAGAAGAATTACTTGAGACAATGCCATTTTTAGGTATCATTGAGTTTTATTATTGTTTCTCAACCTGTCTGGAAATCAAACTATTTGGACTTTGTCATGATTGATTGATCCCAACCAGTCTGTGATTTGTTTGTGTTGCCGGTTTCTGTTGATTACAGTTCAACACATTTTTAATGTTTTTTTATTTTGGCAGCTAAAAATGTTTGTTTTAACAAATATATATTCAGTGATATTTTTTTGCCAAATAAAACCCTGTTAAAAATTATATTTTTTGTTGCCTGACCTTTCTTTACAGACAGAGAGAGAGAAATGAGGTTTAACATCCACTCGACACAAACTAGGTCATTTTGGGACTAACATGTGGTTTAATTTTATTTCAATAATTCACTTGTGTGTAGGGGTCTTTAGCAGTGGGAGGAAACCGGAGGACCCGGAGAAAACCCACGAGGTTGGACAGGCGAACCTACTCCTTGTCACGTACAACCGGGGATTGGAAACAACGCCAGTTTACTCAATGACAGGCTTTATAATACAGCGTGCACGCGCTAACCATTCGGCCATTCAATCCCCCTTTTCTTTAATGATACATTCCGTAAGATTTAGATACATGTAAACCACTGACAGATCCATGTTCCCGAAGCAACGACTGCAAGTTTTACAACATATACACGTTGCTTCCCGAACTTATGACTGTGTTATCTCCCTTTATCACAGAAATGTGAACAGTAGCGTCCAATCAGAGGTTGTGAAACAACCACACTCAAGTCAATCATGGCGACCTCCATGGAAACCTTGATATTGAACTAAACCTTGAACTTTGCAACTCGATTATCACAGTTAGACATTTTAGCTGGAAAGCGCAAGACCTGGTATTCCGATGATCGAGGAATCTGATAGGCTCTCAAGCTGGTTCCGTACCCAATCAAAATTAGTGCCGGAATATGCGGGGGATTACATGAAGGACTATAATAGTTCAAAAATATATAATGAAAAATGAATATACACATGTAGTGGAAATTTCATTCGAATTATTTTATTCTGAGCAAAGCTGTGAGTGTGACTGTTTGAAGATGCAGCCTTGATTGTTATTATCATAGCAAGGGTACTGGACAAAAGAGACTAAGTCTCGATTATATATTTTATTGTTCTAATCCTTATAAATCTCAGCCATCCAATGTTCTAGTGAGTTGATTCTGAGCTTGTCACGTTAATAAATGTTTAAATAATAATTTATATAACATTTGAAGCCAAAATAAAAACATGAAATAGGCAGATTTAACTCTTGCATAATAAATAAACCATTCCTCAATCTGACATCTCCATATCACATACAAGTTATATCAATCACTATAGATTCGGGATCTACAACTTTAAAGTGCCAATAAGTCAATCGAGCCAAATTAATTAATCGGCATCAAAGTCTTGTTGCGTCATTTAGGAATCCCTTGCTAACTACAATATTCTGAAAGATGAATCTCTATCTCGAATAACGTGGTACAAATTTATTCAATAATTTGCTAACGTGTAAAAAAAGAGTCATTAGTAGTGGGAGAAAAACAGGAGGCCTGGAGAAAACTCACAGCATTGGACGGATGACACTACATCTTGTCACGTACATCTCATGGCCCCTTGCAGCACTTGCATCGCCCCCTTGCAACACTTGCATTGCCCCCTTGCAACACTTGCATCGCCCCCTTGCAGCACTTGCATCGCCCCCTTGCAACACTTGCATCGCCCCCTTGCAACATTTCCAAAACACATTGCCCACTTGCAACACTTCTATAGTCCATCATCCCCTTGCAACACTTCAAAAATCCATCGCAGTTGCCCCTTGCAACACTTCAATACTTCTTCGCCCCTTGCAACACTTCAAAAGTCCATTGTCCCTTGCACCACTTCAATAGTTCATGGCCCCCTTGCAACACTTTAAAAGTGTCCATCGCCCCCTTGCAACACTTCAAAAGTCCATCGCCCCTGCAACACTTTAATAGCCCTCGCCCCTTTTAACACTTTACTAGTTTATCGCCCCCTTGCAACACTTTAAAAGTGTCCATCGCCCTTGCAATACTTCTTAAGTTCATCGCCCCTTGCAACACTTCAATAGCTTATCACTTGCAACACTTCAACAGCTTATCGCGCCCTTTGCAACTCTTCAAAAGTCCATCATCCCCTGCAACACTTTAATAGTTTATCGCAATCTTGCAACACTTCAATAGATCATCGCCCCCTTGCAACACATCAGCAGTTCATTAATAATTCATATAACAGTAACAGCATGTACATGTAGGTTTTAACAAAACAGAAATTTAGATATGTTCAATATTGAGTCAGACTTCTCATCAAATCTTACTGCTGTTTGTGAACTAAACATAGGATACATTCTGTGAGAAATCTCAGACATTTTCTATCCAAATTATGTGCTGTTAAAACAAACTTGAGATGTATCTTTTTTTTCTGGAGATAAATTCTTAAATTCTGATGAAAATTGCTTTCTCTCAGGGTTGTATTGAAACATTTAGTTTGTGCTGCATGAAGCAAACTATTGGGCGTGGTGACTCGAGACAAGAAATTTATAGAAAGAAGTACTTATTATTAGAGAGAGAGAGAGAGAAATGAGGCTTAACGTCCACTCGACACAAACTAGGTCATTTCGGGACTAACACATTGTTCAATTTTATTTCAATCATTCGCTTGCACGTAGGGGTCTTTAGCAGTGGGAGTAAACAGCGCGCGTGCTAACCATTCGGCCATCCAACCCCCACTTATTATTAACTGTATCATAAGGTCTGTCATTTAGTCAACTGGTGTGGTTTCAATTCCATGGTTGTACATGTATGTGACAAGGAGTAGGGTCGCCTGTCCAACTTCATGGGTTTTCTCCGGGTTCTCTGGTTTCCTCCCACAGCTAAAGACCTGTATGCGGAAGCGAATTATTGAAATAAAATTGAACCATATATTAGTCCTAAAAACCCTGTCTGTGTCGAGTGGACGTTAAACCCCATTTCTCTCTCTCACCCATCCCAAGAATAAAATGGAGAAAACTGGGCTTGTATGTAAGTTGAATCCATGTTTAAGAGTACATATACCAGAGTTAAAGTATATTATAATAAGTAGAGTATATGAAGTAGATAAGCTCCATTACCAGTAAATATATTATCTGTATATCCTACTCTAGCCATGGTATATATATATATATATATATATAACAAGCACCTGTCTCGAGGCATCAAACTCTTCTTTAACTTAACACTAATATACTACATCTATATATCTCTACTCTCTCTATAGTCTATACTTCACTTTTAATACTTATATAAATATATAGGACAGAAAAAAATAAGCTAAATTTTGGTAGAAGTTGAACAGATACTGTGCGGTAAAAGTCTTTCATACAGTGTAAACAGGAAATTAAGGAATTTAAAATATTGAAATTAACTGATCAGCTCTATCCAATTCTCGCTTGTTTCAGACAAAGACAATGTGCCCTCTTGTAATTTTCTAATTTTGAGAGAGAGAGAGAGAGAGAGGGGGGGGGGGGGGAGTCTTTGATGACAGAACATTTTAATTTCAATGTCATTTAAGGGAATTTTGGACATTGGGGGAGACTGTATCACTGATACATTGTACATGGAGGAAGATGCAGGACCTCAAGATGGCCCCACTTTTTGGCATCTATGACTTCAATATGAAACAGACATACATGTAAAGATCTGATACATCACTT